TACATATGCATGCGCGCGCGCACACATATATGTATATATATCCTATGATGAAAGCTTTGAATTACATATATATAAGAAAAAGGCTCTAAAAATTCAAGTGAAATAGATAAAATAATAATAATCAAATTTAATTTGAACAACATTATTACTTGTCTTCAGTTTTTTTTTTTTCTTTGGGCAACCTCACCGAAAAATTTAGATGAGCTAATTATTGAAAGCCTGGGAAGATCTGAACAAGCTTTGTAATTCAAGGAGTGCTTACAAAGACAAAACATGCAAATGCTCTACAAATAAAACGCTTACACGGACATGACAGCTAGGTTTTAAACCCAAATTCTTATATATGGATTTTACGCAAAAACCTTATTAAAAATTACACAATACTATAAAGATCAATTTTATTAATAACTGCTACATTTACTATTATCATATAATAAGCGCTCTTAAAACAAAAATGAGTTAATCGTAAATATGTGTCCCGTCGTTTTCATGTCAAGAAAGTGTATCCATTATGATATGTGATTGTATTTGGTTATCTATATTTATTTTGGTTGCCTAACATACCTAACTCTTTATTCTATATCTATATCTGTCTACTATATATATAAGCCCCTATTATGCTCCGACCATGATAATAAGGGTCAGAGGCAATCCAACTAGTAATGTATTGTCTTAAGTCTTTAATATAAGAGCCAATTTTATTTTATTTTGGTTTTAAATATAAAACCCCAATTCATTTTATCTCTCATATTTATTTACTATTTTTAGGGTAATTCTTGTAGTAATGATAGTTGTAACTAATACATTTAATTAGTAAGGATATTTTAGAAAAAACAACACATATTTATTACAAATAACTAACTTAACTAATTTTCTTAACCTACTCAAATTTATATCAAAGGCCGGGTATAGTATAATATTCCCCATGATTGTTTTGCAAGCATCTTATTAATTGCATTCAATCTCATTAGCCTACCATCTGGATGCTCATGAAAGTCATAAGTTTATACATTTGATAAATAATATCTTAGTGGAAGTAATTACCACTTTAGGATTTTAATCAAACATTCATTATTTTATTATAAATTTATTTTAAATTTACTTTCAACTATACAGGAAAAGAGAATATGTAAACAAATTGAAGTGCTCACTGCTAATTGAGCAAAGTGCTCATAAAACAATACAATTATCAAGAGGATGGATGGTGGCTAAGCACAATAATTTTGCGGAGGCATCAACATCGATATATAAATAATAATCAAGATTATATATATTGTTAACCTCTGGGCCCCACTAGCCAGCCGTTCCCGCCACAACAGTGAGGAAAAAGAATATTTCAAGAATATTATGGACCCTCGCACGGCATTATTAAATGAAGAATCTGACCTAAGACTATAGCGAGAAACACTCGGACTTTGTTTCACGATGGAACCTCACTTCGGGAAATATTTCATGTTAAATTTATTAACTTTTTTTTGCCAGCTTTCTTTGTTCAGGTTATATCTTCCCACTTCCAAGCTTAACCGGTGGTTTTTAGTATCAAGAATATTTGAATAAAAACTAAACCATAATTTTAAAAATTATTTTACAATATACAAAATAAATATATGAAAAAAATTTTGTCTTGACATATATAAAATGCTTTTAGGAAGAGAGAGCGAATAAAATGTACTTTTTTTTTAAAAAAAAAGAGATGTTTGACACAGTGGTTTAAATTTTAGTTAACAATATTTTGATCATAATTTCACAACAGAATGATCTATTTCTCCTAACAAAAAAGACAATAATACGAATTATAAACAAATAAATAATGTGCGGGAATCCATGTGGCCTCGTCACCGCATATTCTCTCAGCTGCTAATTAAAAATAGTGGAATTGTACGTTTGCAAGCTCCGCATCGCAAATTAGAAAGTTCTGTTCCAATTCTCCAAACCCGGAGAGGGGAAAAACAAAAAAAAAACAAAAACAGCCGAGACAAGAAGAAAAGAAAGACTCGGAGACTCTCTTTACAGTTATAAATTTATAAAATATTTTTTAGAATAAAAGTAACATAAAAAATAATTAAAAATTTTCGCATGCCTTTGTATTCTATCATCCTTTCTTTCGTCTCAGAAATATTCTCTGCTTCATGATTTAATATTGCTTGCGTATATTTCGTTTTCCCCTTTAATTCTCTCTGGGCTTTTTTTTGTTGGATTCAAAGTTATTTGGTTTGAAAAACCAATTTGTATTTGTTTACCGGGAAAAAAAAGAAGCCAGTTTATATTCGGAGCCTGGACAGCAATCAATACATGCATACGTGTGCTTCCCCCTTTTCCTTTTATCTGTCACTTCTTTGTTAAAATACTTCCTCCTCTCAATTATTTATAATATAAAAATAAGGTCTTATAATTAGAACTGAAAATAATATTTTTTATATTTCATTTCAAAAAGTTAAAAAAGTATTTTCACAAAAAATGCTATCTACAATACTTAATATAAGAACTAGTTTAACTTTTAATTTTGTCTTAAATATAAGGCTCTAATTTACTTTATCTCTCATATTTATCCATTTCTCTCAAAGTAATTATTGTATTAGTTGCACATAGTAGTCTTAACTAATACATTTGATTAATAAGGGTATTTTAGGAAAGACAACATCTAATTATTACAAATAACTAACTTAATTAATTTTCTTAATCTACTCAAATTAGTTAACTAGCTCTTAGGTAGTAATATAATATTAATTATTATTTTTTCAATCATCATATTTATCTTTACTAAAAGGTGAGGCAAATAATTACGAAGACAGTGCATACAATAAATTAAGGATATAATAAAAAAAAGGAAATCCGGTGTATTAATTATATTCCTTAATTTTAATTTGTTCATCCAACTTCTAACGATAAATAATGAGGGAGTAACAATTACGTAAACATGAAAGCGTATTTTGCGGGACAGGTAGAAAATTGGAAAATCTGCAATTTATAGTACTGTAAATTTCTCGTATAATTTATGGAGGTGTTCCCTTTTTCAAAATAAATAATTTAAAAAGATGTATACAACCTAATCAAATGATTATATATGAATACTATTCCTGATCCTTAATATAAGAGCCAAGTAATTAATTTATATATATTAAAAAAATTAGTTAAATTAGTTATTTATAAGAGTATTGTTTTTTTGAAACACTCTTATTAATTATCGAAGCCAGTGAGTTGGACTATAATTAAGTAAATTGTAGGGTAATTCAAGAAAATATTATATCAATATTTTTTAATGTGACAATTATTTTAAAATAAAATAAAAATCCCAAAGTATTTGAAAATGGTCGGAGCATTAATAAAATGTTGTGAGCATATATAAATTAAGTAAAAAAATTTAATAAAGAAGCTAATTAACATCATAAATTTAACATATCAATAACTCTAAATTCCAAATTAAAAAATCCAACATTACCGATTTAATTAAATTGTTGTGCAAAACAGTGTTCACGAAATCTGCTTGGCAGTAATTGGATGAATCTGTATAATAAGCCTGGCACCCGGCTGAAATGCAGAGAATATTCTTTTTCTCTGACTACTCCTACAAATGTATGAATTATGATTGGGATATAACCATTCTTGCTTAGTCTCGGGGGAAAAAACCAAAACAAAACAAAAGATATGACCATTTTTGCTGCCTTGTACATTTCTTTAATGTCGAATTTTGAAATAACAAATGTCACAATTAAATCTTTTTAATGTCTTTGATAGAAAACATGTGAAAAATAACTTTTTTGCGTAAAATAATTATCTTGGAGATTAAAAGACTAGAAAAAAAATGAAATAATAATAATAAGGAAAATTTCGAACTATTAGAAAATAACTTATCATCGCGATGTGATGGAGCGACTGAAAAATATCTTAGATGTTTTTTCCTAGCACCTAATTTTCTCATGAACAAAGGGAATCCTAAATTCCTAATTCAAGACACAGTAAAAGAGTATAGCAAGACTCGGTGACTCACTGCTGATTCTTTTTTTTTTTTTTTTGAGAAGACTCATTCATCCCTGGCAAAGTAAACTAATACACTCCATCCTCGGCATACACGCTGAAGTCTTCAGCCCGTCTACTGTCTAGTCATATTTTGTACTTTATAATTTTAATGAATTTGAAATTATTTTTAATTAATCTAATTAATCAGAGAGAGTCATCTGGAGGATGACAGAAAATAAAAGCAAAATAAATAATAATTTCTCTATATCCCACCCTGCCTTTGTTATTTGAGCTAGACTTAACAAACGAGAATATTTTAGTCAAAAGCCAGTAGATTTTACTAGTATATAGGCTTTTCAATAATATTTTAGGCCTGTTTAAAATAATTTATATAAATAAATTTTTAATTATGATTTACAAAATATGATATGTGAGAGAAATTTTATTTCAATTTACATGATAATGAATCCAAACAAATCCTTAATTAAATAACATCGAGCTATTTAGAGGCGCCATATGGAGAACGCCGACAGGGGAGAGGCAGCACATAATTGGACCTCCAATTTGACAAGCGTAGGCCCATGGCTTGAAAATACGTACTTAATGAATGGACCATTCCTCCAAATTTCAATGATAACTTTAATTATGGAGTAAAATTCGAATTCTTTAAAGGGTCACTGGAGGCAGTAACAACTGCCATTATATTATATGGAAAACCAGTTTTCCGTGCCAATTACAGTGATAAATATTATCATACTCATTGCTATGATAAAATTTATACCATTTAAATATTATTTTAATGGTCTAGATTTTTAACTTTCAATTAATGGTTTTTAAATAAAAAAATATTTTTTAAAGAACTTGCGTTTAAAAAGATTACGTTTATTTTGAATTGTCTATCTTTTAAATAAAAGTATTTAAAAAACAAAAATATAAAAAATTAAAATTTTGATATTTGATGAATATGATCGTGAACCAAAACTTGGCTGCCGTTGTGCAAGAGCTATATATACATGAATGGTAGTCGAAACTTCTTCAAGTTTCTGGGCGTCAAACGATTGCAGTCGTAAGAGGCCGTGTGGCCTTTGACTTGTGCTATTTCTTCCTCTCTCTCTCGATTGAAAAGCTTCTTATGTGGATAACTCAGCTTGGTCTGGTTCTCTTCCTGCAAAATACAAGCCTATTTGTGGACGCATCTCTCTTTCACAATTCTTAAGCAGCCTTGGTAAAGAGTAACTTCCTCGGTTTTCAATTATCATCCATCAGACCCAATTACAAGAACCTACCACTTTCACAGATGGGTAGAGCTCCTTGCTGTGACAAGGCCAATGTAAAGAAGGGACCATGGTCTCCTGAAGAAGATGCACAGCTAAAGGAGTACATAGAGAAACATGGAACTGGAGGCAACTGGATTGCTCTCCCACAAAAAGCTGGTGAGATTTTTTTTTTTTCCATCTCTTGTTCAAATTTGTATGGAGATGATGAGACTCTAGCTTCTGACACAGCAGAGAAGATAGTGATGTTCCAGGATCTTTGCTTTTTTTCCCCCTCTGTTTTGTGTTACTGATTGGATTTCTCGTGGGTAAGGTCTCAAAAGATGTGGTAAAAGCTGTAGACTAAGATGGCTCAACTATCTCCGTCCCAACATCAAACACGGCGAGTTCTCCGATCATGAAGACAGGATCATCTGCAGCCTCTTTGCCAGCATCGGAAGCAGGTAGGCTCTCCAATTCAACAAAGAGTCAGGGCAGTATCCGGAGATAAGCAGCCAAAGAGTTTGTTTTCACGAAAATTCAGATCTGATGATTTGAGCATTAACATATATATTGCTTCATTATGACAAAGTGCAGGTGGTCAGTAATAGCATCTCAGTTGCCTGGAAGGACTGATAACGATATTAAGAACTACTGGAACACCAAGCTTAAGAAGAAGTTGATGTGCATGAACCCTTCCGATCATCATCACCAAGCTACCCTTTTACCAGTTCTCCCGAATTCAACTCCATCTTCATCCTCATCATCGGCATCTTCACCATTATCATTCACAGACACCACCAACTCTTACTGCCACGCCCCTTATGCTTCTTCATTCTCAGGAGTTGATCAGTCCATTTACTTCTCGTCGGCAAGTTTTTTGAACGGCCATTCCTCTTGTGCTTCTGCAGCTGGCTCTTTTTATCAACCCCAAGAAAGCTTGATGAGTCCCATTGAGCTAGTCGCAGCTAGTTGTAGCCCTTCGCACGGAAGCTATAATAATAGCAGCCAGCTGAGTCATGTGATGAAAGAAGCTGAAGCTGCTGGATATGGAGTAGATCAAGAAACTATGGTCCAACAGATGATAGCTGCCAATAGTAACTATGATGATCTGCACAATATTGGGATGGAAATGGAAGAAACCCAGAAGGTGATGGCGTGTGATGGGGACTACGTGAATGGTTGGACGGGAAAACAAAATGGACTTTGGGAAGAGAATCCGCCATTAGATTACGGAATAGAAGAAATTAAGCAGTTAATAAGTTCTAGCAGCTGCAACAACTTCCTGTTCGATGAAAACATGACGCAGAAAAGGGCCTTGTACTACTACTACTACTGATTGATTTGGCCCGTGTTATTAGGAACAGCTTCTACTTGGAAGCGTTTAATTAGTAATACAGCTTCGCTTTTAATCTTTTTATGAGTACCCGTAATGTTAGTCTTAAATCCTGCCATACTTTCTGGGTAATAGGCAATAAAATCTGCTCTGAGTAACTTCGCCGTTTAAAATTAAACGAAGAAGACTACTGATTACCCCTTATCCACCACATTTATTAGAAAAATTTGCCCTCATTTTTTAATCAGTTCCATGCGCTTTCGACGCGAACAACAAATTTTTTATAGTTATGTCTCGAATATTTTCATACCTTTAAATATTTGTTGTCTCAACCCCAACATCACTTAAGATTTAGTATAATAACCGGAGGGTTATTATGACTTGCGTGTTGCGTACGGTTTGAATCACTCATTATTAGTTCTTATTATTATTTGATGAATAAAACAAAGTTGTGCTGGACCGTCCTTAGAACAAGTTGGATTAACTCGCATAACATAATAGCATGGTTGCTTGAAATTTTCAAACAAAAACACACCCCACAAGAAAGTCATATGCTATCACATTGATTGAGGGCCGTGGTGGATAGAATAGAGTTTCTCTTCTTTCCTCAGTTGAAACTCCACATATAAACCTTTACTATTTAAATGTTTGTGCGAGATACTTTGAATCAATCAGAGGTACATGGCTGAATCGACAAGGGGAGAAATGACGGAATGCGACACGATCTGAATATAAAATTATTGCCTTCAAATGATAAGAGTGATGAGATGAGTGGGAATAATACGGATGATCCAAATCCTCCTGTTACAATAAAAATCATTGACACATGAAAGGCAATAACTAAACAAAATCAGAAGAAGCTGAACTTGCCTATAAAATGATGGTGATACACACACACATGTACGTATGTATGTATAGGGGATCCCCATAATTGAGGCATGCCCAATCTAGAACCATCAATTATGGCATCCTACAAGAGAAAACATGTTTTATAACTATTATCCTCGAGTCTCTCGTTTTTAAAATTTTTACATGTTTCATTTAATATCAATGAGACACACTGTATGTTTTCTTATTGCGCTTTTGATTGGGACTTGCAGATCAATGGGGGGCATGAAAATTGATCTGAAAACGAGTTAACAATAAACAAATCCAACATGGGGAAACAGAGATTTGAAACATACATATAATTAAAGCCTGCATCATATAATGCAGCTTATAAAAGAATCCTCACGGAGGATCAGTCCAAAACAACTTTAGAAATGTATTATCTTAAAGATAATGATGCCTTGGATTCTACTCATTAGTTTAGCAAAAGTAGGAGATATGTATGTGCATTGGCCTCTTTCCCATTTTGTTTGCTTCCCTCAGAGTGATAAGACCCAACAGGATTTGCCAGCTATAGGCATTATGTAATGCAGAATAAAATATTGGGACAAATTGTCTTAAAAGTTTATGGAAAGGGTTTTGCTGTGAAGTGTATTCTAGTGTCAAAAAAGTTCTGCCTTCTATATTTGCCCCCATTAAATTTCCAATCACTGTCTTTTACCTCTTTGTGCAGATTTTTCCAATTGCTTTCTGGGATTTCACACTTCTGTCCACACAAGGAGGGTGAAGAATTCAAAGGGGTTGGACTTTGGATTAGTCAATCAGCGAAAGCTGGCACTGTCAATTGATTTGTTCAACAACGCCACAACGACTTGATGTTTCCATTAGTTCCCATGCAGCGTAGGTCACCAATAATATAGATGGCCAAAGATGAACAGGATAAGAAGAAATTATGAGCCAGTGAAAAATGAAGCCAAACAGTGTCACTAATCATCGATATAAAATATACAAAAAATCTACTCCTCCGGTCCTTAATATAGGACCTAATTGTTGAGTTGATTTTGGTCCTCAATATAAGACCTATTTATCATATTTATCATTTTTCTCTAAATTGTTCATATGGATACTTCGTCAACCATAATCAAGTAGGAGAGGGAGAGGAGGCATTAAGAAAGATGATTATGATGTTTTAAGAAAAATGTGTCACATTTCTTATAATTAACTAACTTATCTAACTTTTTTAATCTAATCAAATTAGTTAAATAGGTATTATATTAAGGACCGGCGGAGTATTAAAGAAATCCTAATACAATCCATTTATCAGATTTTTTTGTAATTGTATGGGATCCACTGATAGTTATAGATAAAGTAATTTTTTGTATCAAAAGGCAAAAAATGAAAACTATATAAAGGGTTTCCCCCTCTTTTTTGGGGCCAAGCTGAGATTTTTTGCAGTTTCAATAAACTAAACTCCGCACGGCGACTATTCATCAATTCTTTGGCGTAAGCGGAAGACTCCAAATCCCATAGCGTAGACTTCGTTTTTACAAAAACGTTGTAATATCAAGGAGAATTTGAATTTGAAGACCATAAACGTACAGATTTTATAATAAAAAGATATGTTCCAGTCAAAACAGTTTATCTTCGAAGGAAAAAAAACTCGAACCAGATCTTTTTCAAAATTAATTTTATAAGGTTAATACGTCAAATACTTGCCCCCACAATCCATATCGTCGATTGACTTTTGTGGCGGTCGAATCCAAGAAGTCAAAAACTAACCACACTAGGCACTGTGACACGTTGTTCAAGAGGAATACAGCTTTAATATAAGAGTTAATTGATTAATTTAAGTAAATTAAATAAGTTCGTTAAATTAGTTATTTATAATAAATAAGTATTATCTTTTTTATAGTATACCCACTAGTTATATGTACTAGTTAAAATTACCATTTAATGAAATATTTAATATGTACAACTATTACGCGAATTATTTTAAAAAAATAGATAAATATAAGAGACAGAGTGAATTGAACTCTCATATTTAGGATCAAATTGAAAGTCAAATTATTTTTTATATTGAGGATCGGACATAGTATTACAGTAATAACAGAATTAAAAATGATTAAAATAAAAAGAAGACTTTGTAACAAGTGATTTAAATAGGTGCATGATGTGCAGCTCGATGATTTTAATAAGAGAAGAGTTAGCAAAGAAATTATGTTATTTTTGTTACAGCGAATGGAAAAGAAGAGAGTATTTTACATTTTTGCCCCACTCATGGGTTCCCACTGAAGTTTACCTCTATTTTATCCAGTTCCTTTCCAAGTTTCCATAAAGGCTTCCTTCACGCTGGGGCACCATTTGATTGTTAAAGGCTGGGCATTGGGCCTTCAAGCCCAATGAACGTCTCATCCTGCTTCTTGCCATTGGGTCTGCCAATCAGATTTTAAGCTTCATGGTGTTTCCTTCGTGTTTCTTCACGTCCTGCTTCTCAAGGAACAGATGGGACTTCTTCAGTCCCAATCTATGTAATTTTCTCACCTTTGTGTACTGTTTGGGCTTAGGCCCTCTCTTTAATTTTCCTTTTTCTTAAAAAAAATTCAGGTTTATTATGCAGGAGACCTCTAACAAACAAGTATACCTGGCCTCTACATTTAATATAATATTATAAACAAAAAATTTATACAAAACCACGGTTTTTAAAAGTCACAAACAGAACGGGTTATTTCTCGAGTTAAATAAATGGTTCAACGTAGTTCCTGACAGAAAAAGCCAGGTCTCCAGTGAACCCACATGTGATCTTGTGTGTATCGTGGCTGGAGACTTTTGGTTTTAAACCTTTAATGGACAGGAAGAGGGGGCCTCATAGGCCCTTTAAAATAGGAGATTGGGCCGAAGAAATCAAATGAATGAGATTGTTGAACTTTGAAGCATTGGATGTGACCAATGTGTGATGACCGTATGAACCTTAGCAGATAGCAACCCTGCTCCGCATGCGACCAGAAACTGAAATAATATGATTGTGATGCAGGGAATGCAGTGGTTTTATGCGCTGGTTCCATGATAAGAAAGGCATCCATATTCCTTCCCTCTGGTCTGGTCACAAGAGAGTGAGAGTCACCAACATTAAAAAAGCTGCCATATTTGTGGGACATATCCCCTTTAAATTGAAAGGCCAGAGAGAATGATATAACAGAAACATATACATATACATACATATATACACACACACTCGGTGACTTCTTTACCATGCACGCCATCATACATATCCTCTGACACTCCGCCACAACCTCAACATTGTCTCCCCCCACATACGCCCTTACATCTATATATGTGTCTCTCATTCAGATGTGAATATTCATCTCACAACAGCTTCTTTCTTGTCTTCTTCTTGTCTGTCTCAGACATATCGCTGTATCTGCCTTTTCTTTTTTGTGGATACCCTTGAACATGAGCATATTGTGCAGCCCCAAAAAAACCGATAGCAGAAGGATTGCTTTGATGGGTCACATTATTACATTACCAGTTGTTGGCCAGAGATAATGGCCGTGAGGTCCCAAGTAGTGCTGCAAAATTATTATTAACAACACTTCTCCCCACTTATTTCCTGATTTTGACATCAGATCAGATGCTATAAATTTGCTACGTCCCTGTGGTTTCGGTCTCAATAATTCAGCTTATCACATGCATCTTCATCTTCTTTTTCCACCTCTTTAATTTGTTTGTTTCCCCTTCTTTTTCTTGTGTTTACGAGAGCAGGTTAGAAAACTCGGTCCATTTGCCCCTCACCCAACCTTCTCAGCTTTTCAACCATTTGGCCCCGCCAATTAATTAATTCCCAATCAAATTCTGCAACCAACTTCTTGTGTCTTCGATCAGTTCTATTTCGACTAGATTGATTTGTTTTCTCCGCCTACGTATATGCCTCCAAATGCAGCACCTTCCCCATTTATATTTTGGAGATCCCACTCTTTTGGCCTTTTTATTAGTCCCTTTGACACTGAAATCAACTTGTTAGTTGTTATCTTGTCGAGTTTTGGAACACTAAAAATACCAGACCTTTTTCCAAAATTAATTAATGAGAAAAAGACCTAGTTTTCAACCTTAGGATCATAAAATTCAAAGTGATTGAATTCTATTTTGGTGAAAATAGTACGTCCGGGGAGGAGTCCATTGTCAGAGTAGTTAATATGGTATCTTCCATCTTGAACGTGGAAGGCCTTTTCAAGGAACAGGAAAAGCTAAACAACACGTTCCCCAACTCAACTTTTATAATTTTCCCCATGGTTCATAACTTTTACGCTTAAATCTTTGCCTCTCACTTCGGTTTCTATCAGAAAGCGACTTGCAAAATCCAAATGCGGAGACAAGCTCTTCTATTATAATATATATATGAGGATACATATCGCCCAACCTTATCAAAATTTTCTGGTGATAACGAATACGAAAGAACTAGACTTGTCCGCTTCTGCTACACATCAACTGTACAGGTTTTGCTGTTCTTATCAAACTTCATTTTCATATGATCAAGATCCTGTATGCATGACAAAAATATATCATTTAATTACCTAATATTTGTTCTAAGCTGGATCGCGGAGGTTTGACATGAATCTTCACCCAATCATATGGATAGTAATTAAGTAACTGAAGCATATTGAAAGGCAGCCTGGGTGTAGTTATGAATGGATGTTTGGGATTATCACTTTCAAAAATTACTTTTCAATTTATAAAATTCTTTTTTTATATTTATTTTATGTAGCGTAAAATCACTTAAAGCAAGTTAAATCAAATATCATATTTTTGCGTACAACTGATGGCCGTACACACATGGGGAAGGCACCAAATAATCAATCATGATTAAAACACAAGCACAGTAGACTATTTTGTGATTATGGTCCCTTAATGTCAAACCTTTTACACGGGCCCATTCATACCATCCACCACCACACTTTAACTCCTGGATGACACCCTCTTTACCCTACATTGTGTCATGTTCCAATTATTTTGTCCCTTTGCCCCTCTCCCTTCCTTCACCACATATATTGCACTACATAGACCTCCCTATCCTACAGGTTCAATTTTACCCCTTCCCTTTCATTTCATTACTTCTAAATTAAGCCTGCTTCCAGTTCCCTCCCACATTGATTCATTAATAAATAACAGGGGAAGCTATAGTGAATGCAATCGAATATCTATTCTTTTCGAGCTAGCTAGCTATATTATACTGAATATATATATATATATATAGTTTTTAGGATATAGAGAATTTTTTCCCATCAAAGCTAATTTCCTTTCTCACAAAATATCATCATTTTGTGCCACTCACTCATCATGCGTCCTCCATCCAGATGAGCGTAGGACCTGCCATTCATATAAATTAAACTAGGCTGTGCGTTATATGAAAGTTAGAATCTTCCAAATGTTTGTATATATGGTATGGGTTAAACAGCGTGGCAGGGACAAGTGGAACTAATTCCGTAAGAATTTATTATGGAAGTTCAAAGTTCAAATAACTGTTGGGAGATTTGATTCCAGGCATTCAAATAATTAAGAAATCAATTACTAAAAGGCATAAATGCTTATTATAATTCCCAGAACTTTTTTATTTATTTTTAGAGTAGTGTGATCTCGAAGGCGCTGTTAAAGAGTACAAGGACAGGATAGCATTGCATGTCCAAAACTGGGAACGAGCTGAGCTAATGAGTTTAAACGAAATACTGCACTTAATTAGTCTTGAACAATTAAGATGTCTAAACCATGTGGCCTAATATTAAAATCCCAAACCCAGCTTACGAAAAGGATGCACACATATGAAGATATATATATGTATAAGGTGGACACCACTTTGTGCGACGGAATATTTTTGTTTGTTCGCATTGAAATATAATTAATTAAATTTGATCGTGGCAGAGTAATGCTGCCACTGGCATTAAGGATTCCTGTCATACAAAACAAAGACCTTTCTTCGATTCTTCTCGTTAGGATTGTGCGATCCATTTTGGGAGTATTGATTCTGAAAGCAAACCAAAAAGCCTAATAACAAGGAATTGAAGTGCGCAATTAATTAAAAAAGAGTACGTAAAGAACATTTTGTGTACGATCAATATATTAGTATATGAACTGGGAATGCATGATTCGTGGTATAACACGAAGGACTTTCAAGTCCTGACAAATTAATGGATCTGATCGCCGGAGACGGATGCTTTAATAATTAATAATAATATTAATGTGAGTCTTTTTTTTCCCCCCCAAAATCAAGTGGCAAAAAGGGGTCTCTCAAGGATATGTCTTGCTTTGTTACAATGAATAGAAGCTCGGATTTGGCACACTGTAGAAGCTAGCTTGAATATTTTTGTAATGCGATCATCAAGATCTTTGTATCCTTCCTTGAATCATTTTTTTGGGTTTTTTTTCAATGCTTAACATTGTTGGATTAATAATGATATGTCGATGCAGCTCATCACAAGCTGGATTATTCCTCCACTTGTTTTTACTTTTTTTTTTTTTTTAGTGGCGAGGGTGAAATTTTTGCATCAAACGATATACGTTACTATGTATTGCATCGCGTATTTACTCACCTAGTTAGCTCGACCGGGGGATAACTAGGTTTGCAATGGATGTCTATTAGGATCAATGTGCTTATATATGTACGATGTATCCAAATACTGTGATGTGATTTGGCACATATATTTGGCCAGAAAAAGAATTGGCACATATATATAAATGGTGGGATTTGTATATCTAATTATTTGACATTATAAGAGGCTAGTACGCTTTTGTCAAAGGAAAGGTTGGGAGTGAATTATTAAAGCTAAAGGTAGGGTGTGAGATTTGAGGGATTAATGTCTGTAAACTACCAGTCCATATGAGCTTCGATATTCATGTGGGTTGGTAGGTGGGAACTTTATTGGGATTTTCAAACGGGGCAAATTAATTCGTCAAAGACTGTTTTGGAATTGGATATACAAACGCGTTGGCAAATGTTGAGGCTTGTGTGCCAAAATCATGAGCGTCGCACCCCAGAAATGATCGAGCTTCATAATCTGCTCTTCAATCCAAAGTCTTGTACACGATAAAGAAATTATTTTTGCTTTTCGATGCAAAACGTAATGCAGAACCGGCTGAGTCATATCAGATGATAAGCAAAACTATCATTTATAAATTTATCGAATTTGTTTAGAGTGAAGAAACTGCAAATTTTGTCAGCTTCATCCTTAAATAAAATTACCGGCCTGCATCAAGAATGGTACACATCTCATATTATGGATGAATATGAAGAGAGAAAAGGAATGACTCTTGAGATTTTTATTTTCGCCTGGCTCTTCGATGTTATTATGAGTACCCTCGAATATGGTAAAAGTTAAACCTAAATTAAATCGGAGCAAAATCTGAATGTTTGCATTGTGGCAGTCATACTCAATAGCTAAGTCAAAAGCAGGCTAGCTTCGTGCCTAACCCTACTTCTAATTGCAAAAGCTAATCTTTAAGGCAACAATTACCTATAGTAATAATATTTATTAGTGTTATTATTATTTAACAATATATATATACCCACACGTTAATCTAATTTGAAGAGGAAATGAGCATCGTGATCACTTTAGTTGAACATGACAATCACAGAATAGGATGTCAACTGTTGAACGAAGTCATTTGCACTGCTCAAGAAATATAAAATAAAGAAAGAAAGAAGACTTTACAGAAAGTTGGCTTGCTCATTACTTTAGCTTGAGATGGTGCTTTCTCCTGCAATTCACTGAATCCATCGAACTAAATTATATAGAGAGAGATGTTCTAAAGCTCATAACCTGGACCACTCAATTGGGATCGATCTTTTCCCAGTTTTTATAATATATATTCCTCTTCAGTGCCCCCGAAACGAACTTATTGTCAAATGGACATTCCAAATACGTAGACCCGAGCAAGACTGATGTGTCTCCATCCCCACACCTTGCCCCACTCTTTTTGAGCCGATGATGATAATTATATGTGGTGGGTCCGTCATCGCTTTTGTCACACTCAGCTCTCGATCCCTTCCATCGTCTTGTGGAAGAAGCTTGCGTGCCATTTTGAAAAAATGGTGACAGAAATGAAAACAAATGTTTAATTCAGCTAATTACAAGAGAGACAATATAATGGCATGATTGGCGCCCTTGTGAAATATATATAGTGTTGGGTTAGAGTTTAATTTAATGTTATGGCAGTGGTACTAATTGACTATTCAGATTGGAACGGAAAACCCATAATAATTACTCTTGAGTCTTGATGACAAATACTATAGTGTATTATTATTAAACGAGCAGCCATGATTAATGTTATTAATGAAAGGTCCCTCGTGATGGACGCTGGGGTTTCTCTTTTTGACTTGTTCAACGCTCTCTCACAACCTTATATGAACGAATAAGATATCTGTGTGCCCCCAGAATCTTCAATTAGATTTCTATTTCTCTCCGGGCGAGTTCGATCACCGACTCTTTTATTTCTTTCTTTTATCTGCAACATCCAAATTTCAACAAACTGAATCAGTGTTCATTTGACTTTCTCCCCCTCTTATTTCATTTCACTTCCATTGGCCGTCATATATTGGACACCATTTCGATTACGACTGACTGACAAGTCCATGCCCTTACCCTTTTATTTATTTGCTTATAAATTTTGTACGTTAGTTTTTATTTAATTAACAAATAATTATTTGACCTACGCATGCATTTTGGAAAGAGTTTTTATGAGAGGTAAAAACGAGGCCAAGTTATGCATAAGTGAGGAGTGAGGTTTCCTCCATGCATCCACCTGACCACCTGACCCATATGCTTTCAACAGTGAATACAACGCCACATGAAAAACACAGTAACGATCGAGATCGATACATCAGTTAGAAGATTTCTAATCAAAATGATGTGATTAATTAGAATTCACTGTTGATCAAAATTATTGTTACAGATAACATAATATGTGGATGATTTAACTTGTTGAACTATTGAAGCAAGTAGTGGTGGGTGGTAGTCTGGTAGGAATGAGACAGAGAGAGGCAGAGAGGTCCATTAATGACACAGTGCGTGCAATCAAACTGGTAAAATCCCCGAATGGAGGGAATCTGAAATCACTTTCTCCATTGCTATTTACTGTTTTAATCCTTCTTTTCCATTTCCAGAATTCCATATCTGATAACACTGTACCTACGTACGTATTCCTCACATCTTATGGCCACTGGTTGTTGGGTTCTTCAGTCCCCTCCATTAAAATCACGTCCGTGGTTTTGCTTTTCTCAGTTTTTCGACTCTCACACACTTCCTTCTCCCACCACATTTTCTACCTCTTTTGTCTCATTCCTATCATCACTACCTAATGCCTATATATTTACTCATCCCAAGTACGTACCCCAGGGGTTACCCTTCCCCAAATCATAAAACTTCTCATAATTTAGTACCTTTCAGTCCTTCAATCACAACTGTTTTGGCTCCAACACAAAACAAATAATTGGAATGCCCCATTATTGGATGCCAGTTCTTCCAGGGCAATGAACAGAGCGTGGCGTTAAGCAAACAAATAATTGGAATGCCCCATTATTGGATGCCAGTTCTTCCAGGGCAATGAACAGAGCGTGGCGTTAAGCAAAGAGTGTTTGGTAAACGTGAAATGTGATGTACGATTTTTTTTCTGATTTAAGTTTTATTAAGGGGTCGTTGACTCTGTTTAACATTATAGTTTATTAGATGACTGTATCATGATTCCGGGAAAAAATAAATTATAAGGCTGATGTCAGTTTCCTTCTAATTATTGACCTGATGCTACGGGGCGTATAAAAAAGAGCCCTTCTTGAGGGAATTTGCAGTGTCAGAATTACAGTCACATTGCTGTAATTAAACTAGAAAAGTAAAAGGAGCTAAATTGCTGATATTGAGTAAACCCAGAGCGTGATGTAAGAAGCTGCTTTACAGAAACTTTCGCACAATTAATTCAATGTTAAATTACCTTTTTTTTTTTACCTTTAAAAAAATTACATATAAGTTATTTTCAATAAAGAATCAAATTTTGGAGGAATCACGGGACTGGTCCACAAGGACCTGAGACGTTGGTTTAGTAAGATTTTGATAATCATTTGAGTTGGTTTTCATAGTGCTCGATATTAAGGTTTTTCCTGAACTTTCAAAATAATTTTCTTAAAAGAGGAGAAATGCATAATTAGTTCCATTTCTTCGTATGTTACCCAACATATCTTGTCCCTTCCATGTATTTCAGAATGAACCGGCGGACATGGAGGAGACATGGAAAGCAAATTAACTTGAAGTAGAAGCCAAGCCTGAACACTGGATCTCGATGGTCGTCAAAAGGCTATTTACACATGAAAAAGTTAAAAAAAAAAAAAAAGATTTTAAGTGTTTCTTTCTTCTTTATTTTTTATACTTGATTTGAATTCGTTCCGGTCAAAAACCCATATATTCCAGGTTTCACACAGTATCCTTTGTCGGGTGGAAAATCAAACTTTCTCTCTCCATGCCCCCCGAAATTTCGGTGTCTCGCTTCTCACCATCTGTCTCTTTCCAAGTTCCTTTTTTACTGATGAAGCAATCCGAAAATTAACCTCTCCCACTCTTCCTAGATAAATATTCAACGCTCCACACCACGATCACTCCATTATGAACAACAATACTGGAGAATGATGAAGGAGTGAAATCACAGGACAGATAATATTTAAATATTCCCCGAGAGATTAGAAAAAGTAAGCATCAGAAACATGAGCTGAAAAGCCAGGTAAGGCGTGTGAGATAATAAAGAGGGAGTTGGAAGTCGTTGATAAAGCTAAGGATTCTTGCAAATGTCACAAGATTCTGAGGAGATAAAGACCACTGAGCACTGGAAATGGTCCGAAATGCAAGGCCTTGAGCTTGTGCCCCCTGCTCCTCTTTCCGACTCGACGGCAGAAAACAGAGACTCCCACGCAGAGGAAGCCACCAGAGGAGAACGCAGGGACATGGAAATCTCTGAGCCCAAGAAAGACGGCGGAGACAAGCCTGACACTGTTCCGCCCGTCGGATTCGGCGAGCTTTTCCGATTCGCCGATGGATTAGATTACATTCTAATGGGAATTGGAACGGTGGGGGCAATTGTGCATGGCTGTTCTCTGCCTCTGTTTCTTCGGTTTTTCGCTGATCTTGTGAATTCTTTCGGGTCCAATGCCAATGATGTGGACAAGATGACCCGAGAAGTCGTCAAGGTAACGCAGTCACAGCAAGAAGATACTTTATGATATGGAATGAATGCGTTGTGTATTGAAGCCTTGTATTTGTGGTATTTTGCAGTACGCATTTTACTTCTTGGTGGTGGGTGCTGCTATATGGGCATCCTCGTGGGCAGGTGAGTTCTCTGGACATGGTCTTTCGGGAGGGGGTTTTTTGGTTTATAGTGGCGTGAATGTTGCTAGAACAACTGGGTTTTGTCGCAGAGATATCGTGCTGGATGTGGACTGGAGAGAGGCAGTCGACGAAAATGAGAATAAAGTACCTCGAAGCCGCCTTGAACCAGGATATTCAGTATTTTGACACCGAGGTTCGAACGTCCGACGTTGTTTATGCCATTAACACTGATGCTGTGATGGTCCAAGATGCCATTAGCGAGAAGGTGAAGCGCCCTGTCTTCTTAATTGAACTTGTTCATCTCTGTTTCTATTCACTGATAATACTCGGTGCTTGCTTTATGCGCAGCTGGGTAATTTCATTCACTACATGGCTACATTCGTGTCTGGGTTTGTGGTAGGTTTCACAGCCGTTTGGCAGTTAGCTTTAGTCACACTCGCCATAGTCCCAATGATAGCTGTGATCGGAGGCATTCACACAGCCACGTTGGCCAAGCTCTCCGGCAAAAGCCAGGAAGCTCTCTCTCAAGCCGGCAACATTGTGGAACAGGTGAATTTAAACTTCCATGTCTTCCGTACGAGAAGCTCTAAACTTCTATGTTTCTGCATCTGGGTGTTGTTCATATACATATTGAACTGAACTGCAGACGGTAGCGCAAATTCGAGTGGTGCTGGCATACGTGGGGGAGAGCCGGGCATTGCAAGCCTATTCGTCGGCGTTGAAAATAGTCCAGAAGGTTGGCTACAAAACTGGCCTTGCTAAGGGAATGGGATTGGGTGCCACTTACTTTGTCGTCTTTTGTTGTTACGCTCTTCTGTTATGGTACGGAGGCTACCTCGTCAGGCACCACCACACCAATGGCGGACTTGCCATCGCCACCATGTTTGCTGTTATGATAGGTGGAATGTAAGTAACTAAGTATTCGTATTAGTGTATCACAATTCTAATTGTTTAAAGCAGTTCTTCGGTGATCAAGTTACATATATACACACTCACGAACAATTTCTGCGCAGCGGTTTGGGTCAATCTGCTCCAAGCATGGCTGCATTTACAAAGGCCAGAGTTGCTGCTGCAAAAATTTTCCGCGTAATTGATCACAAGCCAGGGATAGACCGAAACAGTGAATCGGGCTTGGAATTAGAGTCAGTTACGGGACTAGTGGAGCTAAAAACTGTAGACTTCTCATACCCGTCAAGGCCAGAGGTTCGGATTCTCAATGATTTCTCACTAGTTGTGCCTGCCGGGAAGACCATAGCCTTGGTTGGTAGCAGTGGCTCCGGCAAGAGCACCGTCGTCTCCCTCATTGAGAGATTCTATGACCCCACTTCTGGTAAACTGAAACGTTGTTCCAATTCATCTTATTCATTACAATTTTGCTTGACTACTTATTGAGCTTCTCCGTTTTGCAGGACAAGTTCTGCTTGATGGGCATGACATTAAAGCATTAAAGCTTAGATGGTTGAGGCAGCAAATAGGACTAGTAAGCCAAGAGCCTGCATTATTTGCCACCACAATAAGAGAAAATATACTGTTGGGTCGGCCAGATGCAGACCAGGTCGAGATTGAAGAAGCTGCAAGGGTCGCTAATGCTCATTCGTTCATTATCAAGCTTCCCGAAGGCTATGATACCCAGGTTAGCCCGTTAAGAGCATGTTTTGAGGAAAATGAGTACATAATTGTCTTAGCTATTGATTGAACTCAGCACTAAGATAACCCTCTCAGATCAATCACATCATTGGATTTAGAGACCTGCACAGAAGCATCCGCTTGTTTCTGTGGTCGCCACTCATTTTTTTAGATTTATGATAAGGTATAGGTGGAATATAGAAGAATTTGGAAACTAAGATAGACATAATCTATGCCACAGTTATCACAGTAGGTGGGTAACATCATAATGCCATGTCTCATGTGATGAGTGTGTGGAGTAAAGCCGAACTTTGTGGAAGGTGGGAAACCAATTATGTGGATCTTGACCAAGAGGTTTCTTGTGTAGTTGTAAATATTTGGTAGTTTATAATTGCAACTTTTTTTATTTATTTTTTTAATTTGATAAATTCGTTTAGTCAACAGAGAAACCCAATTAGTATTATTTTATCTTAATTTCTAGAAGTCAAAGCCAGGAAAGAGGGTAACATGCTTCAGTCTACAGTGCATGTGCTTGAATGCAGGGGAATGAACATCTGTTCTTAAATAAAGACTAGACAAACTGCCGGTGGAGGATTAATTAGGCGGAGCTGCCCTGAAAATAATAACAAAACTTTTAAGAGTTTCAACGATTTGCTCTTTTTTAATTGATTAGTCACCATGAGAACGGAAGATGCTTTATGTGTTTAACTCAATAGACTCCTTATATATAAATAAAATAAGCAATCTGTCATACTTGATAATTATGATAATTATTTATGATGGTGAAGAAGATGCTAAAACAATGAAATTGCAACGTTGTTTCTATAGATGGAAGGTACCTTTACTCTCTTGCTTGGTTTGTAAGAATTGAAAGGGGCAAAACTTGAATTATTATCTGATAAGTGACAAATTATTGAAAATGGCAGGTGGGGGAGAGAGGATTGCAGCTTTCCGGAGGACAAAAGCAAAGGATAGCAATTGCAAGGGCAATGTTGAAAAACCCAGCTATTCTTCTGTTGGATGAAGCAACAAGTGCATTAGACTCTGAGTCAGAAAAGCTGGTTCAAGAAGCCCTAGACCGGTTCATGATTGGGAGAACAACTCTTGTTATTGCTCATCGCCTATCCACCATTCGCAAAGCTGACCTTGTAGCTGTACTTCAACAAGGAAGTGTTACTGAAATTGGAACTCATGATGAGCTCCTTGCTAAAGGTGAAAATGGAATGTATGCCAAGCTTATTCGGATGCAGGAAGCAGCACATGAAACTGCTATGAATAATGCCAGAAAGAGTAGTGCAAGGTTAACTATCTCCATAATTTGTATTTAAAATTGTGCCATGAAGAATATGTTCATCTTTTAGAAATTTTAAGCTGAACTCAGATTGATTATCTCCTGACATAATGTTTTATCTGTAGGCCTTCAAGTGCTAGAAACTCTGTGAGCTCACCAATAATTGCTCGGAATTCTTCTTATGGTCGGTCCCCATACTCACGCAGGCTGTCGGACTTCTCTACTTCTGACTTTAGCCTTTCCATTGACGCACCACATCCAAATTACAGGCTCGAAAAGCTTGCCTTCAAAGACCAAGCTAGTTCCTTTTGGCGCCTTGCAAAATTGAACTCCCCTGAATGGCTGTATGCTTTAATTGGTTCCATAGGCTCTGTTGTTTGCGGATCCCTTAGTGCCTTCTTTGCTTATGTCCTTAGTGCAGTCCTTAGCGTCTATTACAATCCAAACCACAAATTTATGATTCGAGAGATTGAGAAGTATTGCTACTTGCTGATTGGCCTTTCATCAGCTGCACTTCTCTTTAATACACTCCAACATTTCTTCTGGGATATTGTGGGAGAAAATCTTACAAAGCGAGTGAGGGAGAAGATGCTGACTGCTGTGCTTAAGAACGAAATGGCATGGTTTGATCAGGAGGAAAATGAGAGTGCTAGGATTGCAGCAAGGCTTGCTCTTGATGCCAACAATGTCAGATCAGCCATTGGAGATCGCATTTCAGTAATTGTTCAAAACACGGCCCTTATGCTAGTTGCATGTACTGCAGGGTTTGTTTTGCAGTGGCGCCTTGCCCTTGTCCTTGTAGCCGTCTTCCCTGTTGTTGTGGCAGCCACAGTTTTACAGGTTTTCTTGCATTTCATTCTAGCATGCTATGAATTTCAATTGTGCTCTTACTTTCATTAACCATTGTGTTGAATTATGCACAGAAAATGTTCATGAGCGGTTTCTCTGGAGACCTGGAAGAAGCTCATGCCAAGGCCACACAACTAGCAGGAGAAGCCATTGCAAATGTTAGAACTGTTGCTGCGTTTAACTCTGAAACAAAAATTGTTGGTCTTTTTACTTCTAACCTTGAAACTCCACTACGAAGATGCTTTTGGAAGGGGCAGATTTCTGGAAGTGGGTTTGGGATAGCTCAGTTTGCACTTTATGCTTCCTATGCGCTTGGTTTGTGGTATGCTTCTTGGCTCGTGAAGCACGGAATCTCTGACTTCTCTAAAACAATCAGAGTTTTTATGGTCCTCATGGTTTCTGCCAATGGCGCTGCTGAAACTCTAACCCTGGCCCCTGACTTCATCAAGGGAGGTCGAGCTATGAAGTCAGTTTTTGATCTCCTCGACCGAAGAACCGAAATTGAACCAGATGACCCAGATGCTATTCCTGTTCCAGACCGTCTTCGTGGTGAAGTTGAGCTTAAGCATGTTGACTTCTCATATCCCACTCGCCCTGATATGCCAGTATTTCGCGACCTAAATCTCCGTGCTAGAGCCGGGAAAATTCTAGCCCTTGTTGGACCTAGTGGCTGTGGTAAGAGCTCAGTCATTGCATTAGTACAACGATTTTATGATCCAACATCTGGGCGAGTGATGATTGATGGAAAGGACATCAGAAAATACAATCTCAAGTCTCTGAGGAGGCACATCGCGGTGGTACCGCAAGAGCCTTGTCTGTTTGCTGCTACTATATATGAAAACATCGCATATGGGCATGAGTCAGCCACAGAATCCGAGATAATAGAAGCAGCAACAATGGCCAATGCCCATAAATTCATATCAGCTTTGCCTGATGGATACAAGACATTTGTGGGAGAAAGAGGAGTTCAACTATCAGGAGGGCAGAAACAGAGAATAGCGATTGCTAGGGCATTTCTGAGAAAGGCCGAGTTGATGCTTCTTGATGAGGCAACAAGTGCGCTTGATGCTGAGTCTGAGAGGTCTGTTCAGGAGGCTCTGGACCGTGCGTGTTCTGGAAAAACAACAATTATAGTTGCACATAGGCTATCGACTATTAGGAATGCTAGTCTTATTGCAGTGATTGACGATGGGAAAGTGGCAGAGCAAGGATCTCACTCACATTTGTTGAAAAATCACGCGGATGGCATCTATGCACGAATGATTCAATTACAACGGTTTACACACGGTCAAGTGGTCGAGATGACATCGGGTTCGAGTTCTTCCGCGAGACCAAAAGATGATGAAAGAGAAAGCTAGTTGCTCGGAAACAAGTCCCGGTAATATAGTATGCCTTGTACCCATCATGATTATTGGCTTCTTCTTCTTCTTCTTCTTGGGCTTCCCCACTTTAGATAGTATAGTTTGTGTATCATCCCTCTCCTCCAATTTAAGAATATATCTTCTTGTGTTTCTGAATCTCACCATGGAAGTGACAGACAAATACACGAATGATAATGAAATATATTGACAGATAGGCTGAAGTTCTGGAGAACTTATTGAAGGCATTCCCGTTTCAGTTCACCGCTGTTAGTCTGTTATAGTGGGGGCTACTTCACGCCTTGCAGTGTAAATGAGACGATTGAATTGTTACATTTGGATGATTGAATTTCATACTAAAAATAATTCCAGCAAACTTGTAAAAATAATTTAAAAAATGTGTTTAAAGAGAAATAAATTAAAAACTTTATAGAGTACTTATAATCTTAGAGAAATGAATCAGAGTCCGGAGGAGAAAGAACCAAAGGAGCCATTTTATATTACAGGTCGGAAATCAAATATTTTAAACCACGATCTTTGTGTCAGGGCAAATTTAAGATTTGGCCTCTCCTGTCTAGTTATTGGGTCTTAAATTAAAGTTGGATACCTTACATCAAAAAATAAAATTAATCCCCATCCTAATTTTTTTTTGAATGAGATCTCCATTATAATTAGGAAGAATTATAATGAGGTCCCAAGCAAGGAAAACAATTGAAAAACAAGTCTCAGAGGTTGTCATTTCCACTGTAGAACTTGTCATTATAAACTGCTCAAGTTATTATTGGGATTTTTTAGTAATTATTTATCTTCTATAAAACTTGATTGTAATTCTTCCTTATAATTATTAGTTACAGAGGTTCGATCTGTTTTTTTTTTTAACAGAGAGAGAAACAACTAGAGACATTAAATAGAGACTAAAAGGCTATATCATACTCACGGGAGTTGGGTCCTACAGAAGGGGTTTGTCTCTCACAATGTGACGAATCAATGTTCGAATCCCTACTGAGAGAGGTGCATACAATATACATTTAGTGCCCGATAGTGTTTTAAATAGGATTGCTTTCAATAAAAAGATACTTATACTAAAAAAAAGCTATCATCAGGTGGCACAAAGTGAAGACCCGGGGCCTTCGATAGCGCGCCCTTTGCGAGGAAATCTGCTACCTTCACGAGTTCTCTTGGTGTATATTCGATCTGTTTTGAGATAGCTCTTTGGTATACTCTATTTTGACACAACTCTTCGGCAGAGTCGGAAAGGCATATAGAGAAGGCCAGAAAGCATGTTGTTGGTGTTCATGAGCCTAATATCGATTTGATGCTCGGCTTGATTAAGCCCTCAGGCCCATTATTTAGGCCCAATTCCCAGCCCATGTATACCCAATTTTATTGAACAAATCTCCACATGATGTCCAGTAAAAGCAAGGAAAAACAGCCTCAACTCCCAGATCCTTTTCTAATTATCTATTATTTTTTATTTAATTTTATAATGTAAATTATACAGGCATTATAATTATAGCATTATAATTCAAAAATAAAACTCTAATGATTTGATTTCATATTCAATCTATTGTAATTCCATTATATACTCAACGCATTGTAATCCTGATAATACGATTATATTAGTAAATAATTGTTGTTCTTGAATAAGATTCCACATCCTGATAATAAGATTATATTAATAAATCATTGTTGTTCTTGATTTAGATTCCACAAAGTCTGGCACTATATATCACATTAAAATTAGTATTTACATCATATTTGATCACTTATTTTTTTGAGTCATTTTTTACTGGCCGTACGACACGGAGGAGTAAAATGTGGTCTATATATACGTCTGCGGAGTTTTGAGTTTTCAGCCATATTATTTTGACCACAATATCATTAAATTTTAAATTATTAAATTATTGGGGTCCCGCGTATTTAAGAGATGACTTGATGCAATTTGGGGATCATGACGTTTGCTTGTAGGCTGCATCTACCTGGGAGGTAAGTGGCTGCTGGCTCGTCGTCTTCTCCGAAAGATGACTTGCCGTGTCAACTCGGGTTCCTCTTTTCCAGACTTTTTCTTCCCCACAAGTGAAGAGCTCTCTCACTCATATTTCATCAAATGCTTCCAAATATATGTTTTGCTGCTATTCAGTATTCACACACAGATCGTGTGTGTTTCCAAAACTAGCGGTGCAAGCAAAACAAGCCCCATTGTAGCTATTATTGCCTCTTTGACTTCTTTTTTCATGACCCAACAACACTCACCGCTTCTGCCCCGAAACTGCCAAATCCTAAACTAATTTACTAATTATGGCAGACGACAAAGAGCCAGCTTCACATACAGCAGGTCTAGCCAGTTTTATCAGCCAGCTTCAAGAATTTACATACTAGTAATTTATTATTCAGAAGCCACCTGATTTGCATCCGGCTTTGTTCCTCCCTTTATACTGATATTATTTTTATTTTCTCTATGCTTTTTTACCATCTGAATTTATTTTTAAAAGCTTCCATTATTCAAATCAATATATCATTCAATCAACAAAATTTCCCTGAGATTATTCGTCAGATTGACCGGAAAAAGATTCTAATCAAGAAATATAAGGCACATAAAATAGTGATTTCCCGTTTAAACAACCTTCTTCCCATGAATATTTAACAACTCGGAACGATAAATATTTCCATACTCTTTACTTATACTTGGTTTCCCCATCCATTACCAGTCCAGGCTTTCCAACAATTACCACCCGGCCTTCTTCCATTCTAAAGGAAAGCTTTGCAAATTACCATCCTTCTCGTGCTTGCCACGACCACACTCATATATTTACACTATTTAGTGAGACTGAGGGGGCCGGCTGCGGGGAAAAAGAAAAAAACAAGGAAACAATTGATATAACATTAAAACCAACAATAACAAACTCAAGAATTCTTCATCATAGATAAATATTTCCTGGCTTCAAACGACCTTTGTAGCTCACCGTAAAGCATGTCAATTTGTATCCAGTTCAACAAGCCAAGAATTACCGTGGGATTAAACCGTATCAAAGCATATCAGGCTCAAGTCTTCCCAATGGTCTTGCCTAAAATGACATCATAGCGGTCAAACCGTGAAATTAGACAAAAAAATGACAACCTTGCAGGTATACATGTATGATAGGACCAACATGTGCTCATGAATAATAATTATTAACATAAAAAATGCAGGGCAACAAGAGATAACAGCCCCGGTCATTTTTCCAAAAACAAAAAACATATTTGAACGGTTTGCTCAATGTATGCATTACCAAATATGCCCAGCTTCAAATGCCGAACCTCTGAACAAGGAAAAGAATATCATTAGAGTCAGATTCCGTGGGTGTGCTAAAAGAGAGCAGGGGCTCTGATTCCTTCTAAACTAAGTAAATATAACCAAGAACTTAACAACTTCACTGAGCACAAATTCATAGTGACAACAATACACTAGTGCGCCCTCCCATGCATAAGGGAGTTCAACTGATCAACTTCTTTGGCAAAACAGGGAAAGGCTGTGTACATTAATATTGAGGATGCATGCAGGCCTTTTAGAAACTAAGAATCTGATCATTGGTAAATGGTAAGAAAACTGTCTGAAGATTGGACATAGAATTCTACAAGATGTAACTGGGAGGAGTAAACTCTTAAAGACATGGACAAACATAATCCAAAGAAATTTTCTCCGTCCTTAAGTAGCAACATAATCAATCCACGTGCTTAAGTTTATAGGTCTTCCAGCAAGTCAAAATTTCTCACATCAAAGTCCTGACGGAATAATTTGACCCAATGGTCTGTAACACTAAAGTAGCCAATGCTATATTTGTTCCACAATGCTAATAGTTATCATAAGATTTGAATATCTATCATTGCTAACATCATGTAGCCCATCCAGCAAACTAATGCACTAGAGATCTCAGCCCTGCACCAAAAAATATATTTGGAAAGTAGTCTGTATTTTACTTCACTCTTCGCCGGTTAAGTCAAAAGAGATCAATAGGATAAAGATAACCCATCTACAAGTGTAACCACTCCTTTTCCACATCATAATTTTGTAAAAGACGATTACCTAGATAATTTGGCCCATAGCATAGCTTACGTCTTAGAACAGAGTATAAAACTTGTGTACATATGAACTTCCATGCGTGCACGTTTTGGTAAATCCAAACATTTGCCGAGGACCGCAACGTGTTCCACCATATACACAAGTTATCCGAGTCAGACAACATCAACTATCTGTCGTTTTTGGATAGTCGATTTCCCTCCGCAATAGCCTACTCCAAAGCATTCACATTCATGATCCTAGAAGTGTTTGACAAACTCACAAACCACTTTGGGTCACTTAAATTTAAACCAGATAACAAAAAGCATCCAGAGTTAGGATTATGATAACCTTCACATGACTAATGAGGGAATTTATCAGATTAAGGAATCCTTACCTTATCTGCAAAAGATTCAGCAAAGGAATTATTATCTATCAACCCAGATTGGCAGATTGTCACTATCCTACCCCTATTTACTGTAATTTCCTCCTCTTTCCACAAGTGACTCAAGTTGCAAAGTAATAGTCTTATCTGAAATTAGAGCAAGCAATTTCCCTTAGCAGCATTATGTGACAAATCATAAGAATACATTAACCCAGAAATATTTAATGGGGCAGGATGAGACTATCCAAATTCTCGCTCCACTCTATCCTAAGCTCAGCAGTAAAGCAAGGAGTTCTATGAAGAAATAAGCTAGTGCCTATGAAAGAACAGAACAAGTAAATTTCACCCAATTTTAGCAAATAAAGAAAAGATAAATGAGATTAAATGAACCACTAAAAGACCACATCTAGTCCTTAGAAGAATACCAATTATGCCGGCTTGATGCTGTAGGCATCTATCCAAACATTTATTCACAAGATAACACAATCTGATAAATCAGTTTAATACAATGAGCAGTTATTACTCAGATCAAAATCTTCAGCAGTAAATTTTTGATCATGTTGTCGGCAAGAAACGACAAAGATATAGCTACCAAGCCACTAAATTACGGCTCCATAGCTTGCATGAAGAACGTGTGTCTCTCCAAAAGGGAAGCTCTCCTCCTTACACATCTTACTCATCATACTACATTCGTCCATTTAAACCCCAATGCACATCTTCATTCTCACCCAGCTCTGTTTTCTATTTAATGTGAAGGTTCATCTCCCAGATATACCTCACCCAGTAGTTCATAGGCTGGTACAAATCCCTGACCCACCATCAATTTCCTCATCTCACAACTAGCTCTGTTCAGGCAGAGTCTACGGCCCGACTTTCCATCCTACCTTCAAGGACTACAGAAAACATGAGAAACCTTATTTTTGAGCAGCCTGATCGAACAATTCCAGAATATGCTTCAACTAAGCTGCAATATGCCTGGGAATCTATACGAAACCCAGTGATCATACCACTCTTGAAACTAGCTGTCATACTGTGCTCAGGTATGTCAATCATGCTATTTGTTGAAAGAGTACTCATGGCACTTGTTCTTTTGGGGGTTAAAGTGTTGAGGAAGAAAAAATACACCAAGTACAAGTTGGATGACCTGAAACAAGACCTAGAAAGAAACAAAAACTACCCCATGGTGTTGATCCAGATACCTATGTACAATGAGAGAGAGGTAAGCTTTCCTTCTGACCATGAAGCCACGCACCATCGCAAGGTTCAATCAAATCACCAGATGATATTTATCATTTTTGTATCCAAAAGATCATGCATCCATCCAATTCTGAAATAACAAGTTTTAAGATCAGCTGATAATGGTCAGTACTTCTAAATAACCATGATAAACCATAAAAGCATTGTTTATTAGTAATCAGGAGAAAGCTTTAAGTGAAAATAAATCAACTGGATTCTTTTCTTCTCAAACACTTCCTATAGCATGTCATACCTTACTCTTTGCTCTCTCTTTTTCTTTTTACTTTCAATTGCCTGTTTTTAATGTTAATTTTCCCTACCTTCTTTCAATTGACAGAAGCAAGCATCTGGCAAAGGAAGCTCACCAAGGCTTTCCAGCCAGATTGTCAATTCATATGGTTTAATGCCTCCACAATCATACACATGATTTTATAACAAATAAGCAGTGTAACTGATAAGCATGAACCCCTGCTAACTGATGAAGTGAAAGAAGCACATGTTATCTATGCTTTTATAACTACAAACTCACAACAAAAGACCACGGGTTAAGAGTGATGCTTCATAAAGATGAAATACCTTCAAACTATAAATTTGGATTTCTGTCTCCAGGTCTACAAGCTTTCCATTGGAGCAGCATGTGCACTTTCATGGCCATCTGACAAACTCATAGTTCAGGTTCTTGATGACTCCACCAATCAAGTCTTAAGGGTATCTCACTAATCCAGCAGATCTTCATTGCAGACCCCTTTCTTGTATAAATTTGCTATAACCATGTGCCTATAACTATGCAGGAATTGGTTGAACAGGAGTGTCATAAATGGATACGAAAAGGTGTTAACGTCAAGTATGAAACCAGGAGTAATCGAAATGGTTACAAAGCTGGGGCCATGAAAGAGGGTTTGGAGAAGGAATATGTCAACAATTGTGAATTTGTGGCGATTTTTGATGCAGATTTCCAACCAGATCCGGATTTTCTCTGGAGAACCATCCCTTACCTGCTTCAGAACCCAAAATTGGGCTTGGTTCAGGCCAGATGGAAATTTGGTACATAACATCAACTTTAAAAACTATTTCATTCATATTAGTATGGATGCATCCATTGCTTAGAGCTCAGGAATTCAAAGTATTGCTGAACCATTTTTGTTACATGCAGTAAATTCAGATGAGTGTATAATGACCCGAATTCAAGAAATGTCACTTGATTATCACTTCAGTGTTGAACAAGAAGTGGGTTCCTCAACGTACTCATTCTTTGGGTTCAATGGTAAGTTAGTTAACAGGCTAACTAAACTACATTTAGAAAAGCACATCAGCATACCAGCATACTCAAATGTCCATTATAACATACAGGGACGGCAGGAGTTTGGAGAATTAGAGCAATAAATGATGCAGGGGGCTGGAAAGATCGAACCACTGTTGAAGATATGGATCTGGCAGTCAGGGCTAGCCTTAAGGGCTGGGAATTTGTTTTTGTTGGTGATGTGGCAGTGAGTTCTTAACTTATTCTTCTTGTGCTATTTTGACTACATCTAAGCTTCAATAGCTATTAACTAGAGCCTTTCTGCTACTTGCAAGGTGAAAAATGAACTACCAAGTACATTTAAAGCCTACAGATATCAGCAGCACAGATGGTCATGTGGCCCCGCTAATCTCTTCAAAAAAATGACCAAAGAAATAATCTCTTGTAGCGTAAGTAGGCACCAATGTTTAAAACAACCAAAAGGACCCAATTCCCCATAGCTATCCTGATTCACAAACTTTTATCAGTAATAAATTGATTGACACCTAGTTGTGTCATGCAGAGGGTATCGGCTTTTAAGAGATTCCATCTTGTCTATGCTTTCTTTTTCGTGAGGAAGATAGTTGCACATTGGGTGACTTTTTTCTTCTACTGCATAGTTATACCGGCCAGTGTGATAGTTCCAGAAATCACTCTTCAAAAGCAGATTGCAATATACATTCCAGCTACTATTACAATTCTAAATGCAGTATGCACTCCAAGGTAAATTGTTCTAACGGCATTGCAACTTTGTCAAATGATCTCATTCATCTTAGTTATTCAACAATGTCTTGTTTATGGAACAGGTCCCTGCATCTTCTAGTACTCTGGATACTGTTTGAGAATGTCATGTCACTCCATCGGACTAAAGCAGCAATTATAGGCTTGTTGGAAGCAAATCGTGTCAATGAATGGGTTGTCACTGAGAAGCTTGGTAATGCGCTGAAACAAAAGAACAATCTTAGGCCATCAAGGAAGTCAAGATTTCGATTTCGATTTACAGAAAGGTATTTGCACGTTTGCTTTGAGTCTGTCCAAAACAAAGCACTTTATCCATCAGTAACACAGCAAAATTGCCACTTAATCCATCTGTAGGATAGAAAAAGTAGTATGACCATCAAAGAGAGAACAGAGAACTGCCAATAATGTCTTAATTGCTTATTCTGTAAGATTTGGACTAAAGCATAACATAACATGGAAGACAGGATTACATTTTTAGGTAAAGTATATAATCCCAACAACAATGAACTATTACTCATCGTTGATTAATTCTTACGCATATTTATAATCCTCCGATTTTATCAACAGAATACACCCACTGGAGATACTCATGGGGATGTTTTTGCTGCATTGTGCAATCTATGACCTGCTATTCGGGCACGACCATTTCTTCGTCTATCTTTTACTGCAGGCCGGAGCTTTCTTCACAATGGGATTTGGGCAGGTGGGAACAATTGTCCCCAACTGAATCATAAAGGCAATGATCAAAATATTAGTTTATTGTACAACTCAGTCAGTACTGCTTGTGCTCGGGCTGTAATTGTAGTATGTTACCTTATCTATCGGTATAAAACTGGTCAGGTTGTTACAGGCTATTTACTAGCAGAACTAGAGCAGGTATAGTTGGGATCATCTCGGTAGCCATGCATCCCAATCATGAATAAAACGTAAAACTGTGGACAATAATGAAGCACAAGTGCACAAGTTAATGTATAGTCTCGTTCATCATTAAAAGTGGGGCGCTTTTAAGACTCATCTCTCATTTAACACTAGCTTGAATGCTTAACTTCTTAAAACGAAAAGAAGATTACTTGGAAAATGCAAAAACAAGAACCTTTAGACAACATGGAGGAAATCAAAATGGATCGGTGTTCAATAGATTATTTTCTAACCTTCCACGATAAAAGGCTAAATGGAGTTTGTAAAAAGCTTCGTCCAAGTTATGTGCTTCGAATTTCACCAGATAAAGAGACCACAACAAGAATAAAATACAAGGATAATAGTACCATCCAGCGCACACCTCTGTCGGTGATGCTTTTCTTTAAATAAAATTGAACATGTACTAGAGAGAAGAGAGAGACGAGACTTGGCTTAGGCGCGAGATCGCATCATTTTCACCGAATTGATAACCCTCTAATCGTCCATCAAACAATGCCATTTCAGAAAGACATTTTTTAAAATGTAAAATAGCATAAAGACATTTCAACTCCTAAAACAAGTCAAAACCATCTACCTCTGAAATGGATGGAAAGAAAGCAAAATGCACAGACGGGGGGGAGTCTGGGGCCCTCTGAGGAGGGTTCACGTCGCTTAATTGGACAATTCTGGTTTCGTTTGGGAAGGAAACCTGTGCAATTGACAGAGAACAACCGGTAGAGATCGGGGAACCGAAAATAAGTCTGGAGAAAGGTTCAAGGCATTGTTTAAAAAAAATTTTAAAAAAAATCCACATGACATAAACGGAGTTGACAACTTCGACATTGTGGCCGGCATCAGTCAGCGGGAGAAGATCCGAGCTGGCGGGCATGGTGTTCCCGCCTCGCGGGGACGGACGCTTCAAGTGGTGGAATTCACGGGCCATATTTTTAGCCTTTTGTCCGCAAAGCCCATTTGCATCTGAGATGGACTGACTGAATATAGCTGAGCGCATTTTAAGAAATGCAGGCTCAGAATACAGACCCAATAACTTATGCAGACAGTGGCACGTCCAAAATATAGTTTAAACTTGAGATGAGATGGCGCCCGATAATTACACTTTTTCAGATTGGCAAATACCTCGTACCAAAAACAGTGAAGTTACACGCCGTTATAAAAACTTTCGAGAGGGAAGAATGGGTGGGTCAAATTATTGTAAGGAAAGGAAGAAAGCTGAATAGAGTTAAAATTCAGAACCGAACAAGTTTATGTAAGTGTGAGTCAAAAACAAAAAGTTTATGAAAATGGAGCAGTCAGGGTATGGAAGGGAAGAGGGAAGGAAGTTTCCGCATGGAACGCGTTCTGGTAGAGGAGGACAAATTGAGAGGAAGTTTCCGAAGCATAGACGGGAGAGAGTAGGGACGTGACAGTACCCGATCTGAAAACGGGAACCGTGTCTGACATGCTTTTATGGAGGAGCAAAGAGAGGGAAGGACCGACGTGTTAAAAGTTAAAACACACGACTTTTAAAATCAACTAGACAAAAAAAAATATATATATATATATATATATATATAGTGCTTATTTTTTATTTTGTAAATTAGGATCAGTATGGCTTCCACGGTTCCACCTTGGTATCTTACCATGTGCATCACACTCACGACTGGGAGATCATCATGAATGGATGATGAAGAATGGTGCCGAATAAGATGAACACGTTTTCCTTCTTTTCGTAATTTTCTGCACTGCCCTTGTCCCACTGGCTGTTCCGTGTGTTATCATTATGTTCCTCCTGGTTGTCCTTGTCCGTCTCATTTTGTTCGGATTCCGGAATTATTCGGAATCTTTGGCCATTCCCTTCCCTTATGAGATTTCAAAAAATCAACGATATTTATTTAAAGTTGCTTATGTTAAATATTTATTATATTTATTATAAATCATGATTAAAAAATTATAATTGTATTATTATTCTAAACAAACACTTAAAACACGGAAGAGTGGTCATATATATACACGCACACATATGTATGAGTTATTATAGATTTTGTATTTTATATCAGTTGTTACAGATGTTCTTAATGTTAGATAGCAATTGGTATTATTATGCAGTTTCTTAATAACTTGTCTTCAACTGGGACGGTGGATGCATTATATATACATTGTTTTTATTTTTCATTGTACTGCTATTGACTTGGGGAAAATTTATTCTCTTTTCAATTGGCACCATCACGGACGATTTAATTAAAATGTTTGATACTCCCAAAGAAATACTTGAAATGTGATTATTATTATTATTATATTTGTCTCTTTATTTGCTTGTCAGCTTTTAAAGATTATTTCCAACTAGTGTGGTGCATATAATAATTGAGCCGGGCAGAGGAGAGTGTTCCAAATCACAAAGACGAGGCACTTTCCTGGCAATACAAGCCAGGACTGCGCGAGACCAGAATCCCAGAGAAAGACTCCTCCCCCGGCATTTAAACGGGCTTGTAAGGAAATTTCCAAATTTCCACAGGAAGGGGCCGCTGAACTTGCAATTTTCTTGGGTGAAATCAGACCTGGCATCTCAACGATCTTCACAAACGCCATGGAGCCCACCGTATAGAAGACGTGGTCACTAATTTTGTAGAGCGTTCACCTCATAAACACAAAGCATCCGGCTACACTCCCATGGAATGAATCACGGAAATACAAATTTAGCTGATGTGCTCGCGAGGCATATTAATTTTGTGGTGAAGCTTTTCATCCAGCCAAAAATGGAAACAGAGTCAACACGATTCTTGAATAACACCGAGAAACTAAGAAAATAAAAGTCAAATAGTGGCAGCACATAAAAAGAATTTAACACGATATACGAACAAATAAAAGTGAATGACATAAGATTTGAATTAATAATTTCTGCAATTTCAAATATGAAAGAAGAAATCAAGTTATTTACGGGAACGGGCGCATATATTATGTAGCATAACGTAACATTGGACTTCTGTTTTTTTTCTTTTTCTGTAAATGAATGGACCTGTGTTATTATATTAAACTGAGATATTGAAATTCAAATTAAAATGGACGGAATAATAAGGAGGTGAATAATCCAGAAAATTGTGGCAACCCCTGCGAATGGGAAGGGAAGTTTGTTTAATTAACTTTATGAAACTTGGCTGACCAGTCGGGGAAGAGAGATGATGGTCTATACACGCCTCTTAAACACACATATATCCACCATGCAATATAGCTCCACATACATACATAACATTGCACAGGTCCAGCCCCACTCGCCTCTCCTTGCTCTTTCCCTACCTATTATATATACCAGTCCTTGCCTCCAATTTCACTCTTCAAAATAACAGCCAACTGCTTCTAATCAAATCCAAACCCTAACGTTCTAATTCCAGTATGGGCGAGGTCAGTTCCTTTTCTTCTCCATCTCCGTTCCCATTCTTTCACCCGAAATTTCATTTTTTTTTTCAGTTTTATTTCCTTTCTGTGGTATTACGCTCTCCCCTTCTCATTCTCTCGTTTATGCACGCAGAAGAAAGATGACGCTCCCCCCTCTGTGGTTTTCAAGCTCGATATGCATTGTGAAGGCTGCGCCAAGAAGGTGAAAAAATCCGTCCGCCGCTTCCCTGGTACGCTTTATTCCTTCAGTTCTATTTGCTGTCCGGTTTAACTCTATTTCGGACTGACAATCCCTCTCCCTCTCCATATTTATTTGCTTCAGAATGACTACTGGAATCGGGAATTCAACCCTCAATTTTGGCTGTTCTTATGTTTCAGGTGTGGAAGGCGTCAAGGTGGATGTGTCCGCCAATAAACTGACAGTGATCGGTAAAGTGGACCCCGCAAAGGTGCGGGAGGAGCTGGCGGAGAAAACCAAGAAGAAGGTGGAGATCGTCTCCCCTCAGCCTAAGAAAGACGCCGGTGGCGATAAAAAGCCAGATGAGAAACCGGAGAAGAAGGCTGAGCAGAAGAAGTCTGATGATAAAAAGGACCAAGATAAAAAGTCGAAAGAGGTATTTGACCATACTTCCGTTGCTGCTGAAAATGCCTTCTCTCAGTCAATGCGAGACATATTTCGCATTCCAATTTATTAGCGAATTGGCTTCTCTGCCTAATTTTCATTTTGCTTGTTTGATCACGGCACCCGCGTTTTTCATGTTGAATTTGTTTGGTTATGGTAATTACTAACCGACTTTAATTAAATTAACTTGGTTTTGCTTGACTCAGAGTACGGTGGTTTTGAAGATCAGATTACACTGCGACGGTTGCATCCAAAAAATCCGAAAAATCATACTCAAGTATAAAGGTGTGCGCCATCAGCTTTATCTATATTTGACCAGAATTGTTGAATATGTCTCCTCAATTTCCTATTAATTTATTATTATAATTTACAAAAGAAAATAAATATTTAATTCAATTCATTTAACAAGGCCACCGGCGGTTCTTAATTTTCCGTGGAAAACCATGGCGTGCAGGAGTTGAATCGGTGAACATAGATGCAGGCAAAGACTTGGTAACCGTAAAAGGGACGATGGACGTGAAAGAAATGGCGCCATATCTGAAGGGTAAGCTGAAACGAAACGTGGAGGTGGTCCCCCCAAAGAAAGACGATGAGAAGAAAGACAAAGGAGAAGCAAAATCCGGCGGCGGAGACGGAGGCAAGAAGAAAGAGGATGGGCCAAAGGTGGAAGTGAACAAAATGGAATACTATGGGTACCCGCCGCCGCCGCCTATGTACTGGCCCGGCGGAGACTACCACCCTGGCGAAACCAGCTACGCTGTGGAATACCAAACGGAGGGAGGGTACTCAAACCAACCGGGGTACGCAAACCAGGGGTACGGTGTACCCTACTATCTGAATCCTCAAGCCCCGCACCCTCAGATGTTCAGCGACGAGAATCCCAATGCGTGTTCCATCATGTGATCATCTCACGGCGGACGTTTGAGTTTTTATAAATTCCATTCTTGTGTACACTCGGAGGGGCAGTCCCGGATAATTGTATATAGAAAAGTACAGCGATGCAGGGATTAGTAGAATCGGATTAGTAATTGGGGGATTTTTTTTAAAAAATAATATCGACTAGGTTATTTAGGCAGAGTTAGAGGATATGGGCCGCCGGCAGGATATTCTGGTCCATAAGGGGGGGGGGGGAAGACCTTGTATTAGTTGTTAGGTTTGTTTGGTTGTGATTGATTTTTCCATTCACATGTACTAAAAAGTTAAGAATTCATATGACAGGGTGTTCACTCTCACTCGGCCATGGAACCATGTGGATAGAACTTGCACGAAGGGGAATTCATATATATATTTGTAGGATTATTCCGTACCACTTCTGCTTGTTTAGCAAGGCGATATAAAGGGTCTTTATATGGAGGGGACTGTTGTTAATCAAATCAAATTATGACATGTTAACGTGTGATTAATTAATAGCGGTTCCTAAAGTCCCGATTCCCGTCTTTTCATTGAGATGACTTTGAACTATCTTGGCCCATCCTTACTTATCTTTGCCGGTTACGTTATACATTTAGTTTAGGGGCAAAAATAATTCGATGACAGTTAAAATTAAAAAACAAAAAAATCTGCACAATTAACATATGAATTGAAATATTCATTAGACATGGTTTAGCGGCCTTTTTTGAGTAGTTCAGCTTCATCTTAAGGCCCCGCACTGGTTGGACCCGGCAAAAAGGTGTGGCTAGTGGCCTGTCTTTTCTTTCTTCTTTTTGACTTTCTAGCTAGCTGCTATGGGAGGTAATTTCCAGTCTCATTTGCATCCGTGGTTTATTTAACACGCGTATATTTTGCTACAATAAGTTATTACATATTTAATTACGTTTATTACAAGTGCGTGACGCACGGATTAGCTTTGGAGGCACTGTGAGTTTGGGGTCTCATAAAGCTGACCAGTGTTTTTTCCGTGTTCCGAAAGTGTAAAATATCTCATTAAATAAATCTGGTGCCTGATCCTAGTCATAGTAATAATAATAAAGAGAGACGGGTTCAGGGAAAGCCCATTAAGTGAAATTTTTACAATTCCTTTGGAGGTAATTCCCAGTCTCATTTGCATTCGTGGCTTATTTAACACGCATAAGCTATTACATATTTAATTTTATTACAAGTGCGCGACGCACGGATTAGCTTTGGAGGCACTGTGAGTTTGTGGTCTCATAAAGCTGACCAGCGTTTTTTTCTGTGTTCCGAAAGTGTAAAATATTTCGTTAAAGAAATCTGGTGCCTGATCTTATTCATAATAATAATAATAATAATAATAATAATAAAGAGAGACGTGGTTCAAGGAAAGCCCGTCAAGTGAAATATTTACAATTCCTTGGTGTGGTCCTTAATCATTGCGATTTGCGAAAAGCGGAGCATTCTTCTGGCTTCACCTCTCTAGATCGGGATATTCTCTCTCTTTCAAAATTGTCATCAGTTTTCGGAAAGATGTGAGAAATGCGCGATCTATATATACACTCTATTGATGATGAACAGTAGTACTATACTACCATGCACATTCAAACGGGATTTGTCATTTTAGTAAGTTTTATAAATTTTATATTTATCATCTTTCTTTAATTAAACAAAAAATATGAAAGACATTCCTAAATTGAATGAAAGGTCTACAGCGCATATATAACCACTTTTTTTTTCCTCTTTGTGGTGTCTTTTCATCATTAATATGAATACAAAGCTTTTTTTTTTCCTCCGTTTGCGGCATAAAATACAAAGCCTGTGGCTGATGGTCCTCGTTGGAGTTAATTCGTCAACAGTAAGGCCGTTTAATCTAGGAATATTCCCCGTTGCATAGGGATCTTAATTAGGTGCCGGCGAAACACACCTAATGGGTACATTGCTGTATATATAATCCAGTGAATCAGACAAATCATGTATAAAACGCACGTAAATGATTCCGCCCTAACGCACCTTTTCACATGACAAATTATAAACTAGGCGCTTAACTGTTTAATTTACGTATGTGAAGATACCCCCACTTGTTTGAAAATCGATGATTTTCTCGTCCTTATCCTTTTTACTATTGTATCCCAACGAAGCCATATATATAAAGTATACATAAGTGTCCCCCGGTGCAATCAATTAAGGGAGAGAACTCGAATATATTGACAATTATTTTAATTAATGTACGTTACTGCTTAATTATAAACGGAACTATGATCAATAAAAGACTAACGAAAAGCTTAATTGAGCACTGAGTTAATTAGGTAGCAAATTATAGAGGTCCATCAGAAAACACGAGAGCCTCCATGCCCGGGGGAGTAAAACCACGTCTTGTTTTATATTACCTCCAATCTTATTTATAAGAGTTAGTTGACTAATTAGAATGGATGAAAGAAAAAAAAGTTAAGTTAGTTATTTGTAATAAATAGGTATTGTCCTTCCTAAAACATCCTTACTAATCAAGTATATTAGTTAGAACTATTATTATTAAAAGAACTATCTTAGAAAAAATATATAAATATAAAACACAAAGTGGATTAGGATCTTATATTTAGGATCAAAATAAAAATCAAATAAAATCTTATATTAAGGACCGGAAGTAATAATTAACCATGGGTTGAGTGGAAGAACTCTAACTTCGTTGAACGTTGACCGGCATTATTATTGGCCCTGTGGTGATGGCGCGATCACTTACATCAATAGTGAGAAAAATACATGAGAATTTTGGGGCACAAGCATGGACGGATATACGTAGCCAACAGAAACAAAAAAATACATGAACAATCCAAACTTGGCTTTCTTGGTGGCGAAGGGACATGAGAATGCAATAATTAGTTATCAAAACGGTGCCCTGTATGTATATATATTTGCGCCTGAGTAATTAACAATACAATTAATTAACAGTGACATTTTTGTTATTCATTGGATCCGCAGAGAAGAGCCGGTCCTGTCAATTCTTAAACCTCGCTCCATCTTCTCAGCTCGATGATGAAATTGGGGCCCCTGATTATGTGACCCTTTTCACTCCATCAATCCTGAAATATCATCACCATTTCACTATTACCATTACCAATATAATCAATCACTGTCACCATATATGTATATATTTATATATTCTATATCCTAATGTTGACAGCGGGAAAAAAGACGAATTGATGTGGAATTTTGGGGCAAATCTTGCCAAAGACTTTCGATTTCCACGCCTTGTTGAAACCATATACGTACATACGTATATGCATCGCCATCTTAATTTCACGGAGATTGGTCCCATCTGCCCAGTGCCCATTAACCACACCATCACCTGCTCCACCCCTCCGCTACTTGACTGATGCCTCACCCGTTATATTTACCGGCATTATATTACATTATTCAAACAATTATAATTACTTGTAGTTTCTAATTTAAACACTAATGACGTTTTCAAAAAAAATTAATTAATCCATTTAATGACATCCTCAGTGTACGTTTTCAAACTGTCGAGGCGGTCCGTTACACGTCCATAATCCCACCCACAATAATCTGTTGGGTTTGTTAATGAGGTCATGCCACCCGGCCCAGGCCCGTCTCACTCAACCCATGCTTCCTTTTATTATTATTATTTCTTAAATATTTTAGTAATGAGATTCACTTTCGATTGCCAGAAAATAAAGGAAGCAAGGGGTTCATTATTTTTTAAGCAATGCGGGTAAAAACGATGCATCACTCAAAGTTAGGTCCTTTGGGGACTCAGAAAGCCGGTTCATGCTCGTCACCGTACTGGCCTAACCGGGATGCCAGCGGTGAACAAGTATAAAATATTAATTATTAATTATTTATGGACTATGCACGCGAAAATTAAAATGAATGTTTTATAGTGACCTGGACAACTTTATAAAATATCTATAATGTACGTCATATCATCAGGAATCATCATTCACGGCTGCTATTTTTGCCCGCATCACATTCAAATTTGTTTTGCGTGCACAGAGTAATTGAAACTGAAATCTATAAAGTTGCCTTTCTGCATCTTTCCAGTTGTTATGTTATCAGCGGCAGTAATGATAATAATAATTTGATCTGGTGAAAAATAAATAACAATAATGTGATCTGCAGGCCTCAGACCACAGAGGCTCGCCCAGAAAAGAAAAAAACCAACGGCAACGTTTGTTGTACGTGCATGGGTGAAAAAGAAGGAATGGTTATAATATTGGGTTAAGATATTAAGAAAGCATATAGATATAATCATTCGGCCGAAGAGCTTCACCGGATGATCAACAGAGAAAGGTTAAAATAGAAGACCAGGAACAAAGACTGCGCGGCAATTATTAATCACCGTACAGGCCAATGAGATCACCTAAAATTTCAACGATAATGTAGTTTATTAACGGCTGGTTTTGTGGTTTAGGTATAAGCATATATGCACATACAGCAGCACATTATCTCACCTTTTTAAATTATGATTAGGGGCGGATGTTGAGGGCGGCATAACTCAAAATTATAGCTTTATAGGAAAATGATGGTTTTCTTAATATAGCCGACTGATAACAGCAGTTCATTAAGTATAGGCCAGCAAATATAATAAGGGGATGGCAGACGTGGGGTGGCAAGAGGTTTGGGATTTGACGTACAACTAGCCAGATGGCGATTTAATTTGGAAATATAATGATCAATTGAATTGTTCTTTTGATCCTCTGTGTTGATCAGGCAAGGGAGTGATATAATTAAGGTTATTTACATACATAGTACAACAAAACAGAATATTCGGGATGGGTTGGGGAACAAGAGAGAGAGCTGAATTAGTTGAAGGTAAGAGCGCCAGTGAATGAGTGATAGAATTGAGCAGTTGAGGTGAGGAGAGAGAAGTGGTTTAGGTAATGAGGAGATGAGAATATTCAAAGACAGAGGTAGGTGATTAAAAAACAAACGAATGTGGGGGGTTAGAGAGTCTGGGCGTGACACGAGGAGACGCAATATAATATTATAAAATACAGAGCGGTGGTTGTGTTTCATGTTGGAGGTAACTATAAGGACGGTTTAGGGGAAAAGCAGATTTTGGTAACAGCACGTTTGTTGTCTACTTGTTTTCAACAATGGAGGGACGTGGGGGTGAGTCAGCGTTGAATGCGACCCGGCCCCCTCAATATATATGTGTCCTCTTCTTCTTCTTCCTCCTTCCTTCCATGCCCATCCCCATCCTCCATCCATGCATATATCATACATCCACTCATCATCCAGTTTTAATCCCCAGATTATTATATATCTTTTATATATTCTTAACCACTTTTCTGCATAGAACAATATGTACGCGTGCTTCTTTTGTTGTTTAATTTAAGGAGCGAAGAACTAGAAGCATCCAGAAGGCGCAGCCAACACTGGCCATTCAATTTGCTGCGGACTTGATCATCCATCAGCAGAAATACCATATCCACACCCAATCCCAGATATCACTCATCATAAACATATGGGATCAGGTTTTCTTTTCTGTCAGTAATCAATATACACTACGTAGTAATAGCATCAGGGTTACACTTACAGCGGCGTGTATGCGTATTTTGAATTAATTGGCCGCGGAAATTCATATTTAAATTTTCTTTATCATCCAATATGCTCATCAATTAATACTGAATTCGTTGTTAACAATGTTTTTGGTTGTCAAATTTATTGTAATAACCGACAAATCGTGCCACCCTGACGAAATATAACTATAACTGTAAATAATAAAGTGGGTGCACCATGAAGTAATCCCTGGTTTCTCATAAACCACTAGTAGTAATTAAACAAGAGCGGACGTTGGATGGACGGTCCGGGCTAGCATCCTGTTCCACGTCAGTAACACGTGGTCCGTCTTGGAGCCCGACTTGCACCGTCTTTTTCGTGGCCCCTACGCGCTTCATATTATGCATACATATAGATGGACATATATAATTATAATCTGTCGTAATATACATATAATCGATAATTTGAAATGGCTCGAGTTGTCCGGACAAGATATGGTTTTTTGGGCTGATGTTTTCCAACTTGCCAGGTCTCAATCCAACTTGAGAATCCGCCGCCGGTTTTTACTTTTCTTTAATATATTTTGTTATCAGACATCTCATGGCATGTTTTGATAAAGGTCAGACGAAGTTGAACGTATTATCTCAAATATAGTAATTAATTTTTATTCATAAAAATATCATTGATTTAATTTTTTTCAAAAGGCGAGACATATAATCAGATGTCAAAATCCAAATCCGGCGGAGTTGACTGTAATTCCGTAATCCCTTCCCCCTCGCTCCCCTTCAGCGCGTGGCCGCGCAGCCTATATTTCATCTCTGACCATGACCATCCCTTTTTTTCCTCCTGGTGTATGGCTGACCATCTTTTGTGAGATTTGCAGTGCGACTTTTCGTTCCGGATATTGGTGGGGGAAGACGAATTGCAGTTCTGGCAGGGTTCTTATTACTCTATTTGCTTTCTTATTAAGCTCTTTTATCTTTTGTCGTTTAATTATCTTTTGTTGTGTAAATTTTAGTATCGGTTATGAATGTGCTCCTCCTTCGATCTTTTAATAAGATATTTTCAGTACTGTTATTATTATTAAATTTCACTGTGTAACTTTTTTTTTTTTTAAACTAACACGGAATAAAAACATTATGAAAAAGATGTACTACCTTCGATTCTTAATATAATAGTTCATTTGATTTTTATTTTGATCTTAAACACAAGACCTCAATTTAATTTATCTCTTATATTTATCTATTTTCCTTTAAGGTAATCTTTATAATAATGATGGTTATACCCAATACACTTAATCACCAAAGATATTTTAAGAAAGAACGCATGTTTATTATAAACAACTAATTTAACTGATTTTCTTAATTTACTCAAATTAGTCAACTAATTCTTATATTAAAAATCAGAGTTAATGATAAGTATCACATGTAGTGTTCCATAAAAATATAAAATCGTACCTAATTGAGATGTTTTGAAAGATTCTATATGAAATAAAAGAACTGGATGCAAGCTTTATGCTCTATAGTCTATACGAAGTTATGAACTTTGAGGCAGATGAAATTATCAATAATACATAGGAAGTTGTGTTATTCGGAAATTATAAACAACAAAAATGATTTCAAATCTTGTATAAATTCCATGAGGGGGTAGAGAAACATCGGCCTTAAAATTAACCAGCGGGCCTTTATCTGGCCTGCCTGCCTCTCCAATTTGATTGACGTTCGCAGCTGATTCAGTGGGAGGAGCCCGATTCCTATCTTGGGTTCTACTATATGAACAGGGCCAGATCCAATGGGCCTAGAATTCCCCGGCCACGTGAGAATTTGTCGCCTTTTTCCAGAAATCACATATCCTCATGTTCAAGATATCACCGACAAGTGTTGGCTTAAGTAGAAGAAATTTGAATATCTTAAATATCATGACCATAATTTGATCATTAAGACAATATGTATAAAAAAAAAAATATTGTTAGAAGGAATTTCTGTTAGCTGACAGTATTTTGAGGTATTAGCATCTTACTATTTGGGTTAGGGGATACCCTGGGAGAAAAAAAAAAAAAAAAAGGTTCAAGATATCAACGTCAGCATTTGGAAAACTCAAGAACAGTGTTACGTTCCGCAACCACCCCGGCCAAATTATATGAGAATCTAAAGTCAATCTGATCGAATGGCATCTACGATCTCACTTCCCCGTTCCCTGACGCCCCTTGCTCGGTCCCGGCCCAGATTCCCTCCATCTCGGATGCACCGGAATACATGGATCAATGTTAGTGGTGCTTCTAGACTCTCCTATTTCCCTCATTCTCACTCTCATTCTCCTCATCTTTTTCTTCCGCTTCGCCATCCTCTTCTTTTTCCTCCTCCTCCTCTTCATTCTCTGCGCCGACCTAGTTCACCTCCTTTTCGACATTCTCTCTCCCTAATGACCCCTCCTCAAGCTTCTTCCGCCTCCGATCACTCCTCTCCCGCCAAAACGGTATGCTCTCGCTTCTCTTCCTTTTTCAATTTCAGCAATTTCTTCCGTTTCTCGGGGCGTCGTACTTTTTGGGGATTTCTTTATGGAATGCATTCTAGTGAATTTCGTGTGCAGGATAGGGTTGTGATCAAGGGTCGGGTTCAGGGGGTATGGTACAGGAATTGGACCATCGAAAATGCGACGCAATTGGGACTAAAAGGTTGGGTGAGGAACAGGAAGGATGGGTCTGTGGAGGCTCTATTATCCGGCAGCCCTGAAGTGGTGCAGGAAATGGAGCAGAGGTGTCGCCGAGGCCCACCTCATGCGGTGGTCACTGGGCTTGAAATTTTCCCCAGCCAAGACGACCCTGGCACTGGATTCGAGTGCAAGCCTACCGTCTAATTACCGTGTCTAAAAAGAGAATTGGTTCTTATTGCCCTAGCTACTGTAGGTACTTACTGTCGTCATAAACAGCATAAATAACGCACCTGAACATTGAATACTCACAGGATTATATATGGACGATGTGGTTATGAATATCTAATATCTATTTACAGAGCATATGTCAGCTTGAATAATCTGGTTGCTTGAAAAATGTTGCTTTTGTTTCTCCAAAATGAAGTGGAAATTAGGATGATGGCTCTGCGTAGTGAACATCCTGGAATGGGCACACGCTTGCGGGGCTTGCTATGTAATTTGTAGCCTTTTGTTGCTAGACGCTTCTGGTATTATGGAGACATTCCTTCTGAGAATTTATTGTTGTTCATTGGGTGCGGGAAAATTTTTCGGCTGACTGCTCACCGCTTGCGACTTTCTGGCACCATCCAATTCGGGTATGCTAGACTCTATGATTTATTATTTTGTTGCCAGATAAATATAACAGTGTAAAATTCGGTTTAATTGAACAAGGGGATCATTTGAGCTTCATATTTTCACGTAGAAAGTGAAGTTTAAGAAATTCTCTGGCGACGGGCACTGATCAAGGAATTCTCTTGTATATCCACGGTTAGGCGTATAAAAATAACTCTTTTCCCGTAAACTGTCACTACATATTGCTCAGCACATAAGAATCTATGATGATTTTCTGGTGCACAAAAAAATCCGTGCGAAATCTTAGTTCAACAGCTTGCATGACGGGGTGGAGACGATATTTTTGTTGTTTTTAATGTTCGAAGGTTGAGCAGCTATGCTATGGAGCAAGTTAAAAAAGACTTTGGTTTAACTGAAAGTAGATAGTGCAGTTGGGCATTCATTGACAACTTGATAACTGAAAATATTGGAAATGGGAAGGCAGGAGGTTGGAGGCGATACCAGGAAATTTGATTTGTTGAGTATGTACTACTGTTACGAATTTCCTGGCGTGCCCATCCAACGGATCCCTTATGCCTGTGTCAATGAAGAGGCGGGACCAGCTTGTTTGATATTACAAGTGCTAGGAATCTGCATGGATTGGGGCCCCGTTTCCTCGAACAAGAACAAAGGAAGGGCTCTGTCTTTGGGATAAAAAAAAAAAAAGGGCCTAAGAAGATAGATAAGCGCCCATCCGGCAAAAAAAAGCAGTAGGAATTGCATTGCTGGTCAAAAAAGCAGTAGGAATTGCATTCTCCACTCAAAAGAGAAGGGTTTAATTCCCCGTCACGGTATTTGGAGACGCATCCCGGAATGAGAGTGCTTAGATTAATGTCTGAGGATATAATATAGATTAGTCCTGTTCTCAATATTAGTACTCTTCCGGTCCTTATTATAAGACCCAATTTGACTTTTTATTTGGTCCTAATTATAAGACCCAATTCATTTTGTCTCTTATGTTTATGCATTTTTTTTCAAAATAATCCTTCTAATAATGATAGTTTTAGCCAATATACTTAATTAGCAAGGATATTTTAGGAATGACAACACTTATTTATTATAAATAACCAACTTAACTTACTTCCTTAATCTCCTCAAATAAGTCAATTGGGTCTTATAATTAGGACCGGAGGAGTATTATTTAGGAGAAGCCGTTCAATCATCCTGCTTTCAGCTTGGATTGAGTTTGAACTTCTGCCTAAAACTTTTGTACCAAAAAAATATGTAAACCATTTTTCTCCCCAAAAATGCACTTTTAATCATTTAAGTCGACACCAAAATTTTATTAAATTATAAAATAAGATATGTGGCGATATATGATTAAAGAATTTGGCATAATAAATATTAAGGAATTGATGTAACTATTTTTCTTTCTTTAATAAATAAACAGCCCACGCGAAAAAATAATAATTTAATTGAAAAATTAGAATACAGATAATCTAGAAACGATAATTATTTCAGTGGTCGCTGATTGAACGCTTATGCGCTAGTGTATAGGCCAACACGATTAAATATACTTTTCTGGTTTTATTTTTCAACATATTTCATAGAAACTAAGAAAAAATCTTAAATTTTATTAACTCTCATTTAAAATTTAATCATTTTCTAACTTTATCTCTATATAATATATATTATACCTTATATAAACAAGGTCAACATAATAATAAATTAGAAGTAAAATTATATATTGATATAAAAAATTTTTTTCAGTGCCTTATAAATATGACTAAATAAAATACATATTATGCATTCTCTCTCGTCCTATGTATAGGGCCAAATTGAGCCAGTCTCTATCGAGGGAGATAGAAAAGGAGAGGGCGACTGAGTTGAAGAGTAGCGTAGCATAAGGCAAGTGTCGATCTTTCCACATTGAAGATTTCCCAATTATTCAATAAAAGACAAAAGAAAATAGAATGGACATATATTCTCACTTAACTATACTGCGGGCGCCATACTTACCCTAAATCTAAATTAATTATCACTATATTTGGGACTTATATATACTATAATAATTTTTTTTATGAATTTCATATTACACATTGGCATTATCTTTGGATGACATTTATTTTTTTAATTTAAATATTAACCCTTAAAGATTCCAAACAAACAATTAGGTATTACATTTGCATATATAACTTCCCCTATTAAATCTGCAATCCATTCATCCTGGAGGTTCTTTATATATCAACGAGGACCCAATTGATCATGAATCACAGAAAAAGATTATTCTGGTGCCTTCCTCATTAGAGATTGTGGATCTTGATCACAAAATATTGATTTAAATATCAGACTAAGTTGTGAATCCACGCAATATAGGGTTTCTTTTTTCTGACATTATATACCGTCAGTAGTGAAACTTATATTAATTTTATTGTATGTATCGGTGAACCAATCAAGGCCATTGTTATGTTTGTGAACTGAATTGATACGTTTTAGGGTATATAAGTTTGAACTCTTCTACATGCTACTTGTATAGATATGCACGGTTTGGACGAAATGTCATGGTCTATTACTATCTCCATCTCACTGTTAGCTGCATTTATAATAATTTGCCGTAAAGTTGGTTTCTCCAACTTGTTATAATTGCAAAGACCCCTGCTGTTCATTTAATATTTTTTAAAATTTATGTACTGTATAGTCCATGAATCATGATATGTCATATTTTTGCGGACGAGAATGACCGCATTTATAAAGAAGTCATATTGTAGGGTCATAATTAAGTTGGAGATATTTACTATAAAAAAACTTAATTATAAAAGTATTTATTAAAAAATTCAAATATAATTTTTTTAACTGCGAGAGTTACTTGTGATAGAAATAAAAGAGAAAACAAATATAAAATACACTGATTCAATTTAATATTTTTTTTCAACTCAGAATATTCTCAATTTGTTTTGAATTTAAGATGAATCTTTATTAAATTAAGAGCGTTAAGGTTAAAATCCTTATAATTAATAAGTGCCTTTTTTTAGGTTCAAGCTTGTGCATTTCTTCCTTACGACAATGAGACTGTTTATGATAGCTTGTTAGTTTTGATTTAATATTCTAAATTTTTCTAAATTATCTTAACATTGATCACTTCATTACATCACGACAAACCACGTTATTTTTATTATAAAAATAACATCACAGGGATATCATTTTCTTTAATGTATATAAGTTAGGCTACAAAATGTATTAAAGTATTAGTTTTCTGTTAAACAAACGCCTATTTTGGAAGTCATTTTAATTTGTTGACCTCTTCTTATAAAAAAATAGGATGCCAAAATTTTGTAGTCTGAGATGCTGATAGTTGAAGACTCCGATAAGGTATTCAAGCTGTGGGCATAACTGTGTCGCTGGAAAAGGAAATAATAAGAAAAAGAATAAAGAAAATTGGAAGAAAAGGGACCCAGCGCAGTTATGACTGATGATGAACACCTTCTTCAGATCGATTAAAAAACTCCATGGAACTTGAGTCATTCAGAAATCAGAAATATTAAATTAATTTGCAGAGAGCAGTGAAGACCACCGCATGCTGAATTGTTTATGAAAAAGTATAAATAAATAAAACTAAATAGGGGGGAACAAACAGAAACGTGACTGAAAACAAGCAAAGTATAGAATACAGCAATGGAAAAACAATAGTGAGGCGCTATGGGAACGCGTTGAACAGTTACATTTGCCGACACCGTCAAGAAGACATTGTGTTGTTGGATAACTGCTGAATATGCACGGATGTCCCCCCTTCCCAAATTCATTACCCTGCATGTTCTTGACATTTCTGTTCATATTGTTTGATCACATAACTGGTTAATTATGATTCATTGATTTGTCGTTCAAAGTTGAAGAACTTGTCACACTATTATAATAATATCATACACTATTAGGGACAGCAATTAGGCATAAGAGCTTCGGTGGCTTGGCAGAATAAAGGAGGCCAGCCTTCATGGAAGAATAATAATACAAATCAGCTTCAACGCGTCAAAGTTCGCATTAACTAATATGTCGCTGTATAGCTGCGTCATCCATCAACACGGAATCCAGAGAATATGGAAGCTTCCTCCATGCTTCTCACTCCATGCAATACCTTATGGGCTTATATATATATATATTCGATTCGATGTGATGCTCATCGATGGTGTCGATCTTCGTTCTGAAATATTATATCACATCAATTTTAAGCTCACTACTGAACTGAGATCTCAACCACAATCCGAGTCTACTGTCGGTGAAAGAAGAAGAAGAAGAAGAAGATCGGAAGATGCTGAAGCAGTCGAAGATCGCCAAGGTGCTGAAGGGTCTGTCAATGGGGGCAAAAGGTGTAAGAGTAAACAGATCAGGTCAAGAATCAGGAGGACGTGGAGCGGCAAGGAGGGTGCCGGAAGGGCATTTTGTGGTGGTGGCGGTGAAGGGCGAAGAAACGAAGAGGTTTATAGTGAAATTAGATTGCCTGAGGGATCCTGCTTTCTTGAGGCTGCTAGAGAAGGCCAGTGAAGAGTTTGGCTTTGGACAGAAGGGTCCTCTTTCCGTCCCTTGCAACCCTCAAGAACTCCAGAACATCATCGACAATCACGTGCGAAGCACGTGACCCCTTCATCTCTCTCTCTTCTGCCTAAATGCTAGCTAGCTTCAATTCGCACTGGGAAATTAGTTATACAGGGTACATAATGCGGTGTACTTAAAATGATATACACACCATTATTAGTTAATGACTTTGGACAAACACACAATTAGGCTTTTGTTCAATTAATCAAACACTTGTGTAAATCACATTTTTTCTGTATGGGGAAGATTATTGTGGTACACTTATTTCATTTATATTTGGATCGTACTGTGTACCTTATATTCTGGCCATGTCTGTCTTTTTGGGGATCGATGGCCATATTATTGTCTGTTCGTGTACGTTTGAAGAGTCAGAGTTAGGTTTTGTAATCAATTGTTCTCAAATTGTACCCCAAAAAAAAATTGTGCCCAAATCTTATGAACGGCCCTTCTGAGATTTATGATCGCTTTCTTCAATTAGAAATGGGGATTTCAATGCATCAAATAAAGCAGGCTGTGTTAATTTAACCTGTTCATTTAATTGGTTCCAAGCCGTACTGCAGCATCGGGTCCAAAATCACGGCGTGGCTTATAATTTAAGGTCTGAATGAGAATGAGTTTTAATGAAATAAAACGGTTATATGTTATATGAATAAATGTTCTATTTTTAATTTGAATTTGATTGAATAAAAAATATAGTAATATTCTGATGATGACTAGAGGACATTTTTAAATCATCAGTTATAAATGAGAGTATATTTGCCAGTTCTTCTTGGATTCCCAATACTTGGGGGTCAATCAATCTTAGCTTCGAATAGAATCTCATTTCCAAGTTTTGTGAGAATACGTGTGTCTGGCGAGAAACCTAACTCTGATGAGCTTACCCGACAAATTATGCGAGATAAAATTACCATTCTCGTTCTCTTTCCACCATTCCAATTTCAATATACCAAAATACTACCTCTAGTCTTCAATATAAGACCCTGTTTGATTTTTATTTTAGTCCTAAATATAAAATCCCAACTCACTTTATCTCTCATATTTATTCATCTTTTTCCAAAATAATCTTTTTAATAATGATAGTTCTAACTAATAAACTTGATTAGTAAGGATATTTTAATAAAGATAACACATATTTATTACAAATAACTAACTTAACTAACTTTTTTAATTTTTTCAAATTAGTCAACTAGACCTTATATTAAATACCAGGAGGTAGTAACTACCTCCTAAAATGCCTAAAATTAGTTAAGTTAATTATTTATAGTAAATAGATGTAACCCTTCCTAATATGCCTTTATTAATCATGTGTGTTTGAATTACAAATTAATAGTAACTTTTTAATATATGCAACTACTATAGAGATCACTTGAGAAAAATATGGATAAATATTGGAGATAAAATTAATTGAAATCTTATATTTAGGACCAAGTTGAAAGTCAAACTAACTTTTGTATTAAGAACAGGAAATAGTACTACCTCCGGTCCTTAATAAAGAACTAGTTAACTGATTTGAGTAGATTAAGGAAACTAGTGAAATTAGTTATTTGTAATAAAAATATGTTTTCTTTCCTAAAATATCCTTGCTAATCAAGTGTATTGATTAAAACTATCACTATTATAAAGATTATCTTAAAAAAATAAATAAATATGAGAGACAAAATGAATTGAGGTTTTATATCTAGGATCAAAATAAAAATCAAATAAGATTTTATATTAAGAATTGGAGGTAGTATTAACTAGTCACCTAAAATTAGTGAAGAACGAACGTGTCCGGACATGATGGGGTGGCACAACCCTTTTACATATTGAGTAACTACCGGATTTTTTTTCAAAATTTTTGTTAATCATAGTATCATATATTCCCTTCCTCCGATTTTGTTTTTCTTACATTAAACAAATAACTAATTTTTAGGAATAAAAATCGTAGCAAAGTAGCTGAATTCAATAAATATATAGTACCCATGAGAATCCTAATTTCAAAGAAACGGAGGAGTAACATATATATATGTGTGTGTGTGTGTGTGTCATAAAATAGTTAAATACCAAGAACAATGGAAGAAGGCGTCTCTGCTTGTTAGTTTTATAGGCTTGCAAATGGTAAATGCTGCATCGGTGATTGTATATAATTTCAAGCGGAAAAGGACGATAAAATGGTATATCGATCGCTGACAGTACTTATGGTTCATATATCAGGACCGCGTACCTGTTTTCCCCCTCCACGCGTCCCCTGGAATCTCTGCTTGCTTCCAAATCAATCGGAATCAGTTTCGGTGCTTATCAATTTGATAAGCATTTTAAACTTATTAAATCTCAATCATTTATATCTCATGTGAATAGTTTTGATTTAATTTTCTTTCTTTTTTATTTGTTTAAAATAATTATTTTAATATGTATAGAATCTAAAATAGAAATAATCTCTTAACTATCATTTTTTTAATCTAAAAATAATTAATTAAAGATTTTAAAGTTAGACCATTCAAATAAGATATAGATAGTTTAGATCTGACAAGCTTAGTAAGCCTGTCAAAGTGATGAGCACAAACTGGTTCTCAAGCGAACCAGTTTAATTACCGAGTACAGACAGAGATCTCCGTTTATCCGGTGTTCTAACTTCTAATTATTACAGCTTAGTCATCAAAAGACTGATTAGATCACTAAAATCCAGAAAACGTGGGACTTAAAACTTCAACATGAACAGTTAAACAACTGATATTTCTAGTTTGTGCCGACACACATACACTGCGAGGTAAATCCCACGGATCATTAATTTGTACCAAATGCACGGAAAATTTATAAATGAGCTTGGTCCCTCTCTTCTGTCTCACAAACTTCCACATCGATCATCGCCAAGATCCATTATTCGAAGACAATCGCCCTTGAGAAGGCTTCAGTGGTCACAAATCAAACCCTTCAAGATATCCAGGACAAGAAAAGAATTGGAGGTTGATCGGTCAATTACAAGATGGAGGGGTCTGCAAATTATGGATACGAAAGGATTTGCTCCGTTAAAGTCCCCGCGTATGATGAGAAGGAAGAAAATGACCCGTCAAATGTTGCATTAAATGCTATGTTTCTGCATCAACAAGCACAAGGGCCTCCACCTTTTTTTTTTTAAAAAAAAAACAAACGTCACGTATGTTTCTCCATATTTGGAAAATACGTTCTATATATGTCATAATAAAATTTCATGGATATTTGCTTCATTCAGTAACCCTACTTTTTCTAAATAAAGAGGTTTGAACCATTTCATGCAGGGTCATTAGTTCAGATGAAATTGATCAGTATATGCTGGCAGTTCATCATAACGTGCAGATTAAACCAAGCAGATTGATATTCCGTGATGATATTATATTTTAGGGTTTTCTCTTCAGATAGAATTGTGCATATGGATAGATGAAGTTATATTCTTCCTCATTTATAATCGTGCACGATTGTGTACGCGTTTTGATGTCCACTGTTGAGTACTGTAGACCCCGAAGATCATTAATTCATTATGTATCAATCACATATGCAGCTGTTAGCTCCAGTAGAAGATAGAAGGAACCTATGAATCTTACTATTCATGTCACGAAGCATCACATCCACCCTATGTTATCCATTTCGTCTAAACTTAATTACTTGGAGTGTCTGATCTATCTTATCGCCAGTTCCCCATTACGGAACCCACTTGCATCGTCCTGTGATTTTTAATTGAGAAAACTTCGCACACGGTATTGAAGAAAACCCCTGCATGGTTTTTTCTTTTCTTGTTTTGATGAAAAAGATAAACTATTGGAGTTTGCAAGTAACACATTTTTTGAAACAAAACTTTCTGCTCAGTAGTAAACCCTGAATACTCTCCAGAAATTTTCTCGCTGATCCCGTGCAAATAAACCTCCACAGATATTTTTGTACAAAGCGCGGATTATGTTTCTGCTAACAAATCTTGCACGCAACCAGCTAGCTAGGGACTTGGAATATAACGTGATCCAAAAGTTTGATCAAGACCGTACCCTAACGTGCCACACAGGGTATGAAAACAATATTAGTTGGGGCTCATATCATCTCGTTGTTTAAGGCCTTAACTTCGAATTTGAGCCCAATCGCTAATTAATTTCACTAGCCAACCATAATATAAAAAGGAAGAACTAATTAATCGACGCTTACTCGTTAGATATAAGAACGGGCAGCGTGTGAGAAAGAAAGAAAACGATGGGTCAATTGCCTGCATTAATTTGGACAGTAGCTCAACACACCACATGTCTACGTGAGGACCGTGTCGTATATGAAATTTCAAGGGGCGTTTCTCCCTCTCCATTTTCTCAGTATAAATAAGCCACTTCTTTGTAGCTTGTGCAGGACACTGCAAGCTCACTGTCAAATACATCAAGAAGTTGAGACACAGAGACTTGAAGAAAATGATTCGGTCTTTGGTTGAGAGAATAGTACAGAAGAGTCTCTCGCTGCTTGCGGGCAGAAGATATGAGCGCCGCCGGCTGGATGAAGAAGAAGTGGGAGCAGCAAATAATAAGACAGTTCCGGCCGACGTAATGGACGGCCAATTCGCGGTTCTAGCCATCGAAGGTAAAGAAGCGAAGAGGTTTATCCTTGAAATAGATTACTTGGCTGACCCAGAATTCTTGGAGCTGCTAGATCGGGCTCGGGAAGAGTATGGTTTTGGACAGCAAGGAGCTCTTTCAGTGCCTTGCCGCCCTCAAGAATTAGAGAAGATTCAGGAGAGTCGCAGCAGGAGAAACTCGCTTTCGACATAGAGACAACGTAACTACAGCAAGTTTACTACTGTATTGATCTGTGCCCGTGTCCAGTCACGGTTTGGTCTTAGGGATCATGTCTGGGAAACTGTCCGTCAATAGTTTTGATCTCTCATGTGTTAAATAGTGCAGTTAACCAAAGTCTGTTGAGTTAGTTATATGCATAACAATCTGTTTGGTCCCGACATAAACATATATAAATATATAAGGAGATGTACTAAACATAGATGTATGTACCCATCTAATACTCTTGTTTTCTTCTCTCTTCCTCACTCTTATTCTCTCCAATATCTATCATTTTTAGATCTTCATTCACACGCTCTATAAGAGCTTAATTCCTTTAACCACTATATATCTATGTATACAAGAGATACCGGTTGTCAGTCTACCAAACGTTCTTTCATCCGATCCTTTCTTAATGAAGTTGCGGACGGATATATAACACTTTCCTTGGAAACAAGTATTTAATAACCACAGTATTATTTTGCGTACAGTTTTCTGCAAGGAGAGTAATCCTTACCTGCAAAGTTTTTGCATCAGCAGATGGGGGGCACTTTAGGTAGATTATGTTCAGATAGATTATATATATTAATAATCTGGCTATGTGGTGCTAGAATCTCTCTAACTAGCGAGGGTCAAAGATTAAATGAACATAACAGCGGATTGATTTGCTAATTTAGTCTTGCGATTATGAGGAGGGGTTACATGAAATGAGTTTATATAACCCACTATCTTCATTTTGTTCTATATATAGGCCAGATTGATGTTTCAGCGGTTGACCCTACCAGCTTCTGATATTGATTAGTGCGTAATGGCAATATGTGTGTGTTGCCAGCCGCCTATAAGCCTACTGGCGGGGCCGTGGAGTTCATGTTATTTGATTTCAAGTGAGTATAAGAATCCGCGTAATGCATAAGGACAGAGGCTTGGTTATGCAAAGAAAGACGTGCTTTTACGCATAAATCATATATGTCTTGTCGACGAAGATAAATGGTACTCCTCCTGTCCTTAATATAGGACCCAATTCTTGAGTTGATCTTGGTCTTAAATATAAGACTCATTTTTCATATTTATCAATTTTCTCTAAATTACCCTTATGGATACTCCCTCAACCATAATTAAGTAGAAGAGGGAGAAGGGGTATTAAGAAGATGATTATGGTGTTTTAAGAAAAATGTGTCACTTTTATTATAATTAACTAACTTACCTAACTTCCTTAATCTAATCAAATTAGTTAAATGAGTCTTATATTAAGGACCGGAGGAGTAACTCGTATGTATATATATTTAATTATTCTTTTTATATAAAAGGAAAAACCCTAACAATTCCTGTTGTTTATAGGTAATGGATATCATCCGTCTTCTTAAACTCCATACAACTTATCCGGCCCATATATAGTTGTTTTTCAAATAAATAATTCACTGATTAATGAGACTTTTAAGTTTCAAAAGAAGGGTTCAACTTGTATCCAAGTGAATATATAAGAGAATATGCCTGCATTGTGTTTGTATATATCTAACCCCAACCTTGAAATTACTATAAAGAAACTTTTTTGATAATGATTTACCAATACAAACAAGCTTTGGAATCGAGTCATAAATATACTCAAGATTTTTTCTTTGTGATTAAGAGAGTTTTCTTAACTTTATCTATCAAAAAATGACGTGTCATATATGTGTGTAAAAAAAAATTAAAAACGAACGCATGAGCGAGGAAATAATTGTATCATAGTCCAATCCTATGAGCTATTGTTTTGGCTCTGCGGATGCTCCAAAAAGCACGCACGCACGCACGCACCCACGCTAGTTGGCCAGCCGCCGAGATGAATTAGCAGTTCACATAGCCGGAAAAAGAGGTGGCAGTCCTTTTTTCGCCTGAGAATTTCTTATTTAAAAATACAAGCCAAAATTAAATGTTGTTGTTTGAAGTTGTTTAATTCCCTCCCCCTTTTCAGGAAGAGACGGAGGGTGATGTAAGTTTTCTTGTTTTAGTTTTCGTCTGTTTTGTTTAAGTTATACAGGTTTCAATTCCCAAAAAAAATTGTTTAATTCCACATGAGGAACTGTTCTTTTTCTTAGGTAAAAAAACCACCTCAACCTTAAGAACACAAACACATGGCCCTTTCATAATTTAAATCGGGACAAAACTCTTCCCGCACACTTATTTCACTCACCTCATATTCTATAAATCATTCTAAACAAACCCTAAATTGAAACTTTACATCCATGTTTAAAAGTTTGCATGAGCTGTTTACCCATCAATTGCAGTTTTTTTTTTTTTCACGTACATGCCAACTTTTTTTCTTTTGTAAATAATTGCAAATATGCTTTACATTCCGCGGATCATTATTAGAACTTAGAACAAACTGAAAACCGCTTTGGAGTTCAATATAATCGATAACAAATATTTTAAAAATTTTAACTTTGAAAAATAAAGTTGTATTTACAATATAATTTTTTATATTTTAAAATCATTCCAATTTTAAAAGACGTAAAATGTAGAGTAAATAAAATATCATAAACGTCAATCATCAAAAAGTATTTAACAAACATAAAGTAGAAATAAAATCTGGAACATCCATGTTAAATTTGAAGCATCCAAATGTGCCGGCAAAACAGCAGCACCAACAGGCAAAGAGAAACCGGTCCCCCAGACGCTACGGCTTTAAAAAGACCAGGAAAGACATAATAGTCGACGCCATATTCCATATTCAGAACAAGAGAGCATAATACGTTTGATCCTTCAACAGAAGAATCATCGTTCTCCAGTATAGCAACCAAACAGATCACAATACAATGTCAGCAATTATGTAGCCAACAGGAAAACATAAAAATGACCTAAGGGAAATAAAGAGGCCAATTGAAGTAGTACGACTTTCGCAGTCTCTTGTTCATGTACTGGTTCCACTGCGTCAGCATAATTTTTTTATAAGGACACGATCACTTGATCAGAATAATATGGCAAAGCACAGAGAGTAACAATATATCAATAAAAAAATGGGTCTAAGAGAGGATAGTATACCATAAATTTATAGGGCTCGTTCTTTTTCCTCGCTTGTTTCCAGTGATACTGCTCAAATAGCATCGCTTTATCGTGCCAACTGCATGGCATAATATCTTTAATAACAAGATGAACTTATGCGTATAGCAAAAGAAAGCAAAATCGTCAACTCAGAGAGAAACTGCAGCAATCATATCATCCAACAAGTCCAATCTGTAAAAGAGGATAGAGGAACAACAAAGAACAAAGCAGCAAAAATCAACCTAAGAAGCAACTAATTGCAATGCTTTGGTTACCAAATGACGTTATGGGCCTAAAGTAAGATATCATTCACGGTTGAAATGTTCTAGTAGGATCCATCACATCCTTAATTTGTAAGCGTATACAAACCAATATGACAATTATGTCTCAGAAAAATCGAGTGCATAAGCGATAATTAACAATCAGAACATTGGATAGGACCGAACCCAGGCCTTGTCCTCTCATTTTCGTTTTTCCCATCTACTGGGTACTTGCATTTGAAAGGTTGAAGAAAAACGCAGAGAGCGAATTGCAGAGCTGGGTTGAACAAACATGCTGGGCAGCTCCACAGACATTGTCAATCTCACTTTGAATCATAAAGGTCGCAATAATTAGGGGAAAATTTTTTCAGAAGGCACGCATAGGGGCTAATCTCATCAAGAGAACGCCTTCTACCATACTGTCTATTTCTCATGCAAAGATGTCACAACAGTGACAAGCACAACAATTAAGCAATCTATTCCTCTCCAGGATAAATGAAGAATGGTATAAAAGAGGAAAGTTCATAACATCATGCGTACAAATGCACACAGGCAAAACCAAGCTGTTTTCAAACTAGAGACAAGACACAAATGGAAGCCAGTCCAAAGATGTAATGATGGCCGCATATTGGAATATCTATATATTTATTGAACCCCAATCACAAGGATGTACTTAATGGTACAGATATCAGCCCATCAAGCTCTCAGCAGGTACGTCCATTTGATGAAAAAAATGGATTCAACTGATACATAGAATGACAAAATATTGATACCAGCTAAGCACAAGAGATTGAACTCAGCCAAGTCCAGGTCTCAGATAGCCGGGAATGCCAAGGGGACAGAGGACTGAGAACTGCTCAACAAAACTAAGAGGACCACATGGAGTCACTTTCATATGAAGAGGCCAATTCCAATTCACCACCCAATATTTTTGAAAGCAAATGTTCAAAATGTATAATCAGAACTTCCAAAAGATTAAGAAAGTAAAGCAAGAAGCACACTTCAGTTGCCAACATTTTGTTCTTAATGTCAATGCCAGAGCCAGATAGCATTGCAGGGATTATAGTGTAGTAGTAATCTGATTAGACGAAGTATTAAGCTACTGATTACATCATATGCATGGTGAAACTTTGATCTAATGCACCAACAAAAAAAAAAAAAAAAACCACAAACGCACCCAGAAAGAGAAATTTTACGGGGATTCATTTCAATTTATTCACCAACAGTATCATTGAGTTGTACATCCTTGAAAACAGTAGTAAAAGAACAATTATATATAAGCCATATACTTTAGTTTCCTTCCTTAGAAATCTGTAACAGGACTGGTCTAGGCCCATCCTGGCCCGGGGCGGGAAGAAAAACCCACACAGACATAAAAAGCAGCAGCAGCAATGGCGCAACGTTTCTCTATTTGCATCCACACACACACACATATATATATAACAGAACATTTCTCCTTGTTCTTGTTTACAAATATGAGAAATCCTTTTAGCCGTTATGATACTTTGGTCATCGCAAAATACATTACATTTTTTTTTTGGGCGACAAAATACATTACACTTTATGACTAACGCATATCAGTCCTTGTGTATGGTTATGAATATATTGGCACCCAAAAAAAAAAAAAGAGGCCGTTTGGTTGTTGGAACGGATGAGTGAAATAGATTAAAGAAATAAAAATAAAAATGAAATGATCAAAATGTAGAAAGAGATACGTCAACAGTGTTCACGGAGGGAGAAGGAAGTTCATGAGTTTGGGAGTCATGATTCATGAGGTCATTAGAGGGTGTGTCGATTCCACATTTGTGGTACTGGGTTTTCCCACAGAAAGAATGATGCTAAGATAAATGTGCAACCAGCTTATCATTTTGTTTTTTATTTCTTTAATCTATGCCATTCTCATCCTTTCCAGCAACCACGCGGCCTCTGAAATTTTCTAATTGCTATGGACCCTGATTGACATGAAGTAATATCCAAAACAAGTAAGCTTGGAAATATGCAATGGAATGGCTCCGTCAGTTTATTGCAGTTATTATTTAGCGGGTTGTAAACTTGTAAGAGCATCTAGACAGCATCACAAGAAATAAATCATATTACTTTGTTTTTTCAACAAAACAGCGGGACAAATAGCTTTTCAGTATCATGTAGATAGATATCCTACGCCGTGTATTGTATGGACCCTGATTGACATGAAGTAATATCCAAAACAAGTAAGCTGGAAAATATGCAATGGATGGCTCCGTCAGTTTATTGCAGTTATTATTTAGGGTTGTAAACTTGTAAGAGCATCTAGACAGCATCACAAGAAATAAATCATATTACTTGTTTTTTTCAACAAAACAGCGGGACAAATAGCTTTTCAGTATCATGTAGATAGATATCCTACGCCGTGTAGTTGCCCCATGGTTCCAACAAGTTCGAAACGAGCAGACAATAGTTATAAACTCTTCCATGCCATAGAATATCAAAATCCGATCTTCCAGCCACAACAATTCGACGAACAAATACAGGATTAAGAAACTTATAAAATGAACAGAGATGATAAGTAGAGAGTGTACTTGAACTGATTCGAGAGTTGCCATATACTATATGGATTAAAATAGGTAATGACACTGAATGCAGCAGAGCCGATCCAAATGTTGACGAATCTTTCCGCTTCGGCATGCGGCACGCCCGGGTCGCCTCGATAAGCATTTCCGAAGTACTTCTCCATCCTCCCGCAACCTCGCTTGCTCCTATCTCCAATCCCTTGTTTCCGTGGATTCCAAAGTCCCAACTCCTATCCATAGCTTATAAACAAAAGCTCTACGATGCCGTTTCATCCGACCTAAAGGTGCTTGTTATTTTTTTCCCCCTAAAAAATTATGCAAAAAACTGAAATTACTCAATAAAATTACAAAAATCCCATGTATCCTGTTCACTAACTAGTTTGTATTCTAGATTTGGTGCACATTACTGCAATAGTGTGAGGAAAATTTCGAATGGTGAGCAAATAAAATTAAAAAATTTAGCTAACAAATGGTTGATCGATTTAAGAAACGGTCTTATTCTAAAGATTAATATTTAGTATAAAATGATTTGAGAATATTCTAAATTATACTAAAGAATTAAACAAATTTAACTTTATTAGAGATGCGCAAGATCTCGGTGTAAACTAACGTCTATCAAATGGGTAATTTCTAAAATTTAACTGACTTCTATCAATTTAATGCAACTTTTACAGTTGTTAAGGTATGGTTTAGCAAATGAAACCATATTAGATGATGAAATATGCAAGGCGCATTATAATTATAGGATCACTTGGCATATTATAATTATAGTTGTGGACAACAAAAAGTCAAAGAAAACTTATATATTTATTTTTATGTTTTTTTAAATGTGTTTTTTCTCACGCGATGCGCAAGATACAGTAGTTTTTAAAACTCGATTTGTTAACTCAATAACTTTATGATTTCTTCCTTAAAATCAAATCTTATTGACAAAACCTCTGCTAATAAGTACTAGATCTTTTGCACAACAAAGTAAATATTATATTATAGTTAGAATAAAATATAAAAATATATTTCGAAGTAATTAAGTCAATTTGAAGGGGGAAAATCTATGCATGACAATGTTGATTGAAATTTGCGGACTGAATTGAATTCCCAGAATTTGTATGTTCTGAAATTTAATTATGGGCATGCATTAATTCAAGTACATAATAAGTTTCATTATATTTAAATATATTAATCCTAAAATTCACGATTTTCATGAGACCTCCAAAATGAAAGAACAAAATATAAGCCCATTAAACTAAATGCTCAGTATTTACATTTTCACAGGAACAGTGTAATTTTTCTTAAAGATAATTGTGCCAAAGTTAATGATTACGATAAACCAAATGAGACTAGTGTTACTGGTTTAAGTAGTCAAACTAGAGTGATTAGAACCTGAACGCTTGAGTTTGGTCGTACCTATTGCTCAACTAATTCACAAAAGGTTCATTCTGTATCAAATGCACAGTGATGAAGACGTTGAAGGTGAACTGCAACTTTATACGAAGAGATCAAATGATCTAACGAAATTAGCTATACACAAAATAATAATAACCAGAGTTTTTCACTCAACTTAACTAATTAGCATTTTATACAGTTACAAGTGTAGAAGCTCCTAAATTTAATAAATAATAATAATGATGATAATAATAATAATCCATCCGAAGCGCCAACAACTTGAAAAGTGACTAATCTAACATGATTTAGTAAAGCACTATTTTTTACTCTGGCCTTGACAATACAGTCTGCATTATACTGTCACTCATCAAGTCAATCCCAGCACGCGGCAGCGATGCAAATATCTTTTTGTAAGTGCAGTGGTCACTGTTAAACCTCACAGCGATTTTCTTCTATCCTCGGATACATGTTATATTTGCTACTGCCTCCATGCTGCTACCTCCTATTTTTAATTAAAAAAAAAGTTAGGTTTAATTTTTACTGTAGTCATAAATATAATATTGTAATTTATTTTGTCTCTTATATTTATTTATTTATTTCAAAATAATCATTGTAGTAATGATAGTTCTGGCTAATATGTCTGATTAGTAATGATATTTTAAAAAAATAATACATATTCATCGCCAATAACAAACATGACTCATTTTCTTATTCTATTTAAATTAATCAATTAGCACTTATACCAACTCTTAATATAAGAGTTAGTTTGATTTTAAATTTGATTCTAAATATAAGAACCAAATCCACTTTATTTTCCATATTTAACTATTTTCCTGAAGTAGTCATTATAATAGTTGTATATGTTAAAGATTTTATCAAATGGTAATTATAGCTAATACACATGATTAATATAGGTATTCTAAAAGAAATAATACCTATTTATTATAAATAACTAACTTAACATACTTTTTTAATCTACTCAAATTAGTTAATCAATTCTTATATTAAAGTTCAAAAGTAATATAAGATATAATTGATTAATTTGGAGAGACTAAAAAATTAGTTAAATTAGTTATTGATAATAAATATGTGTAGTCTTTTTCAAACAAAAAAATATTATCTTTTCTGGAATACTCCTACTAATTATGTGTATTAATTAAAACTACTATTTGATATAAAAAACTTGGGTTACTAATTGGTAAAATACTAGGCAATCCGAAATTTTCTAGAATGATATTCGAGATTTTACATTTAAAATTAAATTGAATGTTAAACTAGCTTTTATATTAAGTACAAAATGTAGCATATATTATCACTATGTCATGATATTCCTTCTTGATTATCGAAATACAAAATTACACAAAATCGACTTCAAAGTTCAGAATTGTAGAAGCGTGTTCAACCATGTTCTAATTCTAAATCACAGCTCAGCTTTACACGTCAAAAGATAGATTAATTAATATATGAGTAAAATACTTTGACTATCCTTTTAGCTTGTATCAATTATACAGACCTCCACTCTATTTTTAAAACATATACTTTAGTCCAATTAGTTAACACCATTTTAAATATTCAAAATTTTTTTTATAAATATCATTTTTAACTGGAATTTATATTAAAATCAATTTTATTTACTATTTTACCTCTCATTCTAATAAATTGCTAAATTATATTTTTACAGTTACATGAATTTCATTTAGTTAAGGCAAATATAAAAGATTTGATTAAAAATTTAACTAATTTTTTAATAAATATATATATACTTGAATAAATATGTTTATAAATTTTAGTAACAAAGATGTGTTTAAAAGTTTTGAATTGTAAATTTAAATAATTTATAAAATCTTTCAAACTTATATCATTTAAACTTTACAATAAAAAAACTATGTATTTGAAATATGTTCTTATAATTTAAAAGAAATCAAAGTAAATTATTTTATCATATTTGAAATATGTTATAAAATTTTTATAACATCTTAGAAATTTTAAAAATACTTGTATTAGAATTATTTTAAAAAGAAATCAAAGTAAATAATTTCTAATGAATGTGATAAAATACTAAAATTATAAAATTTTATGACTTAGATAAAATTTTTTATAACATATTAGAAATTTTAAAAATACATGTATTAGTATTATTTTTTATCTTATAAAAAATATTTTTTGGAAAATATAAATGTCTAAATAATTATTAAGTTAAAAGAGGGCATTTTGGTAAAAAATAATTTAAAGTCAAACTTATAGTTTGGGTGGATGAAAATAAAATCTTAAATATAAGAGAGAGGTTTATATAATATACGTTTTAATTATAAAAGAGGTTTATATACATTTTCAAAATAAAAAAGAAGTTTCTGTAATTAAGATAAAATAGAAAGATAATTAGTGCATTTTACTCTTAATATATACATGCATAGATAAATTATGCTACCCCTATTTTATAAATATAAGAGTCGGGATGAGATTTAGTTTATTTTAAGTATAATACATCAATCTATTTTATTTCTTAAATTTATAATATTTACTCAAAATATTTTTATTAATTAGACATATTAAGGGAACTCCAATCAAAAGGTAATTTCAATGTATATGGTTAAAAAAATAAGACATATTTGTTATAAATAATTAACTTGACTGATTTTCTTAATTTTTACAAATTAATTATCTATTTGACTATTTTTTTAATATTTATAAATTAATTATCTAGTTCTTATACTATTTCTGGTCTTTAATATAAACCCTAGTTAACTAATTTAGGAAAATTAAAAAAATACTTAAATTAATTATTTATAATAGACAAGAGTTAGTTAAATTAATTATTTATAATAAATAAGGATTGTCTTTTTTAAAATACTCTTACTAATAATATGTACTGGTTAAAATTACTATTTAATGAAACTTTTAATATCTATACTACTAAAATAGCTACTTAAAAAAATAGATAAATATGAAAGATAAAGTAAATTGGGATGTTATATTTAAAATTAAATTAAATTTTAAATCAGTTTTTATATTTATAACGTTATCATTATCATTATAAATGTAACTTTTATAAATACTGCCACAAATCAAGAGTATCTCAGGCCGTATTCGATAATTTGATGGCAAGTAAACAAACAAAAGGTATTTTCTTCGCCAACAAGAAACGGAGCTTACCGGCTTATAAATAAGAGCAGCCCACCCCGTCAGATCCCTATACCGCTCCTTGTTCAATTTCCCTTCCTCTTCGGATTTTTATCTCTGCAGAGCAGAGACCATCTTAGTCTTCTGTTCTTCGCTCTTCTTCCATTATGGCTAATCAACCTGGATCCTCAGATTCGTAAGTTTTTCCCTTTATCTATCGTCAGATCTCTGGTTTAGTTTGCTGTCGGATTCTTATTTTTATCATTCTTTGGTAGATTTCAATCTCGATACTTTTAATTTACTGGGTTTCTTTTTTGTTCCGTGGGAATCTTCTAGTAAGGGAACGAAGAGAGACTTCAGCACAGCGATCTTGGAACGTAAGAAGGCGCCAAATCGGCTAGTTGTGGACGAGGCCGTCAACGATGATAATTCCGTGGTGGCTCTTCACCCCGAGACCATGGAAAAGCTCCAACTTTTTCGGGGCGACACGATTCTGATCAAGGTAATGCTCGAAAAATTCTGACATTATGTTGATTAATACTAGAACTACAATATGCGGTTTTGGCACATTTTTATCACAGCCTAAATGTTCTGTGGGCAATTGAAATTCATATATGTACGTGTGGTTACAAGGGACTTGTGTTTGCTGGTTGTCATTGAAAGTTTATATTTTTGCATTGATGGTATTGGATTTTTTTGGGAGTTAAAATCCTAAAACTTTGTTCGCAGAAATCTAGCACTAATTGACGCAGCATTCTAAAACACTCCTTTTGCTGCAGTCGTGAATAAATAAAGTATTATTCCCTATTTAATTATTTATGCTTCGCTTCCAGGGAAAGAAAAGGAAAGATACAATCTGTATTGCACTTGCTGACGACACATGCGATGAGCCAAAAATAAGGATGAACAAGGTTGTTAGAAACAACCTTAGGGTCAGGCTCGGAGATGTTGTTTCTGTGCACCAATGTGCTGATGTCAAATATGGAAAGCGAGTCCATATTCTTCCCGTGGATGACACGATCGAAGGGGTAACTGGGAATCTGTTTGATGCATATTTAAAACGTGAGTTACTATGTCTTTTTGTTTACAAATATGGATTTTTACTGTGTTGGATACCTCAACAATACTTTTAATCATCCACGATATTTTGTTGGATTGGAATGCTAAAGCGGGAGAATTTCATTGTTTTTTTTTTTTTTGGTAGTAACTCCTGTTATAACCTGATGACCTAGATAGGCAAGCGTAATCATTCTGGAACATTTCGGTGCTCCGTGTGTGTTTTATTGGGGCAGGGGGGTATTTCTCCACTCTGTCTTGTTTTCTTCTATAGTAGTTAAATTTTTTCTTGCGGAGTTAAGCATGCAGTGGGAGATAGTGCAATATAAGATCTTTTATTTCACTGGCACTTGTTGCATTTAGTTATATAATGAATTACTGCTCTTTACTTTTGCAGCTTATTTTCTGGAGGCATACCGCCCAGTGAGGAAGGGTGACTTCTTCCTTGTCAGAGGGGGGATGAGAAGTGTAGAATTCAAGGTTATTGAAACTGACCCTTCTGAGTACTGTGTTGTTGCCCCGGACACTGAGATTTTCTGTGAGGGAGAGCCCGTGAAAAGAGAAGATGAGAATCGGTTAGATGAGGTTGGTTATGATGATGTTGGTGGTGTAAGAAAGCAGATGGCTCAAATTCGGGAACTGGTAGAATTGCCATTGAGGCATCCTCAGTTATTCAAGTCTATTGGTGTAAAGCCACCCAAAGGAATTTTGCTGTATGGGCCTCCTGGGTCTGGTAAGACTTTGATTGCTCGTGCAGTTGCTAATGAAACTGGTGCCTTCTTCTTCTGTATCAATGGCCCAGAGATCATGTCTAAACTGGCTGGTGAGAGTGAAAGCAATCTGAGAAAGGCATTTGAGGAAGCTGAGAAGAATGCACCATCCATTATCTTCATTGATGAGATAGATTCAATAGCTCCCAAGCGGGAGAAGACTAATGGAGAAGTTGAGAGAAGGATTGTTTCTCAGCTCTTGACGCTTATGGATGGGCTAAAATCACGTGCTCATGTGATAGTCATTGGAGCCACAAATCGTCCCAATAGCATTGACCCTGCTCTTAGGAGGTTTGGAAGGTTTGATAGGGAGATAGATATTGGCGTTCCAGATGAAGTAGGACGCCTTGAGGTTCTACGCATCCACACAAAGAATATGAAGCTTGCGGAAGATGTAAGTTTGGATTTCATTTTCCCATAAGAATTTGTCTGATTTTTGATTTTCTGAAAGAAACTTGTTCAATGTGCTGTTTGCAGGTGGATTTAGAAAGAATTGCTAAGGACACCCATGGGTATGTTGGTGCTGATCTGGCTGCCTTGTGTACTGAAGCAGCGCTTCAGTGTATTAGAGAGAAAATGGACGTTATTGATTTGGAAGATGAGACCATTGATGCTGAGGTATTAAACTCAATGGCTGTGACGAATGAGCATTTCCAGACAGCTCTTGGATCAAGCAATCCTTCTGCCCTCCGGGAAACAGTAAGTACCGTGGCAGGCCCTTTTTCAATGCCAGCTTTTCCTTTCTATTGTTCTGTTTTTATTGTATTTCACCTCCTTCACACATCTCTAACCTAAGCTTTGCTAATGAACCAGGTTGTTGAAGTGCCCAATGTCAGCTGGGATGATATTGGTGGTCTTGAAAATGTTAAGAGAGAACTGCAAGAGGTAATTGAAGCTCTGGCATGAATCATTGCTTCCTTTTGTCTACCTCTGGATTCTGATACTGTTGCTTTGCAGACTGTTCAATATCCGGTGGAACATCCCGAAAAATTTGAGAAGTTTGGAATGTCCCCATCAAAGGGGGTTCTTTTCTATGGTCCTCCTGGATGTGGTAAAACTCTTCTGGCCAAAGCTATTGCTAATGAATGTCAGGCAAACTTCATCAGCGTTAAAGGTCCTGAGCTCCTGACGATGTGGTTTGGAGAAAGTGAGGCCAATGTGAGGGAAATTTTTGATAAGGCCCGAGGATCTGCTCCCTGTGTCTTGTTCTTTGATGAACTTGACTCCATTGCAACTCAGGTTTGTACTGTACCAATTTGTAATGCTGCACTGTGCTATGTACTCTAGCCAAGAGTAATTGGCTTCTCAAACATCCTTACCTCCACCCTTAATACCCTAAATACTAGTTAGAGCAAAACAAAATAATTAATGCAACCTTGAAGATAGATGTTTTTATCACGCCCTCATGTCTCACTTTATCCTGCAGAGAGGTAGTAGTGTTGGAGATGCTGGTGGCGCTGCTGACAGAGTGTTGAACCAACTTCTAACAGAAATGGATGGGATGTCAGCAAAGAAAACTGTTTTCATTATTGGGGCCACCAATCGGCCAGACATTATAGATCCTGCTCTTCTGCGTCCAGGTCGTCTAGATCAATTGATTTATATCCCCCTTCCCGATGAAGAATCCCGCTATCAGATCTTCAAGGCTTGTTTAAGGAAATCCCCCCTTTCAAAAGACATTGACCTTAGGGCCCTTGCCAAGTATACTCAAGGATTTAGCGGTGCTGATATTACTGAGATTTGCCAGCGAGCTTGCAAGTATGCTATAAGAGAGAACATTGAAAAGGTATTGTTCTAGTCACTTCCTTCTTCTCATGGAATTGAACCGCTTTAGATGAGTCCATAGTGCGGTAAAATTTACATGTTATGTTTTTATTGTGTAACTTGAAAGAAAAAAATAGGAAATGTTTTATCGGATTCAATTTGGGCTTATATGTTAATTTATTTTTCTTGCGTCAGGACATTGAGAGAGAAAGAAGGAGAAGTGAGAATCCTGAAGCAATGGAAGAGGACATTGAAGACGATGTAGCCGAGATCAAGGCAGCTCATTTCGAGGAATCTATGAAGTATGCACGAAGGAGTGTGAGCGATGCTGATATTCGCAAGTACCAGGCATTTGCTCAAACATTGCAGCAGTCTAGAGGATTTGGATCTGAGTTTAGGTTTCCGGACAGTACCACTGGCGGCAGTGGTGGTGGTGGTGGTGCTGGTGCCACGTCTGACCCATTTGCAACTGCCGGCGGAGCTGATGACGATGATCTTTATAGCTAGGACTTGTGCGGTTATTTGTATGAATGTCGGTGTCAATGTACCCTTGTTATTTCCTCATATGGAAGTTTATCATTGGATTATTGTTGTCATTTCGCCGTAAGAGGCATTGGGTCATACGGAGCTGACCCTCTCAAAGAGTTTGAACAGAATTGCTTTTGAACTATTTATAAATCACAACTGTATGGCGCTCATTTCACTGAAGAACATTGAAGTTTATTGAAAGGAAACTTCAGTTACTCGTAGGCAATTTTTTTCTAAAATCACTGATTGAATTAGGTAACGTTGACGGATTGTTTTCTCGGGTGTGGTAATATATTATCTTTTCTCTTCGATGGCGTCAAAGACTAATCTCTAGTCTTTCAATCGGCTTTTTTTTTTTTTTTTAAAAGGAAGTTGACATAATAATACAAGTTTTATCTCACTAGGTTGTGTGTCTTTAAGGACATGTTGATTGGAGGTTTCGTCTAATACTTTATTGAGGGTTTTTTTTTCCAGTCTTTTTTTTTAATAGGATTTTAAACTGTATCTATCTTTTTTACTGGTGCCTCCCATGGCCTTCTCAATACATGTCCAAACCACCCCAAGTGATATTCAACCATTTTTTTTTTGATAGGTCTCACGCCTATTCTTGTTCTGATATTTTCATTTCGAATATTATTTTTGTTGTATGACCATATTTTATTTTAACATTCCTCATTTCTGCTACCCTAACTTTATGGTCTTGTTTTTCTTTTAACGTCTAACATTCACTATCGTACAATACAGTTGGTCATATAACTGGCTAATAGAATTTTTCCTGAAACTTCTCAGGTAACTTCTTATAACAAATAACTCTGGTGGGCTTCTCTATTATCTTAACATAATGATCCCAATGTTTACATGATAATAGCCAAGGGAAAATTATTTTGTAGTTACCAATATTTTTTTTTTTAACATGATTTTGGTATTCATAGCTAGCAGTGTTGATCTTTGTAACTTTATTCTGCCAGTATTGTTAGTCTTTGTCCAGGAGTTAATGTCATGACTCACGTGAATAATCTCTAGATCTCGATTGGACGATATCAGGGATCTAAAATCGTGAATTTCGTTTCTTAAAGGATGAAATGAACCACAAATCAGATTTGAAGCCCTTCTCAACGATATTTAGCTCAGCTCATATCCGTCAGAGATTAAACGAGTATAAGGCCAAAAACAAAACACAAAACAAGAACAACACAACAAAAGAAAAATATAGAAAGTACGAATAAAAACAAAGAAAGATGTAAGGTGCCAAATCCTCGCAGAATCATTTCAGATGTCATATGGCTCCAACAACTCCAAATGTGCAAAGAGAGGCTCTGATGGAGATGTTAATGGAATGCCATCTTCATATTAAACCAGGTAGCAGACGCTCCACGACATTTGCTTTCGGAAATGAGTAGAGTTAAACTCAGCCCATCGGTCGGTGGCCTGCCTTTAACATATCCTTTTCTGCTTCATGCTGGGGAGCCACGTGTCAATGCTGAGATTGTAGAATGGGCCCTTAATTGTCACCAATCTTGGTTATTAGTGCACGAAGAGGAAAGTCCTAAGTGCATACGTCCGATTCAGGTTGGATGGCGCCCCATTGCGCATGCCCCCTAGTCTCCTCCAATCATGAGACAGGCTACCCCTCTCGTGTGCTTTGCCATATACATAAGCAGCCCTCGTCTTACAATTACTTCTCTCCTTATTATTACCATTTACATATATAAATAGTCTGTTTTACTTTTATATATACCCCACCCCCAAAAGCAAAGGCAGCCACTTTCAACATGGGACCATCCATTCAGGAATAGATTCCCTCAGACAAAAGGCCAAGGATTTGTATGAGCAAACACACGTACACTTGGTCTCATGCTGACTCATAAAGGTTCTCCTAATTTCACCCCTCCCTCAAATTGAATCCAACTTATCTTTTTCTTGCTCTCTTGATTAAATTAAACCGCTGAGGCTTGTGGTGTTTGGCGTGACCAAGTGTATTAGTTGCTGTTGATGTACGATCTCCACCCCCACTCTCTGTTGAATTTTTATTTTATTTTCCTGCTTTTAATGGAACATTTAAATTTGAGGACAAAACCCCACCTTTGAAAAGTGGAAAGTGCAAACTTACAAAAAGGATGGACCCCCCTGAATTCGTAGAGTTAATTGCGGCTTTCTGTTGTCTCGTGTTTCCTTAACAGGAGAACCCTTCCCGTTAGACCCTTCCAGAATTTGACTAATCAGCTGGGATTTTGAAGGTGTGAGATGCGGCTTAATTCGTGCGTTATTAGGCAATTTCTTCAATTGGGTTTTATCTTTCCTTCATTCTCTTTCCTCTTTCAGTTGATGTTAACATGTACTATTGGTATCAAGTGACACGACCTAATTATTAATGAATGCCGCACGAAAATAATAAACAAGAAGACATCAAGAGTTAAGCAGCGAAAGCAATATTCAAGATTCAGATACTCGACATGTTTTTTATATACTTCAACAATCATATCATCACTATTAGCTGCTAATAATGTTATACTGAGTTATGTTATGTGGGGGGGGGGGGGGGGAGAACCTGCGGGTATTTCAAGTATGGTGTTCCCTTTTGATCAACCTAAATAAACCATCATTAGATTGCACTTACTATAAATCAAAACTCCGTCTGGGTGATAGTCATATTCATAAAGGTTAATTGTTAACTGGAGTTGTCAAAAAAGTTTAACCGTAGCATTAGATGTACTAGGTTCTAATAGTTTACTGAGATCATGGCGTGACCCTCCTTTTAAAGAGTCCTTGCATAAATATTTCTGGTTCACCTACTAATAAAGTTCTTATATTTATGGTGAGAAATGAATCAAATTCTTATTAATTAAATAAACTTTATCGGCGTGATCATGCTTTTTTAAACCTTACTGACAAATAAAATTATAGTTTTGTTTGAATTATTTTTTTTCAAATAAAAACTTATAAATTATAAAATTTTGCAATTCGTAATTCTAATCATGATTCATAACACATCATCACAATTCATTATCTTAAATTCTTAATGCATAAATATAATTGTCTTTCAATCGACATCAACAATAATGTTGGAATCCTAGCAATACGAACTTCTTGAGTTGCTTCTTCATCATTAGTCTCAACACCTACAACAAATAACAAACCAAGGAGACAAATTATTATTAGGTTCCAAAAATATATACACACAATAAATAAATAATAATGTTCATATATTACCATCAGCATATTCAAAATCATACAACTAATTAGAGTTACAAATTAAAGCTTTCGACATTAACTTTAAAAAGGCAACTTCAATACTAATTGACAGCGCTTGAGCTAATATTAAAAGTTTTAAGCTTTAGGTAATTACGTTAGGGTTAGGGGTAGAATCTTTAGTTTACATTTAACAAATGCAAATTACAAAAAAAAAAGGAAACAAATTAAAGTCATGCCCATTTTGACAGCTTTGATATGAAATAGTAGGTATCTTTCCAATAGCTAAGAAGGTAGAGGAGATTTAAAGAACTATTTGGCACGTCATCTAAGCTATAATGCCATGGCAATTAACGTATATATATAGAACTCGCAGTTCTTATTTAGTGAGAGATGCTACTCTATTTATCCTTTCTTTGGATGAAAAAGAATGGAATTCAGGTCAGGGGAAAAGGGGGGTTTAATGATTTGCTTTTAAAAAATTAATAGGTGGGGTTATAAAATTTTAATGGAAAGAAGGTGTGGAAAAAGAGGAAGAAACTCTCATCATTTAAGCAAATAGTTGGAAGTTCATATACCGACCCTCGTATATGTAGCAACCTGAGTTAGGAGAGAATTATCCTTTGCCAATTACTACTCTTTTTAGCCTCAGAAAGACTTCCAATCCCACCTTTTAAATTTTTTTTTTCCTTCCTCCCACGCAAACCCACGAAAAAGGATAAAGTAGCATCTGATTATGTATATACATGAAGAAGATATATGATACCTTGAAGCCTTTGTGTGGCGCTCAGTGCTCCCCACGCTCATGCCAACAAAGGAGCATCGCTATGCAACGGCGAAGAATGTAGAATTTGGTTCTCTGCTTCTTCACCATATGACTGCACTTCTGCCCGAATGACTCGCTATTCGGGTCGCAATCCTCGCCCTGCTGCTGCTCATTACTTTGGCTTGGGTCGCTTTCCTTCGTTGCCATCAATCTATCTCTCTATATATATAGCCGACTCGTGCGATCAATGTTAGTGCTTACTTTTGCTTCCACCAAGGTTTCATATATATACACACACACACACGCTCTAAATAAGACCCGTTAGGGTGAGAAAGCAAAGGAATTCTGGGTCGTCTAGATCAAGGAATAGGAGAGTTACTATTGCAACCACCACTCGTCACTATCACAGCTTTGCAATAAAAATAGAATGGCCCAGTTATGTTGCCATTAATTTCACTTTCCTGGGGACAAAAAGTACTACATTTTTCTTTTTTGTTGCCATTAATTTCAAGGAGAAGATGTATTGGAAAGAAAAAAGAGAACACGGTTTCAGGATCAATGCGGAACGGCATACATAAAAACCCGATGGGTAACCTTCAACATCTATCAAGAGGCGAATAAAGTTGTATATATTATATTGCTAGGAGTGGGGGAATTTGCAAGGGTTAAGAGCTAGAGTTCGAGGGAGTACTAACGATTTTGCCTTGTTGGAAGGACACAGAAGGTGGCCCGGCAGCCTACGTATTTGCTTGATACATTCAAAAATATCATAGTGAAAGATCGATATATAGCAATCGGCAAGAGTGTAATTATGGAGGTCTTGGGAGTCCCCTGAGGATTGTTTTCATCCTCTTAGAACTTAGTGAGTTTAAGCATAATAGAGCTTTATCTTGTCTCCTTGTTCTCCTTGCTCCTGGCAACCATGACATGAAATTTCTTTCATATACTATGTCACTGATGCAATGTCCTCTTCATTGGTCACACTATGTCGATTTAACATGCGTACGTACCACATTTCATCTTTTGGCTCCTCCTTCGTTTTCTCTCATTTGGAGGCTTTGTGGAGAGCATACGAGATACGACGAAAAATATTCAAGCCATTCATTTTCTTAAGTAATTGTCAGTTCCGCTGTTGATGCTACGTGATGATGTGCATCGATCAGCTGCAGAGGGATTAGAGCTCGCTGGGTTTGGTTTCATGATGTGAATGTCGTCCCACGTCGGTTTCTCTTCTGTGCTTAACCTGTCTCGGTATCGCCACTCTCTTATGACGGGTCTTCTTCTTCGTGTAATCTGGTTTTTTCAAATTCTATGATCATCGTCATCATTTGCAATGATTTATAAATTTCTCACTTAACATGTCTCTGACAAGAACTAATCATCAATATCGTTTTGGAAAGATCGGTTAGTGCTTCTTCCACAAATATTGGGGAATTGTTGCACAGATACACGACATGTATAGGCATTTACCTGTGCCTTCCTGTCTACAAACTAATTATGTACATGAATGGCTTGTATGTAATTCACGTGAGAAATATATAATACCTTTGCAAATGGTAAGTCTCTTGTTATTATTTTTCTATCAGCGGGTAAGCTCACTCGCCGCTTAAAAAAATATTTTCTTTCGTACAGAAAATCAGCTCGGGATTTGGTGCTTTGAACCATAGGGATCATGCAAAAATGAGTAATGGGTGTAGCCCAAGATTCGGCTGATACTGAAAATATGAGGATCACGCACTTAGCACATGAGGGGCCATCAAGAACAAATGATTTTGATGACAGAACTGCAACCGATTCAAGTCGAGATCTTTCGTATAAATTTTGCTTTCATTTTCTCACAGACTGGATCCCTGATCAGCAAAACAGACAATGGAAACGTGATTCTCATCTCGTTGAAAATGCAACGAGAATGAATAAAGCACGCGATTCTCAATCCTTCTGTCTTTGTCATTCGCATTCATTACATGTATATTGCGTGCATAAACTATACGATCTTGGGTAAATAACTTTGGGATAGGTACTGTTTGATCTGAAAGCAATGATGATCTGTTTCGAGATTAGGGGTGGAGAGATAGTACCAGAGATCGACATGGGGGCGTCAGGAACCATATTGGATTTAAAATTAGAGATTGAGAAGGAATTGGGCGTGGAAGTGGAGAGGCAGAGCCTGTGGTACAACACAAGAGAATTGAGGAACCATGAAGTGATTCAACGGTATAAGTTCCGGGAACGTGAAGCACTGAATCTGAGGGTGAGGCCAACGGCAGAAAGAGGGAAAGTGCACGTTCTGGTGAAACAAGAGGGTGCCAATGGATACGTGAGGGTGAGGGAAACAGAGAACGTGTCTCACCTGCGTAAAAAGGTTGAGAAGTACTGGGGCATTCCTCTAAGTCTTTTCACCCTTCGTCGTTTTCACAAACAAATGGAGGATGACTTTCCTCTTCTTGCCTATTATATCACTGAGGATACTGAGGTTGAACTCTGTGTTAACATTCAACCTCGTTAACTAGACGCCCTTCGGATTTGTAGTAATTGATTCATATACATATATATATATATATATATGTATGTATGAACATGTATGAATGTACTTATGCATATGGTTTATTAAATTGGTAAGAAACACAGATTATTGGATCATTTAAATTTGATTTAACCCTTTGTGAGGCTGAGTGCTATTTATGATTTTGCGTCTTGCATTTTGAAGTTGAAGCCTTCCCCCGACCATGCACAACAGAGCAAAGCCACCGAATACAGTGGGGGCAAAAGACCTTGCAGTCCATTATCAATCATCTGCAATATAATTCTGATCTTCCATAATTATCAGATATTTTAAGAATGTCATTTCAATATTAACATGTATATATAATCTTCAATTTTCTTTTTCCAACTGCCAAGCCTCTAGGTTCTTTTAAGAAATGAACCATGGCTTAGCGTCAGATTTGCCTCCAAAAGCTTGATTGTTACTGCTCTCGTACTTAGCCAGGTCAGCCGGGAAAAAAAAAACAGCCATGAAAGATTAACAGCACAACCTTGTTTACTGATCTACATGAGCAATTCCGCATAAGCACCAAGTCCCTGGCTGCCAAGGCACTGCTTCAGCTTGTACAATGCTCGGCTCTCTAACTGTCGAACCCTTTCTTTAGATAAACCAAATGTGTTTCCGATCTCAGATAATGATTTCTGTTCACCATCCTCGATACCGAATCTTAGCCGGATTATCCTCCTTTCTTTTGGGCTCAAGATACTTAAAAGGTTTCGCACATGCCGCCTCATCAGCTGTTTTGCAACACTCACATCTGGAACCTCAATTGCCGTGTCTGCAGTAACCTCCTGCAGTGACAAGAATGTGCTCAGCTATTTATGCTTGGGACATGTACTAATGTAAAGAATATATACTTAACTACAAGACACATTGTAAGAGTGATAACTAATATATATTCAACAACATCATAAGACTATCTTGACAGAATGTCACGTCAAAGCTATATGACAATAAGCATCAAGAAATGCTGATATAACATTGCACAAGCTACTAAATATACAAGATATATAGAAAAAGTAAAGGATAAAGTGGTTAGGCTCTGTAACGTCACAAAAATGCTCAATTCAATCGTTAATAGGTAATTTCAGACTGTCAGTTGCAAAAAGTCTACAGAAGTTGACATGTAGAGGTGGACATTATTAGTATGTAAAGCCTCAAATCTTCCAGATCTGGCGGTAACAAATAGTTCATGGACTTGAGTCTGATTAAAAGGAATGTATGCCAGGCTCCTCTGTCGAATTTGCCAGCTTCCTCACATCTTTAAGAAACTTATGCTGCTGCTATCATTTCTCTTCATTACAAGCAAAATCAAAAAGGCTCTCCTAACAATCAACTACTGTTCAGCCTATAAGGTTATTAGACTTGCATCAGTTTCTGTTCTTACATTTATCAACACAAGCAAAGCCCTTGATACAGGAACTCCGCTAAATTATAACAGAACGCTAAACGCACTTCAGCTGTTCTTCACATTCTACATTATGATTAGGGGCTAGCCCTTTCATGTCAAAATTTGCGAAACTATATCATATAAATGGAAATCGAGTTAACTGGAAATCAATACCTGGAAAGTGGTATCTTGGTCTGACCACACTGTTTGTTGCATTGAAATTGGAATTCTTGCAACATATAGCAACTTTTCTAACTTCTCTACTGTAATTCCTACCCTTCTTGCCAGCTCCTCCCTGGTGGGATGAAGATTTCCTTCTCGAATGTACAATTTCTTTGTTTCCGATACCTTGCCCAAAAGGGTGTATACATTCTCCTGCGGATAATGCATAGGTTCCATGTTACCAAGAAATAGAATTCACGTTTGATTTATAAAAAGCAAAGATATTATAACATTGACTGCTGAAGCAGTGCAAGGAAACTCCATGATTGTTCTATCAACACACCAAAAAACTCATAAACTCTGACACTTGAAAGAGGATATTTTTTCCCCGAGGGAGAAGCTTTAAAAAAGACAAAAAACATGATTACATTAATATAACTAGTTAAATGACGGAGAATAAATAGATTGTAGTTACCGGCAGACGAATTGTCCTGGAATGTTGAAATATGGCCTTCCTAATTGTTTGCCTTATCCACCAGTAGGCATAAGTACCAAAACGACAACCTGCTTGGGGTTTAAACTTCTCAACACTCTTCATAAGCCCCATACTTCCCTCCTATGAGAGCAACAGAAATAAAAGGCAAAGCTTTAGTAGCTAGCTAATGTTTTTTTCATCAAACATCTTCCTTCCCGATTGATGGTCCAACTCCAGAAAAATAGTAATTCAAAGTGTTTTTCCATGTTCAGAAACAATATAGGTTATATGTGTGGCAAATTAAGTCTTGATAATAACTGTGCAAGCTGACAGTGAATAAAGAGCAAAAATAAATGTAAAATAGTCCTAGCTAAAGGCAATGTAAGGACTTCAATTTCTCAAAAGCTACCTGCAGTAAGTCCTGAAAACTGAGACCACGCCCGTGATAATGTTTAGCAATGTGAACTACCATTCGTAAATTAGCATAAATCAGCTTCTCTCTGCTGCTGTTACCAGAATAAAGCTGTAATTGCAAGGCTTGACGGGAAAGGCCCACACCATCAGCCCACTCAGCCAAAGTTGGTTCCCGCCCAAATTGTGATTGAAGTCTGTGCTTTACTCCTTCCAATCTCAATAAATCCTGTTACATAGTACATGTCAAAACAATTGAGGATCCTCAGTCCGCCACTCCGTACATGTGAATGATTAGGAAATTAAGAGAGAAACCTGTAGCTGAAGAATCAGTTGTGATTCTTCTTCAAGAGTCAAAAGTTGTTTTGTTTCAGGACCCCATAGGAACAAGCGCAGGGGATCATTTTGATCAAAGCCTTCACTTATCTTCTTTTCTACATGTAACCTTGCTTTGACTTCAGCCTTTTTAGAAAGATAGCTTTCTTCATCCAAAAGTTTTGCCTTCGATTTTTTTCTCTTCTTTGATTGTCTCTCTAAAAGCCGTGTTGACCTCACAGTTTTATTCTTTCCAAGTGAAATGTCATCCGAACTAGTGGAGGCCAAACTGAATGAAAGTTTCATGCATCAGTCTCCAAATAAATTGACCTATAAATAGTAAATATAAATTAAGAATGTTAGACAGGAAAAGCTAACCCTAGAGGAGGTAAAACACCATCCTCAGCATTAATTGATTTCAAGTCTGCAGCTATTGAGGCAGCTTGTTTCGAGGCTGACAATGCTTGCTTAGCAAGAGCAACTGCATCATGCTCTTCAACTTCTGCAGAATTCCCTGTATCAATGGTATCAGGCTGCAGGGTTGAAGATGTGGCAATTTCCTCTGCCGGTAAGGAAGTCAACCTGCAGTAGATTGAAATCAGCAATTACAAGCCAGAGAAAATGGCAGGACAATACAATTGATTTCATCTTACAAGTTCCGTAAACAAGGCCAACTTTGCAATTGCTGCTTAAAGTCATGCACCAGCTGATCAGTGTTACCAGGGTTATTGTCCTCACGAACTGAGGCCATATCTATCTGCCTTGTATTTAATGTCGCCTTTAATAGAAACAAACGGAAAAAATTAATTACATGTAAATTATGTGATAAAAAAGAGAAAGCCCGTACATTTGAACCTAAGCAACCAATAGTGGCATTCAAGAAAAAGGGTGAGGTCACCAAATCATATATGAAATCATGTCAAAAAACCGTAAGCTGTTGTAAATTGAAAATGCAACAAGGATGAGGGATCTTATTCATATTATGCATTTAACGAAGCTTGTGTTTGATGCAGTGGGTATATGAACTAGAAATGAACCTGGGATGTCTTTTCTTCCTTATGCATGCGCAGTGTAGGTCTGTACTCATCACGTTGCTCTTGTAGAAGAACCGAGGTGGGAAAATGCTGAGCAGCGAAACTGGCAGACCTAGAGGTAACCGCGGGAGTGGCTTGTTCATGAAATGTGAAAGCTGTAGATAAATGAGTACAAGCATTTAACGTTTTGAACTCTCTCGAGGGGGAAGGAGAAAAGAGAAGGAAAAAATCGTACAGAACAATTAAATTGAAGACTATGAATACGAGGAGCTCAAAAATCAGCAAAAGCTGCAAATCATAAGTGAAGATTGGGCGTGCTGAGAAGATTTACAACATAAATGGAAATAAACAAAAGAAAGGAAGAAGTACACATGCAACAGCTGCAAATGAAGGAATGTAAAAAGTTCATTAAATTGGACTTCTTTGTACTGCAAGAGCAAATCATTTCAGGGTGAACAAATGGAAGCAACAGGATGAATATGAGCAAAGCCTCTGGCCTTGCAAAATAGCTTGAATGCTTGATAGATAGCTTATTTTCCATCCAACCAATTTTTATCTCTACAAAGCACCTTCAAATTTAACAATCCTCTGATACGAATATGACACTCAATTTCCTCTGACACTAGAGACTATAATGAACATGGTGAGTAAAAAAGCAAACCCAAATATCGCACAAAGCCAACTACTTCGTTTCGATTACCAGAACTTCAGTCGTATTATATGATAATAGCAATGGACACAAACCACTCGATCATTAGGCTGCGCTTCCTTTGCTTCCTCCATGAACAAGAAAAGATACAGACTTAAATGTCCAAATTTAAAGGGTGCTGAAGCAGGCACCATCAATCAATCTAATAATCAAACTAAATATCTCCATTTTTGGGAGGTTTCACAGCAAAGGAAACGACACTTAAGAGAGCCATCCCAATCCCACCTTCCTTAAATTACAATGGAAAGAATAATGAAATGCAGGACGTAGATAATGAGAGTTTGTGGTAATTCTAGTAAGTGTACCTAAAGAAGAAGATGAAGAAGACGAAGGAGAACCGCTCCAGTGATTAGTTCTTGACGGAAGCGGGGGTGAGCTAAACAAATTCTTTGCAGCTTCCATAGGGAATTTGTTATTAACAAACTATCACATTAAACAACTATAGTTCAGCAAATATTGCGGAAGTGAATACTTTTACTTCAATGAGGTCCTTGGGTTCCATAAGAACGAAGATAACCATGGCGGATAATATAGATAACGCTCGAGCGAGAGACGACGAAGCGCATTCCAGACCTTAAAATCTCCCTTTAAGTCCAGAAACGGATGAGGTTTCTCATTTGGGCTGACATTTTGGGTCATCCCTTAACTTCAAGCTCATCTGCCCCTGTAAGGGCTATTCTCGGATTATGGCCCAATTTACTGCGAGTCAAGCAATTTCAACTAGCTTAGTTTATCGGTTGAGGCCCAGTTTTCCCACCAATATATATATATATATGAAGTTTCGTAGAAAAACGCCTCTGCTCGTAAATAATTTCAAAAAGCATTTAATTAATTAACCATTTTAGATTTTAAGATGTCACCCACTAGGCACAAGTCTTTTTCATTTTCCCTTTTTTCTGAAGAATTATGCATTAGTCTATGGTTTAAAATGAAATTTTATGTCTGAAATATCCAACTAGTCATAAATGGGATCTTTAAATTCAAAAAAGTGCAATGCCTTCCTCAATTTTCCAAGACACCACAATGTTCTCCTGAATTAATGGACGGGCTGCGCGGGCCATCACCAAGTTATAATAAAAAATTTGAGTTGCTTCTATTCATTATGTTAAATTTTCTAAATACACATGGCTATGCGGGTCATCAGTGAATTAAATCTCACAGGTGTTGAACCATAGTCTCACACGATGGGATTTTTTCCAGTGAATTCTCTAAAAACTCGATCACAAGTGTTGAACCAAAAACCAGTGATTGAGACAGTGGGTTCTCAAAAATGCAAGGTTGGCTGTGTTTGGCGTGCTCGTGGCCACGTGTTTTGAAACTCAAAACGGACGAAGAAACAATGGAGGAAATAGACCTGTCCTCATCACCTATGACCCCAAAATCAGTGATTTCCTCCTCTCAATTCTGAACCCCTTCTTCTCCAAACAAAGGAAGATAGCTGTGAGGGTTGTCGAGTAAGGAGCAGATTGAGTAGCCCTAAACGTGGAACAACAAAGAAGGAGCAATCCAAGGCTCAAGTTCAAACAATATGGCGATGTCCTTTTCGTACATACCCTCTGCGATCTCAAAGTAGAAGAAGGAAGGAACGAAATTCGCGCCTGACGACACAGAATAGAGCTCCTCAATGAAGGCATAGACACTACACTACAGAGATCTGGACGTCGCCGTTTCACTCTGCTCGGAATAAGCACTGCGAAACACAGGGAGCTCGCACTTCGCAGGCGGTGGGCATGAGGCATTTGAACATGGGGAGTACAACCAACGTACACGTAATATAGTCCAGGCGTCCAGCGTGTCCAGCGCCTCCGTGCGATGGAATTGTGGGGCCTATTGGAGTGGTAATACGGACAAGATCAGGTTAGAAATGATTGTTTAAAGACAGATTAGCTTTCAGTCAACCTATTTACTTTGTTTTTAAATTTTTCTTATTCAATATTCAAAAAAATATAATAAGATTTTTTTTCTTAAAATATTTGATTGAAAAACCAAATAAATTATATAGGTATTTTTTAAAATTTTTTAGATAGGATATAATATATAATAATATAATTATAAAAATTTTAAAAATAAAAAAATAAATACCGGGCAGCCCACGAGTTGGATGGCTAACCTGCAGCTGGTTGCAAGCCTAACAGTACGGGTTAAAAAGATTCATTTATTGACAGGTTAGTTTTTAGCTAATCTTAATTTGTTTAAAAAGATTCATTTATTGACAGGTTAGTTTTTAGCTAATTTTAATTTGTTTAAAAAGATTCATTTATTGACAGGTTAGTTTTTAGCTAATCTTAATTTGTTATTTTTTACGAGTTGCACCTGAATATTACCAGTTTCACATGTTGGAAACTACTTTTCACATATGTTACAAGCCAATTTTTTTGTACAAATTAAAATGATTTTTTTACCTATTTACTTTATATATTATAAAGTCATTTTTAAATTATGATTTAACTACATCCAAATACATTATTTTGTTTTTGAAAGTTAGGGTGATGGGGAGGGGGAAGTTGCCCTTTTTTATGTCAAGAAACGAATATGGGTCCGTCGGGGTCATGTGTGATGGAAAGGCAAGTGATGGCTGTCCTGTTTTCAGAATGGTCACAGTTTCGAAAAATGGTCAATGCGTGTGTCAGTTCGTCAGTTGACTCCCACGATCTGAGACTGACCGCCTCATCATTCACGCGCCTCTTTCATTCCTCTCTCTCTTGTTTTTTTCGGCCTACAGCGATAATTGCCTCCTGCCCCTAACTTGTCACTTGCAAAATAAAACTTTGTGGGGACACACGCTCGTTTCGCGTATCGGCAAGGGCAATAATCACCTCCTAATTTGTTTTGTGACTGCCATTCCAAATTGCAACACCTTTAACTAATTATTAAATTAAAAATTAATCATTAATACTACCTCCGATCTTTAATGTAAGATCCTATTTGATTTTTATTTTGGTCTTAAATATAAGATCTTAATCTACTTTGTCTCTTATATTTATACATTTTTTTCAAAATAGTCTTTCTGACAATGATAGTTCTAGTCAATATACTTGATTAGTAAGGATATTTTAGGAAAGACAACACCTGTTTAGGACAAATAACTAACTCAACTTACTTCCTTAATCTCTTCAAATTAATCAATTGACTCTTATAATTAGGACCGGAGGTATATTTTTTAATTACCAATTGAGCGATTCAAATTTTAAAAAATGAAAAAAAAAAAAAGGAAAACTCTCTCTAGCAAACATGAAAATATTTTCCCACAAAAAATACGACGAATTTTTCCCCCAAATGAAGTGAGGCGAATAAATTATTTTACAAACAAAATTAACTCAAAACAACAAGGAAAAAAAATAAAATTTTGCTGATATAATTCTAGCAACTCATCTTTCATGTCAACTTGATTTTGGTGTATCAAAAACGATGGTCCAAAAAATTTATTCCACAAAGCAAAGTTTATATTTTCCTACGCATCATCTTAACAAAGATCTAAATTAATTTATAAGACAACTAGTCAAACACTGCATTTGATCTTAATATAAAATTTGGTAGATTAATTTCAAGAAATAAAAAACTAAATGAATCATTTTTAATTATTTATATTTATCACTTTTTAAATTAATTTTTCTGACTGATAAAATCATCTAAAATCTAATAATATGCATAATTATTTTAGATAAATTATACAATATATGTTATAATTGAGTAAAACAAACTTAAAAAAAAAAATTCACCGGGTGTTGAGGTGATTTTTTTTTGGGGGGGAGGAGGCATTATGTGGACAACTTGATGGCAGGACAACACATTGGCTACAGATGTGATGGATAGTGATCGCACAGCGGAGGCCCACTGGACCCACAAGCATCACATGCCGCAACTTCTAAATACATGTCATAAGCTTACAAAAAGGGAAGCCACTCTCATCTATGCTACTATATAAATGGGCTTAAGCGCCTTTGTGGGGTCACTAGAATCTATCACTACCAGCTCTCTCTCTCCTCCCTCTCCAAACCCTAACACTGCTATTCTCTTACCCTCAAAACCCTAACTCCTCATATGAGCTCCGAAGTGGTCCTCCACAGATTCTCCCAATCCGACCCTAAACCTAACACGGGGCCACCCGCCGCCGCAGATTCCGACTCCAATGTGCAGCTCTCCCACCCTCGAAAATCCACTGCCATATCTTCCTCTCGCTCCACCAAAGACCGTCACACCAAGGTCAACGGTCGGGGCCGCCGTGTCCGTATGCCGCCTCTCTGCGCCGCCCGAATATTTCAACTGACCCGAGAACTAGGACACCGTTCAGACGGCGAGACAATAGAGTGGCTGCTACGCCAGGCCGAGCCATCTATCATTGCCGCCACCGGCACCGGAACGGTTCCTGCAGAACCCGTATCCACCAGCAACGCTGCGATATCGTCATCGGCAGCCTCTGTTCCTTGTCGAGTCCATCCTGTTTCCGCGGTTACTAGTGGGCAGGGGATGTTTGCAATGTCTTTGCCACCGCCGCAGCAGCAGCATCAGCCGCAGCCGAGCTGCAGATTAGACTTGTGTCAGCCAATTGGGATGGAGTATGCTGCAGCGGCCGCAGCCAATGGATACAGGAATATGCCGTTCACGGCTTTGTTGTTACAACCCTCAACGGAGGAAACAGAGGAAACGCAGCAAGATGAGACTCTCAGAGAGTAATAGCCTCTCGCAGAATCGAAGGGAATGAGGTTAAGCTTGTACTGGTCCTAGCTTAGGGAATGTGCCCCTTGACCGTGAATGTTTTCGACCTTTCTTTCTTTTGGATCCGGTGGATGTGTTTAGTTGAATGTGTGCTTCGTTATTTCGTTTTTCTTCATTCTGGAAAGGAAGAACAGGTTGAGAAAGCTGTATATGATTATAACGGTGTCAAGGATCCTTTATATATTATGTTGCATGTATATTTGGAGTTTGGGGTGCATGTACAATACATTCATTTTTCCTTTAATTCGATGCCAGCTAATTCCTTCAGAGAGTGTTTAGGTGTCACTATTATTTTGGCAAATTTAAATCGTAGGATTCTCCCGAATTTGTGTGTTGAAAATCACTCATTATTAAATGAAACGTGTGTATAAAACTGGCCTTCTTTCATAAGGCATGGCATCCCAAAATTTACCTGGGATGCGACTAGTTAGGCATTACCAGAGTTATGGTTACAGAAAGAAAAATCTATTGGAATGTTATAGTAATAAATTGGCTGGTAGAGATTTGAGAACAGTCCGTCAGTCCTGAACCAAGGAAAATGTGCATAAATTCAGGCGTGCTCCCCTGGCTCGCCCGATTCTAGTGCTTGCTCCCAAAGTTCCACCACCTTTTCTTCCTCCTTGACTCGATCGAAGGCATATCTGAATCATATCAACATAATGCGATCACAACTAATATCAGAACTTATTATAAAACAAACAGTACTCGAAATACCTGAAAACGAACGGATTAAAAAAAGGCCAGTTTTTCGAACAGCTGGATGCAATTACTACCTCGTCCCTTAATACGACTAATTAGAGTATATCTTTACTAATTAATTAAATTAATTATTTGTAATAATATATATTGTCTTTTCTAAAATATCTTTGCTAATCAAGTGTTATTTGATTAAATATTTAACATGTGTAGCTACTACAAAAACTCTTTAAAAAAATAAATAAATATAAAAGACAAAATAAATTAGAATTTTATATTTAAGACTAAGGAGGTGTTTGGATGGAAACCAAACTATAGTTTCAGAAATGCTTTATGGTTTACGAAATAAATATGTGGAGAGTCTGCCTCGTTTGGAAAAAAGTACTTTGAGACCATGGTTTGGAGGTGCTAAACACCACCTTAGGGGGTGTTTGGATGGAAACCAAACCATGGTTTCAGAAGTGCTTTTAGGAGGTGTTTGGCAACCTCCAAACTATGGTCTCAAAAGCACTTTTCCGCAAAACGAGACAAACTCCTCTACATATTTATTTTGTAAACCGTAAAAGCACTTATGAAACTATGGTTTGGTTTTCATCCAAACACCCCCAAATTAAAAATCAAACTGGCGTTTATATAAGAATCGAAGTTACATAATTCATGGCTGAAAAACACGGGGGAGGCGTGATTAACGGCTGCAATCAATTTCAATTTCCAACCAGGGATGGAAAGAAGTTCTTATAGTACCTCCTAAACTGCCTATCCTAAACTGCAGGGATATCCATGCATACTCAAACAAGGGATGGAAGGAAGTTCCTTATAGTACCTCCTTGAGGATAGATGGAGTTGTAATGCACCTCTGCCCAAAAGCTCAGGAAAATAACTGCAACAAACACATCATGATGGAAGATGAAGATATCAGCTAAGCTGTTCCCAATTAATAAACGAATGTAACCCAAAAAAAAAAAAAAGACGACCGAGACATTAACACTAGCAGTAGTTTGACAAAAGCATCAATAGTTCAGATGTAATTTCATCCATCAATTTGCGGGATTCCTCCGGCATGAACACGAGGAAACTAGATATACAAAATTTTTAAGTTATATAACCATTCAGAGCCAATAACATTTTTTGTGAAGGCGCCATTGCATGATCTTGAAAGTCCTGGTCAGGTTCGGAAAATTTTTCAGTTAACTACTCAATAACAATGTGACTTTAACGTAAGACACCCAAAAAGATAAAGTAAATCTAGTATATACAAGAAGGAAAATATCCAAGCAGAAGTAAAAATCTCAGGCACCGGCCTCTTTTACTTTGCCTAAGCAGAATCCTTCACTCAAATCACACCGTGAATAAAACTCACCTCTTTTCGGCTTCTCAAAATGAGGAAGTATCTCTATGCAACAGGTATCCTTGAAAGAAGTAATCAAGAATATTTTCACACCGTACTGTGGGAAACAGGAGATCAAATCAGAAATTATTAGTAAAAATGATAAGGCATATCAGATCATTGCTGAATTCAAATGATACTCAAAACTTAGCAATCAGATCATCTTAGAATCGGGCAACAGGAGCTTAAAATATGGTTTTCTGATAATTCTAAAAGGGGAGAGGGGTTTGCTGAGACTTTACCATGCTTCAAGTTTATTATTATTTTTCTTTGTGAAAAAAGGGGGGATTACAAGTTTACAACCCAGGACGGAAGCCTATATTAATTGTGCCCCCTTGTGATATGACCAATTGGAGCGTATTACAGTTGCAAATCCGCAGCATTACATGATTGTAATCGACAGCTAAATTCAGTTATCCAGTGACAAGAGAATTAGGAATGATGAATGTAACATAATAGTAATGATCAAGGTGTCACCTAGGAATATTCCCAAAAAAACCAAAAAGAAGAAGAAAGAAAAGGTACTGCCCAGGCTTGGCTCAATTGACTGAGCAGAGAAAGGTTTGAAGAGAGTGTCACCCAAAAAAATAAAGGATTGAAGAAATTAACTGCGACTGTTGATGAACAAAAAAAGGGGTGTTTTGGCACAAAAGTCACAGCCTGGGGAAATTAAATTGTCACGCTACAGATTCATATTTATCTAAGTTTCTTAAAACAATTTGATTTTGTCTCACAATCGACGAAAGAATAGGGGAACGAGTTTTAAAAATATGAGAGAGAGTGAGGTTCCGAAGTTCATACCGAATCTGCAACTGCTTGAAGAGTGACATGATCACCCCATTCACCACTCCTAGTTTAATTGTCAAGAAAAAGTGAAAAGAAGGGTGATTAAGTAATCTCTAAAACAAACATCAAGAACATATTTGCATATACAAGCGGGAAAGGCTGTTGGATTATTACTTAGACATCTTCTCCAAATATTCGCCATATTCCATGGGAACATATCCCTCATAAATCTGATGAGACTTAAGCTGGCAAAAATACCATCAGAGCCAACAACAATAAACAAGAATAGAAGCACAAAAGCAGAGGATATTACATTCCATCAAGCATAATAAAAGTCAATCACACTAGACAACAAACCTGGTTTACTGCTTGTCGTCTCACAACACTGTGGTGCTCAGGTGTGCCATACAATTGATCAGATAATGCATGAAACTGGGGGGCAAACAGAAATGATTACCATTATTTCATGTTTACAAACAAAAACTAATGAAATGTGCTCTATGGTTGCTAACAGAAACAAACCTGACAATTACCATCACCTGGTACCTTGCGCTCTACAAAGTCATATAACTGCAATCTGTTTAAAAATAACCACAGCTTTATATGTTTCTGTGAGAACAAGCACAAGAAATAAATAATTCTTTCAACGGATTTCTGTATTTATGAACTAGCGAAGAAGAAATAAAAACACAACAAAGTCTATCTGCGGCATAAGTTTCACCTTACACAAACAGGTAAATGACGAAGAAAGACAGTTACTTTTACGGGAGAAAAGTAATGCATGTATCATGAATGCAGGCATATTGAATTTTCTTAAAGACAGTCACATATCTATTAAATAATACCTATCCAGAAGCCTTTGATGATCTGAAGTTGCTTCATCAATTGAAGGAATATCTCCATTAATTCTTGGAACATGCTACACGGCAATAAGAAGCAATTTAAGCACCATGAATCTAGTACAAGATTTATGCAACCGACTAAAATAAATAAACGTCCTAAAACCATAGCTTGGTAATTAACTGATAACATGCAGCAGCGAGAAAAAACTACAGATAAAACTTCTGAAACTTTCCTACCAAAAAGAGGGAAAGTTCTGAAACCGAGTAGCTGAACTCATGTATTATGCCTACACACAAAGGATTCATAGATAGATAAAAACCAAACAAAAGGGAAAATCTGGAAAAGTGATTAAAGCAAAAAAGTTGCTTCACTCATCATTGTGTGTGAAGAATTATGAACTGTGTGACTACAACTACTGTCAATTAAAACTTGTATGACTTCAACGTCATTTTATGGAACAAGATGAATAAGTTGCCCAGAAAAAAGCGGGGAAAAACTAACCCTAGATAATGATATGCAGAAAACGAAGATAATGACAAATCAATTGTTGAATGACCATGAAATGAAAACATGTAGAAAGGTGACAAGTTTATTTAAAAGATTGCTTCACTAACTGGATGGTGTATACAGATATATCTATAGAAGCAAAAGACGCTAAGCATACAGGAATTGGCGTCATTTGACTCAATCTCCTTCCCACTTCATCGTTAAGTGGATCAGTCAGCTCTAATGAGTATTCTCCAACTTCACAAGGACTAGAACATGAACTAGAATGTTCAACATCATCAACCCCTTCCTGGACATGGTCATGGTCTGCATAGACAGAGGTTTTAGTCAAATTAGCCAGCTTCTAGTAGACAAATAAAATAAATCCCTCGTATAAACAAGCAAGCAGTAGCTTTACTGATACCTTGTGAGCAATAGTCCATCATTGAAGAGTTATGCCCTCCATATGCCAGCGCAGGAGCATGGTAATGCTCCTCAGTTGCCTGTGAATATCCGGAACTTTCAGCTATGTCTAGCTGTGAAAATTCTTCTTGAAGAGTCCGAGCAATCATCTCATCATTTTCTGTATGATTACTCTGAGCATCATAATGGCCATGGTGGTAGTTTCCATCATATATGTTACCGGTATCATGTTGAACTATGTCACCATAGTATCCTGGATTGTAACTAGGGTCGCCATCAAGAAGATGAAGACCCCACTGAATAATATCTGAGTTTTCATATAAAACCATCTCTAAAAGTTAATTTTCGCACCAAAAAAAAATCTGAAGCCTTCTTCTAGGCAAAGTTGGAAGTGTTCTTCAACAGCAACAATGCACCTGACCAGAAGAGCTATGCATTAAGGGATTGGAGACTCAGATGCAAGTAAGACAATGATATCCAGCTATTAGAGCATAACTGAAACAAATCCTCAGCAAAATTTATTCAATATGTAAATTTTCTCCCAAGTACTCCCTATTGTTTCAGTAGAATCTTCATTCACAGTCACAAAAGAAAATCTACATGGTGTATTATGACTGGAGAGGAGGCTACTTTTCAGACAGGGAAGTGATGGGTATTCATCGCTGAATTTTAAACCAAACAAATAACGGTGGATGCGACACCCCCCCCTCCTTTATTTTCTTTCAATAAAAAGTGGACGCCCTGTCTAAGTCCAGCTGTAGCTCCATTTTACTATATCGTAAAGTTGGCTAAGTTTAATTTGAATGGCAGTAAGTTTCGACTGCCTGCCTTTGGTAATAATTAGTCAATTCTTGGGATTGATTAAGGGAAACAAATAGAGAGAGAGAGAGAGATTTCATTTAAGTATATATCTTACTTATATCTCATCTCTATTGGATCCGATGGACGTTCAGAGGCAAAAACCTGAAAGAAATATTCCGGTCATTCTTCCTAACCCTGTCACTCCCCTTATTTTATTAAGTATCTTTATTTATTTCTTTTAAATGGCATTCCAGAATCCCCTGTTCCAATTCTCCTCAATCACTTTGTATATATCAGCCAAAAGATTTTAGATGTAACCAATTTGAAGTCAAAGCACAACCACTTTGGCATGTTTATATAAACTGGGAAGCTTCTGCTACTAACATCTTGACCCCCGTCTCTAAGCTATAAAGAGAGCTACAGAAAGGTAACACACTCATGCTGCTGATCCTTTGGCTATTTCCTTGCCCGTTAACTGAGTACATAGATGATTATATGGTGCAAGTGTCTTAAAGGTTGAAGATTCGACTGCAATATAATTGAAACCAAGAGGATCCAGAAAATAACTGCTTCAAGCTCCTAATTCGACCAAGAGAAGAGATCATTCCAATCCACATGTTGATAGCATCGCTTGCACCGATCGGAACTGAACCCAAATACGCTCGAAAAGAAAAGGTTCGAATTCAAATAACAAATGGTCCAATACAATTCAGATATAGGACGATTTTAAAAAAAAGAGCCACAAATTTAACGGCGAAAACAAATAAAATAAGCAAAACACACAAATAAGAGCTCTCTGACCTTGGATTGTACGTAAACTGAATTCAGAAAATCATCAAGGGTGAGTCCAGAAAAAGGGAATGGCCAGAGAAGTCACAGACGAATTTCGCAAATCACTGTTCAATTTGCAGGAACTGAGGACGCAATAGATGACGAGAGGGAATGCATTGAATGTATGTGCGGCAGGAAATGGAAAAAAAGGCGCCCTTCACGCGCTTATATACAGTTTGCTACGGCGCTAAAGGTCGAACTCCGGCATTGTTAATAACTTGAATTAAATTTGAAGCATGGATTAAGCGGCATTTCCTCGGACGGCTTTCAAAAATCTTCAGAATTTCAATCTTTTAATCTCCGACGCATAAAAAAGCTCCGATTAATTAATACACTCCCATATTAAGGTTGGAATTCCAAATCATTAACCATCGTTGATATAACGGAAGATTTTATTTTTCTTGTGATAAAAGTGGTGGTGGATCTAAGAGTATGGGAAAACAGACGGTCCGGATCGGTTACTGAAGGAAGAAGGCAAGAAACGTCTGGGATTGGTGGGGTATGACAACAAAACAACTGGCTATTACTAATATATTATCAAAAAGACTGATATGACCTTTTCAATTTTCTTTTTTCTTTTTTCTTTTTTCTCCTTGTGGCTGAAAGTGAAAGACGACCTTTCCATTTGAGGCGGCATGAAGCAGCAAGGCGTAGTCGGTTAAACCTTCTAGTATTAATTAAACATTTATTTGAAAAAAAATTAGTACTTCTCTAATTCTAGTTATAAAATATTTTTAATATATTTTATCCAGATCAAGAAAATTTTTAAAATACATTAACTCTCTATTAAAATGTAATAATTTTTTAATTTTACTCATATTTAATATATACACCTTTTAAAAAAGATAACTATTTACATTATAATAAAAAAAAATAGTACAATCAGGCTGAAAAATTTAATAAAATGACTTATAAATATAACAAAAAAATCTTTTTTCTCTACCTTAAATAATACTCCTCCGGTCCTTATTATAAGACCCAATTTGACTTTTTATTTGGTCCTAATTATAAGACCCAATTCATTTTCTCTCTTATATTTATGTATTTTTTTCCAAGATAATCCTTCTAATAATGATAGTTTTAACCAATATACTTAATTAGCAAGGATATTTTAGGAATAACAACACTTATTTATTATAAATAACCAACTTAACTTACTTCTTTAATCTCCTCAAATAAGTCAATTGGGTCTTATAATTAGGATCGGAGGAGTAGTATTAGAAGAGTATGAATTTTGGTTACTTAAATTTGTCTTCATTTTAATTTTAATTTTTTAAATTTTAAATTATAAGTTTTAGTTCTTTTAAAAATAAAACAGTCTAAATATTTATTAAATTATAAAGAATAATATTTTAAATAAAAAAATTTGAAAGATGAAAACCTATAATTTAAAATTTTAAAATAAAAATAAAAACAAATTTAAAACACTGAAAAAAAAAAAATTTGGTAAGAGACGGAAAGTTGTATTTGCCTTTGAAAAATAAGAATCCGCCTTTGGGTCTTGCCCTTTCCCTGTCATAACTTGTTGCCTAAGTTATTTCCACGCGGACCGCACTGAGACTCTTGACCCTTTGATCATTTTTATATATTTTTTTCTTTTTTATTTTCAATTTTGTCCGCCTCTGTGCTGACGTTACACCAACCAAGGCACCCCAATTACCAAGTACTGGAACGATCGCCAAAAAATTATTTTGCCCTTTTTTTTCCCGAAAAAAATCATGTTTAGATTTGTGATATTTGGATGAAAACTGAACCATGCTTTTAAAAATTATTTTACTGTATATAAAATAAATATATGAAGAAATTTGTTTAGATTTGTGGAAAAAAATGTTTTTTAAAAATATTTTTTTATTTGCCAAACAACCCTAATAATTTTATGGGACTCCCGCTTGAATAAATGCGTCCACTAACCTCATCTGATGAGGCCGGAATTAATACGATGTTTCTTTGGGTTTTTTTTTTTGGGTAAAGTAATACGATGCTTCTTTGCTTCGGCTTTAAATACATGTTATTAATAAGAATAAAGAGATAACAACAGTCAATAATAATTAAAAAAAAGGGAAAATGATAAATAAAAACCTTCGAACTACCAAAATTACACAGAAGTCGTCTGAATAAGTCAAATTACCATGAGGGATTCGAGTCCATATTGTAAATATGAAATATTAGTAAAATGTCTGAAATATCCCTAAGCCAAATAACAAGTCGACTATAGAAAATAACAAGTTTACTTTAGAGAATAACAATTTCCGTAGACTAAATTACGACTTGGCTAAGAGTATGCTAAATGACAAGTTGACTATAGGAAATAACAAGTTCACTTTAACGGATAACAACTTTAATAAATCAAATTACAACTTGGCTGAAGGGCATTTTAAACATTTCACTAAAATTTTATATTTGCAATGTGGGACCAGGTCCCTCATGATAATTTGGTTTATTTAGGTGACCCTTGTGTAATTTTGATAATTTGAGGGTCTTTATTTGTGATTTTTTCAAAAATAACCAGGTTATTACCTTAAATTTCATCATTCTACCGTGAAATCCGGATAATCCGGCACCAACCGTACATGATACCCGATAATATCCTGTTAATTATCAGTGACGGTCTCGACGCATTTGTTGGATCCCTAATGGCCCCCCGGACCGGAATGGAATCTTGATGATTTCTGGAGTCAAGTCAATCATATATTACATCCTCAATCGATAACTGTCCCTATCATTGTACGGTTCCGATGCATGCTAATATTTCCTCTCTCTTTCTTGGGTCGAAACAATTATATTGAAAACATTATTAAATACTACCTCTGCTCCTTAATATAAGACTCTATTTGACTTTTATTTTGGTCCTAAATATAAGACCCCAATCCACTTTGTCTCTCATATTTACTCAATTTTTTCCAAGATAGTCCTTCTAATAATTATAGTTCTAATCAATATACTTGATTAGTAAGGATATTTTAAGAAAGACAACACCTATTTAGAACAAATAACTAACTCAACTTACTTCTTTAATCTCCTCAAATTAGTCAACTGGCTCTTATAATTAGGACCGGAGGTAGTACTAAATATAAAAATTTTAATATTAATTTGTTACGTTGTAAATTAACTCTTGCACTAAACTTTGTAATAGTATTTCCTCTGTTTTCAGCTCTCTCACTCATCCGCTTCTCCGAAGACCCACAGATTCATAAATCGCCAGGAGAAAAATATCCGAACTTCTCAGCGTCAAAGTTCATATTTATCATCCCAAGAAATAATGCACTCCATATAACAATTCCTATGCACAATAATTAATTCAATGTTCCTGGTCAGTCCAAGTTAGGCAAATGAATATTTCAATTGATGGGTTTTTTTTAATCATTTTTAAAACAAAAAAAATTGAAATATCTATATACTACCTTTAAGTAAATTCAGAAAGTTTGTTATTTTTTTTAGAATATTCTTACTAATTATGTATATTAACTAGAATTGTTATTTGATAAAAATTTTAACATGTACAACTACTATAAGGATTATCTTGTGAAAAACAATAAATACGAGAGACAAAATAGATTAAAATCTTATATTTAAAATCAAATTAAATGTCAAAATTAGTTCTTATATTAAGAACTGAACATAATATTTTTTAAGACAGGCACACCTTAAAAAATAGAGTCAGAAAATCTTTTACTTACTTTTCTGAAAAAGAGTACTACTACTTCCAAGATTAGCTAAATCCTGAGCCATTGCTGTATTGGTTATACTAGTTCCTGCCACACTGCCTCCAGTAAATAAGGTCTCAGTATTTGCTCCCACCTAGATCAGATACGTTTTCTTAAGCACACGATATTTGAAAAATAATCTATATCGTCTACGATTTGTCAATAATATAGTTATAAATTCACATTTTATCTTAATAATCAGATTCAAAACCAGCCAATTTATAAAAATAAAAGGTTTCATTTCCATTTGGCCAGGAAATACTACTCCATATGTAAAAATTCATGATCATCTCTTATTTTTCCTAGTCTGAAAAGTTCTGTATCATCTAAGCATAATTATCTGTTGTATCTAAAATGTATCTCTTCTGAAACGAATCTTTGCAAAACTTATTGGGAGCTGCAGAAGGAAGGAGTTGAAAATTACAGAACTAAACAAAGATAAATTCATAATTGCAATTAAACTGTTTCACACACATTTAAGACCCGGGGGGGTGGAGACTAACCCCTGAGCCGGGTCAGTGCTGGCCCATTTCAAATGGACTTCATTCCTTTTAAACCCAACTTTCCCCGACTCAACCTATGCCACTAGCATATCTGCCTCGGAAATCAAATTATTCCTCTTCCGACTTAAATAGCATTCCTTTACATTTCCTCAAAAAGCTAGACAATGTAAAATCAAAGGATTAATAATAAATAAAACACAGGACAACGGCTTAAATATATATAAGCTATGAACAGTGCTTCTCACCTCATTCTATGTGAGGTGATGTAGTTAGGAAATATACATGTGTTCTTCGGCGTGTATCAGTAGGGCAATGATTAATGATTCCTGTCATAAAGAAGCAGCAGCTGCTTTGCCTTCAACTAACACATTTGATCGACTTAACGCTACAATAATCAACTAGCTCTTTGATGTTTTGGCCTCCACATCCTAAAAAACCAATTAGTTTCTCCAGTTTTCTGGTCCATAATCCTTCTCTTGTTCTTTAATTTGGTTTCTTGCAACGTTCGCGCTGATGCGAAATTCTTCAGGGGTAGTTCTGGACTTGCACTCAATGAAGATTGCGCAATCTGATTCACCATATCCAATACCTCGCTCATCTTAGGACGACTCTTTGGGTTTTTGACTAAACATCGGTTAGCTACAATAGCAAGTCTTTGCGCTGACTTGAAAACGTGTTTCCTTTCGAGCATTGGATCCAATATTAGTTGAAATTTCTTCCCATCTGATAAGTATGGCCTCACCCATTCCAAGAGTTTCTGCTCACCCTTTGGACGATTTCGATCAAAAGGGCGCCGGCCAGTGATGAGTTCATAAAGGAAGACGCCATAGCTCCATACATCACTCTTGGATGTCAGACGGCCAGTTTGAACATATTCAGGAGCCGCATAACCCATTGTTCCCACAACCTGATGAACACAACCAGCATATGAACACAAATAGCATATTTAATCACCTGACGAGGATAACCAGCATATGAACACAAATAGAGTATCTTATCATTGGAAGCCACCTACAATTAGTGCATGCTGCTGCTTGGACTTTCGACAGTACGCAATATCAACTAAGGGGTAATTCTGACGATCTAATTTTAGCATGTTGAAAATTAACAAGAAGGAAATAAAACTAGAGAATCCTGGATTGAGTGCTTTGGCGAGGCATAAGAAAAACATTGTTTTTTTAACACATGTAAGACGTGAACTGATCACGTCCAAAGGCAACGAGTGTTTAAGATTTCCTGTATCAAGTTGTGATTCACATAATGACATATCAGATATGAAAACTCAGCCGCTGATACTTCTAGATTCAGGTCCGCAAATATATAGAAAACTTGTCTCCGCTTTTTCAATTTATCAGTCCCAAAGATCAAATGCAAATCTATCTGTCCATGTGTGACTAGTATTTTTTCCTCTTTTTTTTGGGGGGGGGGGTTTGGGGAAGGGGAGTTGCGGCGAATAGATATTGTAGATTAGTACAAGGGCCCATACCGCTGTTGAGACGTGAGTTAATCCTTCAGGTGGTCCCAATCTAGCTAACCCAAAGTCTGATAGCTTTGCATTCCAATGCTCATCCAGGAGGATGTTTGAAGATTTGAAGTCCCTAAAGATTATCTATGTATCACACATCCAGACATAATAAGCAACAATATACTGTCACAAAATATTTGAGTAGCAAATGAGAGCGAGTATATAAAATTCCAAATTAGCTCCTGCCAGCTCCATTTTCCTTTCAGGTTCAAGAATCGAAAAGGGACTCAAGCCACCTTGTAGACAAAGCTCAATTAAATTGATTAGGCAATTTAATGTTTGTATGTACCTGAAAATCCATTTCCTCGTGCAGGTATGTTAAGCCACGAGCTGCATCTTCAGCAATTTTCAATCTTCTACTCCATGAGAGAGGATTCTCAGAACGGGGTGATAAGTGGTGTTCCACACTTCTGTTGGGCATATATTCATAAATCAGAAGACGCTGGATTCCTCTTTCATCATCATCCGCACAGTAACCCACTAGTTTTACCAGATTCGGATGCTCAACAATGCCCAGAACATTCACTTCTGTCACCCATTCCTTATGCCCCTGCAAACACCAAGTCGAAATAGAAGGTTTATGCACTGCAAAGATAAAAAAATGAGCACAAAATACCTCTAGGCCTTATTTGGTATGCTGAAATAATTTTTGAATGAATGGAAATAGGGAAAGGAATAAGCTTCAAGTGCAATGGAATTTTCGGACCCAAAAATATGTATAGCAAGTAAGAAAAAGGAGATGGAATATAGTCGTAAACTTCATTTGGGGTGTGTGTGTGTGTGTGTGTGTGTGTGTGTGTGTTTGAATAATGGAATCTGATTCCCTTTTCATGACCAAATTCCAAGCTATCATAATGTAACATAAGATTATCACAGTGATTTGACAGGGAAAATTCTGAGCATCAAGTAAAGCTCACCAACTATTGCACTAAAATTTCCCCACAATAAGTGTTCTAGCTTGTGATTGGCTCTACTTGAACAAACTTATTCTATGATAAGATGAGGTTAGTCTTTTATTCTCTGTTTAGAGTCACCGCTATCCTCTATCATCTCAGGTCTAGTTTGACATGAAATAGTTTTAGCCTTGGTTTACGCTTGCGTTTGTAATCTTAGTCCGTTTCATTTACCTTAAAGTTCTATTTGTTTGTTTGGAGTTGTTTTGCACCTACAGTATTCTTCCGCCACAAGCAAAGGAATTTTAATAAAATCCAAAGGTTCTGCCCTTTTTCTAGAAAAAAGGTATCAGTTAGAACAATATAATCACAATAACTTAAGATATTGCAACACATTAATTATGCAACTGGACAAATTGACTATACGCCTCTGTTCAGCACTGCCTTGCATTAGGATATCGTGTGTTATCGTTAAAGCAGCTAACTTTATGTACATTATTAAGTACAAAACGTCAGACAAAGAATCCTTACCTGCACTCCTCTTTTACCAAGTTGTTTAACTGCAACTTCAATTTTTCTGTTAGAATCCTCTCCTGTCTTGATGAATCCCTTGTATACACACCCAAACCCTCCCTCTCCAAGCATAACAGAGCGACTGAAATTCTTTGTGGCTGATTTTAGTTCAGGAACAGTGAAAACTTTCAGATTGCTGGGTCTTTGAGACAAACTGGGTAATGCAGTCCTCCTGAGGAACTCTGCACTGTTTTCTGAAGGATCCTTAGAATTCAATTCAGAACCAGATCTTCTCATATCATCCTCAGCATTTGTGGAACTGTTGGACCGACCCGAAGTTGACTTCATGCTCATCGGTTCTTCCTTCTTCTCTCTGTAGTGGAATGGAAAACACTTCATTGCAACGGATTGATCTGCATTTTCAGAAAGGAGATGAAAACTTGAAGATAAAACTGTGGAAAAGCAGCACCTCATCTGCAGTGAAGTTCATGGATGACGACAACGACTCATAACTGCTTAGATACTTCAAGAATTTAGCAGCAGAAAAAGACTTTAATTATGCATATATGGATAGCACTACATCAAATAAACAATCGCACATGAAGTATTGCATCTGTTGGCAGCGTATCAGCGCCTCCAAACAATTCTAATTTCAGATAACCGACTCAGAAGGGTTGTTATAAAATGATATCTAATGTTTTTCGTCAGAGGCGAAAACGTCGACCAAAAATTTTAGCACCTTATTTGGTAAAATAAGATCAAGAACTGACAGACGTTTCCAAATTTCCCGTAATAGAAAAACTGAAAGCATAGGTGCCCAAAAACGTCCACACCAATTTTGGTTAACATGGGACCATCTACACTTTCATTTTCCTTCACCTGAAAAGGGAGGCAAAAAGAAGAAATTCTGAGTAGGCTCACCTGCAGTAAGTGATAGATTATCTGATCGCACAAATCTTCAGAACCAAAGCTCAACGAATTCCCCTTTTTCTAATAATCTGACAGAAGCCTCTCAAGTCATAACGCATTGAGCCTCAGGAAGAGCCTGTAGCGTAAAAACACGGAAGAAAGACTCTGGGGTCCGAAGAGAAGTCCCCACGCGGCAGCTGCGGGTCAGTTTACCGAACAGAAAGACTAAATACAAGAACTCAGTCACGGACCTTGATTGAAATTATTAGAACCGAGAGTGTGTGTGAATGGGGGATTCGGATTTTGGACCAAGCAAGCACGCAGGAAGACAGGTAATCGGGTTTGATTAGTTGAACACATGGCGGTATTTACTGCTCTCTGAGTAACGAATACGCAAGTTTTGGGTGTGGTTTTCACCTCGATTAATTCGTCTCGTTGTGCGAAAATCAGGCGGTGCTTTTTGCTTTGGCTACAGAACCTTCCCGCACTTTACCCCCGTTGACCGAGTTCATCCCAGTCCCCGTCAATGCCCTTGACTGAGTATCGTGGACTTTTCGCCAAGACTCAAATTTATAATTCGGTTGTTGGGGCTCTTCAATTGATTAATCTATACGACGTGAATGAGTCTGGCTAAGTTCATCAGAATCCTGCGATTATTTTGTGAATGTCGAAATTATGTCAAGCAATTATTTATTACTTTTAATTTGATTTTAAATTTAAATATAAACTTTTAATCTATTTTGTTTATCATATTTATTCATTTTTAAAAAAAATATTTTGTGATAATTGTATATATTAAAAGTTTTATCAGATAATTTATGGAAAAAAATTCATCATATGGTGGTTCTAACTAATACACACGATTAGTAAAGATATTTTAGAAAAAACAATACATATTTGTTACAAATAACTAGCTTAATAAACTTGTTTAATCTATTAAAATTAGTTAATTAATTCTTATATTAAACGCCAGACATGATATTTTCTTCAAGCTGTTTCAATACTTCGATTCACGTCTTTGTTGGGTAAATTTAAAGTCAACTACACCTACACGCGCCCATAACTATATAGATTTTATTTGACCTCCAGTAATTAATATAAGAATTAATTTAACTTTTAATTTAGTTATATATAAAAAATCTAAATCTACTTTATTTCTTATATTTATCTATTTTTTTAAAGTAGGTCTTACTTCTTATAGTAGTTACACATATTAAATGTTTCATCAAATGGTAGTTATACTAATACACATAATTAGCAGTGATATTTTAGAGAAGATAATACATATTTATTACGAGTAACTAATTTAACAAACTTTTTTAATCTACTCAAATTAGTTAGCCAACTCTTATATTAAAGACCAGAGTAGTATATAACATGGCCTATTAAAGTTTTGCATCGCGTTAATATCAAACTATATTTTCACATTTTATTTTATTTTTGGTTAATATAATTTTTTGTCCCTCAAGTTTGTATGAAATTTGGTTTTAATCCATTGAGTTTTGAATTATAAGTTTTGGTTCTTCAAAGAACAAAATAATCCAACTTTTTATTAAATTATAAGACCAGTATTTTAAGTAAATATAAATTTGAGAAACCAAAACTCATAGTTCGAATTTTGAAACTTAAGGAGTCAAAACCAGACAAATTTGAGAAACTAAAAATTATATTAATTGATCGAAAGTAATAAACTATTTACACATAAATTCATGGTTTTCTATAATTTACATGGGAGGCGGATTTAAAAAAGAGAGAGAGAGAATATAATACTAGTCACCCAAGGCGAACTCACGCACACGTTAAAGGCGGGGGTCAATTTATGGGAAAGATCTGTATATTCTGAGCAAAACAAATAGTGCTTTTCTATGACTCAGGCGCTTGACCCTCTTTTCCTTTTTTTATCCATTTGTAGGAGTTTTTTGCTGCTGCATTTTGGTTTCCAGCACCCTCCCTTTTCAACCCGGACTGTGGGAGAGGACGCTTGTTGTCTTCTAGTGGTTGCGGTGATGGGGCTAGCTATTTATTTATTATATTTATTATTTAATATAAAATTAGTTTGATATTTAATTTAATTCTAAATATAAAATCTTAATTTATTTTATTTCCCATATTTGTTTATTTTTTTAAAATAATCCTTATAATAATTACATGTGTTAAAAAATCTATTAAATGGTGGTTCTAACTGATACTCATAATTAGTAAATTTTTTACAAATAACTAACTTAACGGGCTCTCTTAATCTATTTAAATCGAAAGCAATAGTTTATAATCTGAGGCCAATGTTTGCCTTTGCAGTGTGAGTGCAATTTGAATCATAGGTAAAATCTTCAAGATTTTAATGTTATAATTTGAAACTATACATGTTTTCTTACACCGTGCATGAAATGAAAATTACACAGGGTTTGACCCGGCACTAATTAACCCATCTACAGTTTTACACGTTAATCTTCCTGTTTTGCCTGGTATCATTCTATTAACTGACCCATGATGATGGAATCGGGAAACAGTGACGGAGGGACGTAAAGAAAGATATATTCCATCTAACGTTTACCTTTTTTTTTGGGTTTTTCCTGGCAATATCATCCAGGAGAAGAAATTGAAACGTGTCTTAAAATTAAAGAACATATATCTGGAGAGAGAGATATATATATACATATATATATATATAAGAGGAAGTCGAAACCTTTTAACACATGCACCAAAATAACACTTCCGCCTATTCGTATGCGATGACGAGAGATTTATTGATTATGCCTTTATATTGAGAGGGGGAAAAAAAGAGTTTTGAGAAGTTTTGATTAACTTTTCAAAAGTGATTTTAGATATAAAAAAATAAATATAAAAGTCTAATATTTAGGATTAGAAGAGTATTTTTTAAATGACTGTAGTGGGTTGCCTCAATGGCTGCAAACGCACTTAAGAAGTAAAGACATAAGTGAATGTGTACAGTTCACCGTCTTACGATACTCTATCATAGCTTGGGATTTGAAGCGTCACTTGCCCCTCTACTAGACTACTACCCTCTAAGTTTTCCCTACTTTCCAAATGTCCTTTTCTTTTTACTGTGTCAAAAATAGTGCGATTTTCAATTTGTTTTTTCAAAAACACACTCTAAAACTAGCGTTATTTCTTTTTAATTCAGATACAATTTCTTTAAAAAATCATAAATTTTTTTTTAAAACAATACCATTTTTCACTCATAATATATCAAAATTTTGCTTATTTACATAGAACTTAATGATAAAGAGAGAAAAAATTAGGAAGTATGAAAAAAGTGAGGAGCAGCTGACACCTAAAATCCCATAGCTTGATAGCACATTTTCGTATTCTTGATCAATATTTATATAGTCTTAATGAGGTGGATTTTGACCAGGGAGGTTAAATTTTGCATCTTTGATGTTTATTTGGCAGTGAATTTCAGTAATCGTTCAAAAAACAGGAGGTTCAAATGCGGACTATCTGACTCAATGAATTAAAGCAACCTAGAGTATGACTTCTCTGTCGCCGACCTTTTTCATTTACTCCAAGTCCGGTCGGTGGAGACATTACCCACCCACGACACGCAATGTTGAAATTGCATTCTTACTGCCATCGAAAACTGCAGGCAGCACGGCATTTGTTATGCTTGTGACAGGTCACTTGTGCAAAATAAAAAAAATCAAGGATAATAGGTCACGAATACTTTTTGGTTCATATTTCTCTAGTCTTATTTATAAATTATTTTTAATATATTTCACATGTACTAAAAAAAACTTAAACATTATTAACTCTTATTTAAAATTTAATAATTTTTTAATTTTAATTTTATTTAATATGTATTTTACCTCATATAAACAAAATCAACATAATAATAAATAAAGAGTAAATTTGGACATTTATACAAAAAAAAAAAATTTAGTGCCTTATAAATAGAACAAAAAATAATCTTCTCTATCTGCTTTTTAAATATGACATGAGGGGTACATGTTAATAAAAACAGTTAAAAATATTAAAATCATTATAGAATTCAAATAATTTTTACCATTATCCGTACAGACATCAGATTAATTCAGGTTAATATCATTTTTTATTTAACTTTGGTTCTAGTCACCATAGCTTTACAAGAACTGAGTGTAAGGTAAAGTATAAAGACCAAAACTAACTGGTCAAAAAAAAAAAAAAAGACCAAGACTAAAAGTTGTTAGAAGTCAAAGGATCAGTCGTTAAACTCTCACGAAAAAATTATGAAACTATATGGACCAGAATCAGCTATCTAAAATTATAAGGTCAAAACTAAAATTCTATCAAATTATAAAGACTAACAATGATATTAATCTTATTAATTTCTACTCTCTCACTATCTTTATTAAATATGAGTACGTATGAAAAAATATTTAATACTCATTAAAACTATTAAAGTGTCTTGTACAAAAAAGACAAAAAATATATTATATGCTTGTGTTACTGTAAGTCTGGTATGACGGACTTAGGAAGAATGAGAGGAGAGGAAAAATTTTAATAAGTTTGATTTTAAAAAAATTGGAGAAATAAGGTTATAAGATTTTGATAAAAGAAAGATGTAAAACAAAACAGTAAGAAAATTTATTAAAAACTTTTAACCCTATATTTTTAATTTTTTAAATTGAATTGATTAAAATTTATATTCCCCTCCCCGTCATTTTCCTCGCATCAGAGTAAGAGGGAATAGTACTAAGTAGAAAGGCGGATGGCCACTGTTTTCAACAAAGTCATGAACATTTATGAGCTCATTGCTTCAATTGTCAGCTGCCAGCGTCGCTACCTGTGTTGCGTCCCCGGCTCTTTTTGAAGGCCTGTTTTCTACTTTTGAAGGTAAAGTCTTCGGGGTTAGTTTTAAGTTTTAATGATCACTGGACTTCGGCAGGATTTGATCATCGGAGGCCTTATATTTATATGTTTTTTAACGACGATATTACCGATACTCGGTGTTCTTTTGTGTCACGGGGGACCAGTTTGGTGATTCCAGGTATTTATTTAGGCATATGCCATCCCCTGTTCTAAATGTAAAAAATCAGATGATACTCCTCCGGTTTTTAATATAAGACCCATTTAACTAATTTGATTAGACTAAGGAAGTTAAGTAAGTTAGTTAATTATAAGAAATGTGACACATTTTTCCTAAAACACCATAATCATCTTTCTTAATACCCCATCTCCCTCTTTTACTTAATTATGGTTGAGAGAGTATCCATGAGGGTAATTTAGAGAAAATTGATAAAGATAATAAATGAGTCTTATATTTAGGACCAAAACTAACTCAACAATTGAGTCCTATATTAAGAATAGGAGGAGTAAGTTTGTTTTGAACGGTAAAGAGAACAGGAACAAGATACGTCATCATTGTTAACAATTACTCTTAGCAGTTCAGATTTGGTAACGCCAATTTTCATGCCAAAATACAGTTCCTGTGAGCTTAATAAAAATCCAAGAACAGTCGAGAATGAAAAATATAGTGAACAGCATGCAAGATACAACTTCGGGACGGCCGTTAACGTTAGCCGTTTCGACATCAGATGAAAGCCGCGCTGCAAGTTGAAGCTGAATATCTCATTGAAAAAGAAGTTTATCTCGATTTATAAACAAGTTTTTGTAAAAATCATTTTTCATGCTTTTCAAACACCTCTTTTATCTCAATTAAAGTGCCTGGTAAAGCCACTAACCACTGCAAATTTCACCTCAATATCTAATTCTCTTGGTCTAGCATGCTAATCCTAGCCATGTACCATCTCGTCTATCCCTGCTACAAAATACTACTACCTCTAATTTTTAATATTAATTCTAATTTTTAATATAAGAATTAGTTTGATATTTAATTTGATCTTAAATAAGAACTCAATTCATTCTGTCTCTCACATTTATTGATTTTTTTAGGGTAATTATTGTAATAGCTACACATATTAAAAATTCCATTAAATAGTGGTTCTAACTAACACATATGCTTAGTAAGGGTGTTTTAAAAAAGACAATATATATTTATTACAAATAACTAATTTAACTATTTTGTTATCTACTCAAATTAGTCAACTATCTTTTATATAAAGAACCAGATGTAGTATAATATAATGATTAATTGACTAATTTGAGTATATTAAAAAGTTCACTAAATTAGTTATTTATAATAAATATGTGTTATCTTTCTTAGAATACTGTTACTAATTACATGTATTAGTTAGAATTAATGTTTAATGAAATCTTTAACACGTGCAATTATTATAATAATTACCTTGACAAAAAGTGATAAATATAAAAAATAAAATAAATTGATACCTTGTATTCAGATCAAATTAAATATGAAACTAGTTTCTCACAAACACCCGTTGTATGATGAATCAATAATAGATCAACACCAAAGTAAATTTGGAGAAAAATGTTGCTGTATAAAAGTTAAAAAAAAAAATTAAAGGATGTGAAGTATTCTTTAAATACGAGTAAAGTAACAATTTTTAAACGGAGTTAGTGAAGTTTACAGATTTCCTTACTTCAACGAAAAATGCGAATGTGATATTCTCTTCGATTCTTTTTATCAGTTGCAACTTTTTAAATGCATGCGAAGCTATGATTTGAAGACATCTAGACATCTAACTAATTTTTCATTTTTACTCCCAATTAATTATACATATTTCTTATATATTTTTCCTTCATTTTGCTTTCACTCATCTTCTTAAGAATTTTTTAGAAAATAATTATATTTTTACAGACATAATATTCCTAACTAATTTTTTTGTTTATATAATTTGATTACTTGTATCTCATAAAAAGGATAAGAAAAATCAATAGAATTATTACTCCTTCTATTTTTTTTTATAAGAGACAATTGTGGAATATGTGGATTTTTTGTAAAAGAGACATTTAAATATTGTCTCAAATTTTGCTGTTGATTTTCTATTTAACCTCTATTTAATGACTTATATCATTGTATTTAATTTTCACATATCTTATTTTTATCACATATTATTTTATTTCTCTTTCATATAAAGGAGAGTATTTTTGTTAAAAAGCTATATTTTTCGTTTTCAATTAATTTCAACCAACAGTTTAAATAACATAACATAATTAATTACTACTATCTCTTATTATTAAAATATGGCACAATGCCTACACCTAAAAGTCATCACGAGACCATCATTTTCAGGAAAACGAAGAAGATCAAACTCATAATGATCCTCAACAGAAAGTTAGAACGAAGTGGCCCCCCTAACTAAACTACGTCCCGACGTCGGGTGGTTACTTGGTAGTTCGTTGCATTACAATCGCGCAGTTGATGAGCCGCGAAATACCGGAACAGCGAAGCCCTCTTGAGCGCCGCTACAAAACGTTAAAAGCGACGACAACCAAATCCACGTGTCCAGATTCAGCGGACTTGAAACGCACATTTTATTACAACCTCTGTCATAAAACCTTTTGGATTCCGTCGAATAAAATAAAGCGCACCCTCCATTTCCCTCAATCCTTCCGTTTCGTGTCACTCTTTCGCGGTTTGAAGCTTTTCAGTTTCGAACATTCGCTCGAACATCTCTGACAGCCTTTTCCTCCTCCTCATTCTCTCCCTCTCCCTCTCTCGCGTTCTTGCTTTCTTACTCTCCTCAAGGTCAGATCTTTTCTCTTCTTTGTGTCTGATCTTAATAGTCTCTGTTTTACTATGCTTGTTCTCGTTTTGGGCTGTTTGAGCTGGCTTGCCTTGATGAATGAGGTTGGGCTTTCTCTGCTTCGTTTTGCCCGTGCTTATAACCCGTCACCCGGTTTTTGTTTTACTCTGTCTGGGTTCTGAGAAACTGAGGTTGTAAATATTCGGCTCCTTTCGCTGCTTACTGTGCATGTGCTTAGATACTCGCAGGACCGCTAGTTACTTGGCTACTCGTTGTCCGTTTGTTTTTCCTTGTCGGCTGTCTTCCTACGGAATTGTTCCTGGAATTGTGTTGCTTAAGACAAAGTATACGATATTCGTAGTTTATCATTCTTTTAAAATTTCTCGTTCTGGCTTTTGACAAATTTTTGGAAATACCTAAAAGGCTTAACTTATATTATTCTGTTATGGTAATGCTGTTTAAAATTGGAAGTTGTTAGGTGCAGGCTTTGAGCCTATTCAACCAACTAGTCAAAAGGTTGATGAGGAAGAAAGCGGGTGCTCAAAACATATCAATGGTTGTGTGTGATATGCCAATGAAAAAGAACAGATAAGTCATTCATAAGAGCTTATGGATAAATATAGATGAGGCCAAGTTGTAAAAGGATATTCAAGTTAAAAATTTTTTATTAAGCTTTACAGTAAAGCTGACAAGGTCTGGAACTAGTGGTAATGGGCTCCCCTGTAATGCACGCTTTTAACTCTTAAAGATGAGTTTTCTGTGTCAAGTCAGAACCAAAATCTGTGCTGACTAGATATAGTTCTATGTTTTTAACTAACTATAAACATAATTTGTTGTGTCGATTAAACATTTCCGATGAACTAGATTTGGTTTTCTTATGCACTCTGATTAAATCTTTGGACGTTGATATGCATGCGATTTTCTTTTATTGAAACTGTGGGACTTTTCTATATTTGCCATGTCCAAACTAAGTCGAAGCCTTACAGTACAGCTGTAGATGTTTATGGATATTTTACTAGCGAAAAAGATGTTGCATTCATGATGATGTACATATATAACTGCATGTCATTTGTTAACGTATCTTTCTTCTGACTGGGTAAAAAAGAGTAAATTGGTGTGCAATGAAATTCCAGGATGCACAAGAGAACATGAGATGGATCCAGAAGAATACTTGCTGAAGTGTTCCAATATGAAATGCCAAAGGGTAAGAATTTGGTCATTATTGTAAATGTCTTTACTCTTCAAGCATTCAGAATTTCTACATTACATCCTAGGCACAAATGTTTGGCATTCTTCCTCAAATTGCAACATTGGTGAACTATCTATCTTTATTATTCCATTTTCTGTTTATTGCTGACAGCGCTAGATCATTGAAAATCAAGAGATCATGTGAGCAAACAATTGCAGTTATTATAATTCAATCCGTACTTGGAAAACTCTTAACATCCTGGCACATGGAGTTTATTTATACAAAATGCTGGGTTTTTGAGCTTCGCAGTGTTATGTTCTTATGTAGGCCTATGAAGGGAAATAATCGTGATTATTGCTTAACTGTATTAGAAGTTTATTCGACTTATTAGAAAATAACATTCAAGCATGAATGTCTGCGGCACATATTGATTCATGCATGACATTTATCTTTGGGGATTTTTTATTTTTTGCTTTTTTTAAAACCATTATGATAATACACATGAGCCTCATTTCTTGAGTACTCTGGTGTTTCCTCTCGCACAAGTTATAATAATCTTTTGATACATGTAAAGGTTCATGATTTATGATATCTCTGTTGTATGCTTTGCTAGGTTCAAGTGGATGGATCATTTGTTCCTGCTATTCAAGATGAATCAACGGAAGTTGAACATTTGCTTGCAGAACCTAGAAATGATCATGTTTCAGTGGATGGTATTTTGTATTTTCATGAGGAGAATGCAGGCAAATGCTGTGCTGCTGTTGATGATCTTTCCCGTGGATTTGAGTTTGGTCTAAGTACAAGCATAGGTACATCTAAAGTGGCTTAAGTGGTTTGTAAATCTGTTTTATTTACATGTTGAGAGGTGAACCCTTGTTTAGTGCACTTAGCTGCTGGCAATATTTTTTTGTCTTTTTGGCTACCAGCTTACTTTTTGTTGCTGAAAAGTTGGAATAACTATGCAAGTATAGAGGAATTGAAAGGATCCAATTGGCAAGAGAAATGACAAACTAAGTAATGATAAATGAGACTTCTCTCGAACTTGAATCAGATGTTGCATCTTTAAAGATATGAAAGTTCATTGTTTTTTTATTGTGATATTTTGACTTGATTTGATTGGATTATTTATAGCAAAGGCTGCTGATGGTCGATTGTTGTTTTCTTCTTGTCTCAGAATATTGAGAACCGCTGGTTCCATTTTGGTTTAGTTTTACTGATTGCTTACTACTGTACTTACATTTCTCAGGGGGATCAGATTCTCACACAACTTTGAATGGAAAAGATGATTTGAAACTTGAGGTATTTTCCTTTAGTTACAGCTATTAGTTGAGTAAGATCAAAGCTAAGAGCTCTTTCACTCTCTGTATTATTTTTTTAATTGTTTTTATTGCTAAGAAGTAATAGATAAGATATTTTTTAGGTACTTGATGGGTTGCTGGATGATGTTGAAATTGATGCTCTTAATGCGACAGATGGGTTTTCGTGTGAAGATTATCTTTTGGGTAGATAATTAACTTTCATGAAATTGATTTCTGCTGTGATGCTTTAATGAAAAGAAGAAAATGAAAACTATTTATGTTTCCTGGGTCCTCTATGTTTTCTGATTTTGATGCAATCTGTTATCAACTACAGATTTTGAATTTGCTGACAAAGCTGTGGGTCTTTGTGGGGAATCACTAGTGCAAAGTTCAAGCTCTGAGAGTCATTCTCCAGGATTAAGTGGAAGTAGCAATGGTGTTGGTGGGGTACCTGAATCATCAAAAGTGGCCATTGAACAATCTGAGTACAAAAATGTTTTTCTAGATAGTAGAGTAACCCATGACTTACGTGGTGCCTCCAGGAACAGTGCCTGTCAAACGTCAATTGAAGATGGAATTTGCAATTCACTTGATATGCAGCATCTAAATGAGTTGGATAATGACCCCCCCTTATCAAATAGTGTATTGTCTCGTAAGAAGGATAAGGTTTCTGCAGATGAATGTCAAACTGCTGCAGTTAGAGAGAAGAGATGCCGTAAGCCTACTCTGAGGTATATCGAAGAATTTTCAAATTTAAGTTCAAAAGAAAAGGTCTTGAATTCTGCAACCAATAATAAGCCCTTGAGTTTGGTATCACATCACAAGCTTCGTCGTATAAGGTTTAGAGCATTGAGACACATTCCAGGCAAGAATTCTGATAGTCAAACGAGTGATATGGCGCTTCCTGAGTTGCAGGTTCACAAGCGATGTCTGCAAAATGAGGTAGTGATTTTGACCTGTGTTCTAGGACGCAAACTTGCTTCATTATACTATCTGCTTGTCTGCTTGCCTTTGCACCTTGTCTCTAGGTAGATTATTGCATTTAGATCTTCATTCGTGATTAATAAACTGTGATTTTCACAGGAAGTCTTTTTTTGCATCTCTTAATGAATTTGACAATATATGAGATCAATGTCTGTATAAGCGTCACCATTCCATATCTTGAGAAGATAGCTGCATATTGATGTTATTGCCTTATGGCTAATGGCCTGCAAATCTAAATTATGGGGCCCCTTTTTGATGAGCTCAATTTCATTCTTAGGAACTTGAGTATGATGAGGAGTCTATTGCATCTGAGTCCGAGGATGAATGCGTGACACCAAAAAGATATAGGAAAAATGATCGGAGGAAGCATCAAAGAATGTGGACTTTATCTGAAGTGATCAAGTTGGTTGATGGCATTTCTGAATATGGAGTTGGACGATGGACCGACATAAAGCGTGTTCTGTTTTCATCCTCCAGTTACCGTACACCAATAGATCTTAGGGTATTTTGCAAAGCTTCACTCATTCATTCATCTGGCTGTCACCCTTTCTTCGACACTTTGATTAAAAACTACTGGTGATTTCTGCAGGACAAGTGGCGGAATCTGTTAAGAGCCAGTTCAGCACATAAATTTAACAGCAAAGAGGTTAACCATCTGTTTGTAGATTTTCCATGCATTTTTTTATGTGATAATATCATGCATACTTCAACATCGTTCATGCGAGGAAGTCTTTACTTTAACTTAATGGCGTGAAAGATGGTATTTTTGGTCGATATTCATTTGAAAATCGACTTAATCTCAAGTGAGTTGATTGAATCACATGGTATTGCAGACTGAACAAAAGCAGCAGCACGCCTTGCGTTCCTTACCAAGTTCTGTACTTCGCCGTGTCTATGAACTGGCTAAGATTCACCCGTATCCGAGGGAGCGTAATCCGAACGAATCATCTGCGGGCCAACTTAGCTCCTCTATCCTTCCAACTCGGACGAAAGACAGTCCTAGCAAAAGAAATGTACGTAGGAAGAAGTGTACTTAAATACTAGTAATTCACTTCTGTGTATAGACGAAGTGTATCCAAGCTCTCGAGCACCTGTTACCGATGCTTGCGCTACCGCACCCCTTATAGTGGTGCTCTGTTCTGGAAGATACCAGACCAAGTCATGCCCGATGTGGAGGAACTAGGAACCATCCATGGTCTCGTCATGGAGAAATTGTTGGTAGTAGTAGATATTGAACACTTAACGTGGCGTAGATTGTAGTTAAAGATGTCAGACACTGGCGTAGATTGTAGTTAAAGATGTCAGACACTGCTATGTGATTTGAAGAAGGCCTCAGTCATTGAGTGGTTTCTTCCCCCCCCCCCCCCGGGAAAAAAAAAATCGAGCGTGGCTGGATTATTCGGTTCTGATGTCAGGACTAATTACGGAACATTTGCCCGTAAACGAATCCACGCGTATCTGTAAGTGCGGTGTTTTTAAAATGTTCAAGGTGTTTTTAAAATGTTCAATATTATGCCTGACTATGCTATTAGGACAGAAGCGGGAAATACTTCAGAAAGTGATATAAAAGATTTAACATAATGGGAATCGCGAACTCGGGAGGAAAATTTCGGTCTTCGCGGGTAGGGAAGATTAAGGCGAAGTGGTGAACGTTAGTGTATCGGTTTGCATCAGTACGGAGAAGTTGAAAAGCGAAGATTTGACCAAGTATACTACCTAACAACTCGAAGAATATTCACAGGGAGTAAACAATCAAGCAAATGGGCGAGAGCCCTGAAATCTACAAAACACAGCGCGAACCAGGATCTTTGTAAAAGCATAATTGTAGATATTCTTCTTGTTCCAATAAACAACGTGCTATTACTTGTCATGAGTCCTAGATTTCATAACCTCAGAAACAAACCGCAGGCCCCTTCATTTACAGCGAACTCAGATCACACGCCACCTCTACTATCAAAATATGCATCTCTCAAACATGGCCATTAATATGTTGGAACTCCCGATCTTCATCTTCTTGAGAAGTACCAGCCCTATTGTCAAAGCGTTCTCGAGCCATCGCAGTAGTGCTTTTAGGGTAGTTGATATTGTTGCTCTGTTTTTCAGTGCCTTCGATTATTTTTCCCCTCCCGGTGCGAAATCGCTGCTCTTTGCCATATATACCACCCAGCCCCAACGTACTTGAGTCTGCGAAGCTTGAGTTCACAGTTATGATTGCCAGTAACAGAACTATGAGCTTCATTTTGAAGAAGTCTAGCTCCTCTGTTTTCTAGACATGCGGACGAATCTCAATATATACTATATATATCGAGATTGGCTCTTTTTATTTGACAAGAGAGAGTGGGTTTTCATGCAAGTTCACTATGATTAATTATTTCACGCTGGTGCAATCATGATCAAGACAAATCTTCGTCCAAGATAAGGATGAAGAGGGATATCACCACCTTTATAAGTGGATCATATAAAGAATTGATAATGCTTCATGGGGTCAAATCATTATATAGTGGGAGTCTGCCAGCAGCATCTTTTACAGCACGCGTTGCTAATCTCACTGGTTCTTCGCACCCCTTTCTCCTATTGTTTTCTTTTTCGTATTTTAAAGGAAGCGGTTCTACCTAAGAAGTGCACATCAATTCAAAGTAATACAAAGACAATAAATTTATGAAGGATTAATCTGTGTTAGTAAGCCAATCGTTAATGTGCAATACATATTCCTGACACTTCATTCCTGTCAAAAGAAGTGGCAAAGTGGAAATAAACTACCCCCACTTTTTTTTTTTTCGGTACAAAGATAAGTTGGGTTCTAAGAGTTTATCAAGAGCAGGACATGCTTTTAGATTTAAAGAGTACTTACATATTCTCGCAGCGATTTGAACTCAACTTCCCCACTTTTAGCTCGTGGTCCAAAATCCAAATAGGCCTCACTAAACACTGAGCCCATGTGAGCTTGCTACTTTTGTACAATTATGGGCCGCATTCGCGGCTAATTGACGCAATTGAATCTATTTAAGGGAAAATTACAATCAAGTCTCATAGAAGAGAAATAATTACTAAAAGGTCCTAATAACAATCTCAACAGTCTATAATAACAAGATCTATAGTGAAAATGACAATCTCTGGAATTTGTTTTTCAATTGTTTCCTTTATTTGGGACCTCATTATAATTCTCCCATCTATCTACTACTATCTTAATGCGAAGAAAAAATATGTACAAAATAAATAAAGATACCCTTAAATTTGTAATACCTTTTGTGCCAACGTTGATTTAACTTTTCCAATGCACAGAGAAAAAACATACATACGATGGTTCTAAAATAAATCAATTTTACGATTTTTTATTAAATAGATGTAAAAAATTATTTTAATAATTTGAAAATCATTAACCAATATTTTAACATATTTATATGTCAGAGGCGTTATTCTTATTTGTATTCTCATCCTCATGACATGAAAGATATTTTACAAACCAAACCAAACGAGTCCGTCCGCACTTGCAACCGTTTCCAACAAAAAATGTACATCCAAAAGTACATACATGTATAAGTTTAACATGACAGAGTATCCAAATTTGGAAGAGAAAGCGAAAGCTGGCTTGGGTTCCCAAAAGAAGAAAGCATGGAGAGAAATTAATGGAAGGATATGGTGGGGAAGTCACAAACCAGAAGAAGAAACATGAAAAGAAAGAGAATTGATAATGGGAGTGGTGTGCCAGCTCACAGTAACACAGATTTGCACGTGGAAACAGATGACTCAGCCGAACCCGAGTCAAATCAAATCATAAACGCTTTCACCTGTACAAAAATGGCTGGTGGGCTTCCAAGCATCTCAGTGCCTTGAGGTGTCACCAACCATCTCTCTTTGCCTTTGCCACTCACTCCTAGACACTTCACTCATCTTCAAGTCACGCATGTGCTCTCTCACTCGTTTTCTGCACATTTTAACTCAGTAGCCTTTCAATGTTTGGTCCTCTATTCGTCACATGAAGAATCTCTCTCTATGATCTGGACAAACTGTGTTCACACGACACTTTACTGTTTCTGATGTGACCAACAAGACGCGCTATTCATATTCAACCAACCAAGCACAACACACTTTTGTCTCACGGAGGGAATGAATCAGTGCGCTGGCTCTCAATCATTTCTGCTTCGTCTAAGCAAGCATGATCAGAATTAGACATCCACAAAAAGGCAACCTCAAAAATCCTATCCTTCTTCAGCCTTTTCATTTCAATCCCTGAACCTTTTTTTCGGGGTCAAGGTAAATCATGATTCCAATCATATAGGAAACGCAGCTAAAGTATCTTATAGCCCCACATGACATCTGAAGCAACTGTAATGATGCTCCGTGATAGTGTTGAGAGTCCAAGTAATGATGGCGAACAGTATTATTCTAGTTTTGTCTAAAAATCTTTGTACGACCAGAAATTTACCGTCAACTCTCAAGATTTACGGAGGAATGGAATCAAATCAAAAGTATGGCAATATTTATTGAGGGTCAAAAGTTTCAGCTGCAAAGAGGAACTACGACTTTTTCCTCTTCACTGCAGCCAAAGATACTTTATTTTTTCTTCCATCTTTTTGCTTTGCATAGCCCATTTCCTGCATCCCTGAGATCATATTCTGGATAAGTCGTAAAGCAAATCACAAATCCACATGCACGATGTTGCTGCCACAAGATGGAATAAGAAATACTAATGTACGGCAGCGCACCATTAGTCCACCTTAAAAAAATATACGCTGCAGCCGACATCCACTAATTTATTTAAGTAGTGAGAAACAATTCACAATACAGGCCAAGAAAATTTTAGTTGCTTAATATACAATCACTAATGCCTGTTAAAAGTGAATATTGATTCATCATTCCCCTTTCATTATCCAGAAGGTGATCGATCCCACTTTCATTTGACCCACTAACGTTAATGAACGTTTGACAGTGTAAGATGTTGAAAGATTACGACTGACAAAAACTAAAGCTCTTATCAGATTGAATTAGAGTTCGTAATATTTATCCAGATGTATTAGGGAATAAGTAGCTCCGCACTACACCCAAGAAACTATCCCATAACTCTTTGATATCCTTATCTTCGTCCCATCCAACTCGTGGGACCTTAACTTTTTGAACCTCCAAATATCAGTGAACAAGTACTAGTACCACCCTTAAAGAATTACAGAGAAAGACAGAGAGTTCTTGCTTAGGAGATATATTAATTTGTCAATAATATATGCATATGAAATCATTGCAATGCATGTTCGTACTGTTTCGTATCAAGATGCATTGCCATATAATGACCAACGAACGAGGCCCGCAACTATCTGTACTAACAAGTAACAAGCACTATTTAATAAAATATATCATTTTAGATCCTCTCATTCGTATTAGCATAAATTATTTATCATGCCTGCCAACCATTTAATACACCCCAGAAGTCCTACTTCCAGTGCCGCAGTTATATATACCTTTTCGCTTTCATAGTCTTCACTGCACTTTTCTCTCTCCCTATTTCTCTTCATCTCCCCCCCCCCTCCTTTCTCACAGCACACTATGAAGAAAGAGTTTCTGAGAGGGTGCCTTCATAAGTGGAAGGAAATGAAGAGTCGAGTCATACCCTGTAGTGCCTGTGAGTGTTGTCGTAAATGGGCTTTAGGGTCGTCCATGCGTGAAAGAAGATCAATCCCAAGTGATGTCCCGAAGGGTCACCTTGTTGTCTATGTAGGGGAGAATTTCAAGAGATTTGTAATCAAGGTCACTTTACTAAACCATCCACTCTTCAAGGCATTGCTGGATCAAGCTCGGGAGGAATACGATTTTGTTTCTTATTCAAAACTTTGCATCCCTTGCGACGAGCATCTTTTCCTCAGTGTCCTTCGCTGTGCTAGCTCTCTGAACAAGATGAAAGGAGCGAGTCTCTGTGTTTGATAAATCAGACGTTGAGATATTAATTGCGTCCAGTTTCTTTCTAACAAGTATGCTGATCTATAATATGTAGCCATAATACGTTGTGGTTAGATGTAGGCACAAGTGTCATTTAGCTCACCTGTGTAAATCAATTCTATTTGTCGCCCTGATCAGAATAAGATATATATCAAAGGGTTGCACATTGATGACCAAAGAAGCCAGTTCTTCTTCCAGAACCAACAAAGAGCTACTGAAGTGGCACTAAAAACGTTCGCATTGGATATTAATGACGAAATATAAATACCCGTTCTTAATATAAGAGTTAGTTAAGTAATTTGAATAGATTAAAAAAACTAGTTAAGTTAGTTATTTGTAATAAATAGATGTTATTTCTAAAATATCCTTACTAATCAAATATAATGATTAGAACTACCATTATTATAAGGACTATTTTAAAAGGAAAAAAAAAGATAAATGTGAAAGACAAAACAGATTGGGGTTTTATAATTAGAATCAAAATAAAAATCAAACAAGTTATTGAAGGTAGTGCATCAAATATGTAATTTAAATTTACTGTTCCGGTGGTAGAGGCCAGGGCAGCAATAGATCTGTGAGAGCAGTTTATTTCTTGATTTTACAGAAAGGCCAGATCAGCGGTGATTGTTGGGGGAAAGAAAATAAAAGATAATTTGACTAATTTCTGATATCGCCAAATCGACAGAACATTCATTACGGAAATGAAACGGTGAAGTTTCTACAACACGGGAAGCAGGACATGGGAATTGAGAAATTGAGAGCACATTCCAGATGACGACAGTACAGAGGGCCGAAAAAAACCGATGACTGGGCGTACAAATCTTTGTATCCTTAAATCGATAGATAGCAAGATAGAGGATCATCGCTTGAGCTTTGAAGGGAGGTAGAAACAAGCCACATTATATTATGTCTATTACCAAACTTAGATATGATATCTAGAAAGGTTAATATAATTTTTAATCCTTAAATTTATCCTCATTTTGGTTTTAGTTTTTAAAATTTTAAATAATAGGTTTTGGTTCTCAAGAGTCAAAATAGTTTAAATTTTTATTGAATTATAAGGACTAATATTTTAAATGAAAAAGAACTTGAGGAGTCAAAATTTATAATTAAAAATTTGATAGACCAAAACTAAAATAAGAATAAACTTGAGGGATAAAAATTTGTGCCGACCCTATCTAGAACCACCAAATTAGATTAAACTATTTTTGAACTCCAAATAGAGGAAAGCTCTTCCAAATATATTTTCCCATTTATACAAGCTTAAATCTAAGACTACGTGTTGCGTAATATGCATCCTTAGCCTTTTTCATTAGAAAGTGAAGCTGTTAGATTTCTGATTTGATCTTTGCCTTTACAAGTTATTCAACTGTAGACAAAAGTCAACCAACATTCAATATAGATTTGATTGTGATAAATACATCAATAGACAGATTATTTGCATCTTGAGCAGTGGTCACCAATCTCATCCAGAACGCTTTCAAAAGGACATACAAACAAGCAATAAACCCGGATTCCTCAGTTCTAGAAAACGAATAATGAATTTTAAACTCAAGCAGCCATCAAATCACCAATCGTTCCGAAATTAATACCCTGAAGAAAAGATCTCATCCCTGACCACTGAACATTAGACTTGTGGAATCAAACTCTGCTCTTCAACATGCATGAAATTGTCCTAAATGTCTTCTTTCAGCCAAAACCGTGCACAAGTGACTCCCCACAATGCAAAACTTGTCTGCAAGGCAAGCCTACGGATGCAGCAAGGAAGTAATCATGCATACCAAATGAAATGTCATTGCTCCGTGGTCCATTGAGAAAATGCATAACTCACAACACACGCAGATTAATGTGTTTTCCCCATTCTTGTGGCTGCAGATTAAGTCAATAATTGCCATAAATTGTCCCCATTAAAATACAATATAACCACAGAAGCCCTAATGATGCTATAGCGACAGTTGAAAGATAACTCCTTGCCACATTGAGAATTACATTCTCTCATTTCAAAATGCGTGATGGATTATAATCACCAACAAGAATTGGTTGAACCAATTAAATCATTGCATGAACAATATACACATGATGTATTCTCGTTCGGAATATACACAACTAGTATATTGGCCTCCTTGTAAAGTACATAAACTACATAGCTGGTGACAAAATCATATACTGGCAATGATGGCCGACAAAGCTGCAAAATTGAGAAACATTAACAAGTGAGGGATTGCAGCGAGTTAAATATGGCAGTTAAAGCCAGCAAGAAAAATCGGGATCCAGTCACCATCATGTATCATCTATGACCTTCAAGCAAGCCTTCCAACTCTCTCTGCCCAAACCTCCTACCCTGTAGATTGGCATCCTTACACCTGGCGGCAAAGTAAAACACCAGCCAAGCAACCATGAAGTAGACCTCCATCGTCGACTGAAACATCTTGGCAAAAGATCTTCCACAAACTCGGGCTAAAACCCATCTCGCGAATGATCCACAACATATAGCTTCCAAGCATTTAATTTGGATAGCTTGGTTCAACATTGTAGATATCAAATAACAACCTTCCTTCACAATTTCTCTACCACTCCTCCTAGAGTCCACAATAGAAACCCAGGCATCAACAGAAAATATGAATGCCACAAACGTATCAAGTAGAAACCAAGTGAACAAGAACCCGGAAATCTCCTTCTCAAAGCCTCGAATCCACGGAGACATGACTGAGAACGGCATCAATTTCAATCTGACAAACAGCTTGAAAAAAGAATACTGATCTTCGATTTCACCAAAGTACCAGAGTCCAACAAGCTGAGTCAAGGCGTCCCTGACGGCCCACCTCATCAGAATGAAACCCGAAAGCCTCTTAAGTCCCAGTCTGGAACCATCCCAAATCATACCAGCAATCGAACCAAACCTCCCCAATAGATCGTTAACAACAGCAATGAAAACGACGCCCAAGACCCATGAATATGTAACAAGAAAAACTAAAATCACCCATCCGTAAGCCGCAGATAGAAAACTCACAAGAAAAAACAGCGTCGCAGCATCACGACGACCGATTTCTAATCCCTTCATAAAGAACTGCAAATCGACAGCTCTATCGACTTCCTGGCCTGTTGCCAATTCAACCTTTTCGTTTTCTGCTTCTTTGTCGTTATCAATATCTTTATCGTCTGCAAATGATAAACCTTCTGCTTTGAAGGTGATTCCAGAGCGAACCACTTCCGAAACCCTAATCCCATTATCAATAACAAGATCCGAGAACCCTGATTTCAAGTTAAACGACCCAAAAACCACAAAACTGCTGTTGACGGACGATTTCTTGTTGGGCCCGAATAAGGAGCGACCATCGTCATCATCGCTGGAGAAGAAGTCATCATCCAGAGTTCCGACGCGGGTCAGATGGAGAAAAGGGCGACGACGGTGGCGGTGAAAGGCCGCAGAAGAAGGATCTTCGGGAGATCGGAAGCGATTGGAGTTGGTATTGCCGGCAAGGTCAAGGCGAGAGAGGAGGGCTTTGAGGGAGGGATCGCGGTCGATGAAAGAGGTGACATGGCTAGTGCCGTTCTCAACGACGGTACGGAAGGATAAGATGAGAAGAGAAAGGAAAAGGAAGGTGACGATATTGGCAGAGAAAGAAGAGGCAGCTTCTCTGAGGAGTTGGGCAGTGGATCGTAGGTTCTGCAACCGAGGATGGGGGTTCATGGCGGATCTGCGATTGTCTATTGCCTTCGAATTCGCGTTTGTTGGGTCGAGGTGTTTTTTCGATTCGAGGTTTTCGTCGGTGGGAGATAGCCAGGTGGCTATGCAGCTGTGAACTTCCAGGTGAGAGTAGGAAGTCTTCACGCGCCGAAGCACGCCGTGAAATGCACGCCCGGAGAGGATAAGTGCTGGACGGTTCGGAATTAGATTTGTGATTCATTAAACGGGTGGAAAATAACCGAATTGTTCAACAAATTATAGGGTCATCGGGTCACGGCTCCGGAGCTCCCATTTTGTTACAAAAATCCTTGCGGCTGTCGCCCCCGATGCGAAGACTTCTTAACACATTATAAGAATTACTTAAAGATAAAATAGATAAATATAAAAAATAACTCAAACTCTTAATATAAAAACTTATTTGATTTTTATTTTAACCCTAAGTATAAAATCCTAATCTACTTTATCTATTATATTTATATATATTTTTAAAGTAACTCTTATAATAATAATAGTTTTAACCAATATACTTGATTAATAATGATATATTAGAAAAGACGACACCTATTTATTATAAATAACTAAGTTAACTAATTTACTTAATCTACTTAAATTAGTCAACTAGCTCTAATAGTACTACCTCCGATCCTAATTATAAAGTCTCGTTGATACAAATGAGATTTTATGATTAGGACCGAAGTAGTATATAACAATATACGTGTATTGTTACTGTGAACTTTTTTTTTTTTATATCAAACAATTTCATACACAGAAGACAGGTAAAATCGCGGTCATGTTTCTCCTTTTATTTGGATTGGAATTGGACGACAGAACTCGGACTTGATTTTTTCCAGGTTCTCAACGCTAAATTTTCAATGAAGATATTGTACAACAATCGTTGTTAAATTATGAGATAGCAAGCGTATGATTTAGTTAATTAATTCAGATTTGTATTATTTTACCTGTATCATATTATTGTTAAAGACATATATCTCCCCGTCTTGTTTCAATGAATAATAATTTAGCGATCGTTCCGGCAAAAAAAAAAAAATGGATATTTCTTTTGTCGTGCAGGCGGGGTCGAGTAATTACACCCTCTTGATAAAAAAATTGTAACCTGACTTGGAGTTAAAGTCGATGATTTGATATGGTTTTATCTTAACTTTCCGAAAGACGCCACCGAACCAAACAAAAAATAAAGAAAAAGAAAAAGTTTAGAACGTGATATTTTTTTCCCCCCTCAAAGAAAGATCCTGTTAGATACTGTCAAGTCTGTCCAACTACAAGCTAGTTCGAAGGGTCCAGACTGCCAGCTGGGAGGTCCAAATCTCTTGCTGCAAACTATTAATTACAGTACACTTATGCGACATTACATTACATTACCATTCTTTATAAAGCAGGAATTCCTTGTTTGATAATTGACCTTCAGACGTTGCAGAATACATCATCTCACCTACTCCAGTTGTCTTCCTTAGACTGCACTACTCCGGCCATTCTCTGCCGTTTTATTCCCTGGCCACCGACTCAAGAGTCCCAACTCCATGAGGCAAGAGCCACACTAATGACCACCCCCTAATTCCATGACTACGAACGCAACTATAAATTATAATACAACAATGGCCTTCTCAGTGGTCGACAATCAGAACCTCCACAGGATGGGGAGTAAGGATTACTCAACGAAAATCAGGCTTGTCTGGAAATTTGCACCCAGACCTTTGCAAGATAGTACTTGCTGCGTAACATCCAGCTCTGATGCAGTCTCCTATGGTCTTCTCCTGAATCAATTGTGAAAGGAATCCTCCAACAAATGCATCTCCTACCAACAAAACAACGTTATATATCACCTTCATACATCACAGATAGTTATGCCTTGGCTGTATTGAACAGATATCATGAAAACGAATGGTATTTTTCACTTCTTTTCTTATACAATGAAGAGTTTATGCGCGTAATCGTACAAGCAGCTTTATACCACTTTGTAACTCCTAAGCAATGGGACAGTTACCTGCTCCGTTTGTATCAACAAGTTTCTCTTTAGGTAATGGTATCACGGGGAACTTTTTCACCTTCCCGTCCTCAGCAACACACACAGGATCTGCTCCTTGTGTGATAATGGTGATCCTTTTGTGTGTTCCTGATGCCTTTGGCAACTGGGAAATCTTCAGAGCTATCTCCTCCACGTTATCAATCTAGTCAATAGGTAGAGACCTCACAAGTCAATATCTAAAGCCCACAATGCAGAGATCTGCTAGCAATAGCAAGTCAAATTTACCCCCCAGCCATGCACTTCAGAGAATGACCTTGCCTCAGTCTCGTTTCCAAAAACGAAGTCCATGTACCTGAATCCAGAAACGCCATCCTTTAGATCATATGTAAATTTATTCACTTGAACTTGAATGAGAAAGTTCCTTACGGCAAGACTCCATCAAGTGCATCCTTGAAGAACTCACAGATAAACGGGGCAGAGAGGTTCATCATGAAGACCTGTATACAGAAGCAAAATAGGAAGACATCAGAAACTGCAAGTAAGAAGGCATGGCCAATTTCTTCTTATCAGACCTTATTATTTACAGCTGCATGTTCAGCAACTAACTGAATGGAATCAGGGGAGACGACGAGGAAGAAGCCAGCAACATAGAAATACTTGGCCTTGTCAACTATCAAAGAAAAGATTACATCATATCAGATATCAGTCACCGGAAATTACTAGGAAATGAAGGTGGGGGGGGGGGTAGACCCAGCATGTTCCGAAAGGTACCAAAAGCCCAAATTTCTGGTCTCTTCAAATGTTCCGACCTGTAGCAACTTGCAGCCGCTAAATTGGCAACAAGAGACCTAAATTTAAAACCAACTGAAGATCATTAAGAAAATGTCCATACTATTACAAATGTCTTGAAGCCAAGATATAAGTTCTGGGAAAACAGCAGTAAAGGTCAGTATTAAGGGAGATAAGGGGAAGATCAGACTGATATCAGACCTTTCACCACCAACGACGCAAACAGCACAAGTTCCGGTAGGTGTGGTTTCATCTATGTGATATTGAACCTGATTTTGAATGAACAATGTATTTTAGAAAAGAGGATTCCGGGGTCCGCCTCAGAGTAACAAATTACGAAGTATAAGACAAGATAAAACCTACATTAACGCCAGCATCTTTTGAACTCTTCGTCATCTCCTCTCCAAATTTATCCTTCCCAATGGAACCAATGTAAGTTGTTAAACCTGGTGTTTGAAGCATCCACTACAAGACAAATAGTAAATTACTTTGACGCAGACTCCAGATTCTATTATGAATCATAATTGTTCAAGTACATACCTGTGCTACCCTGATTGAATTCTGAGTAGAACCTGACAATAAGAAATTTTTTGAAAATTCACCAATGAGTACTCTGAATTTTGTTCTGAAGTGTGCTTATGACATGACAAATAAATCAATTTTCTCAAATCCAATGTCAGACCTCACGTATTACCTCCAGCTATGTACTCCACGTTATATTTTGTGGCCATTTCTTCGTACCTGAGATGATCATATGCATAAGATTGGTTCAGAGTTCAACCCACAGTTATATTAACTCATGTCAAGAAAAATGATTCGAAGATGATAAAGAAAATGCAGAGCGCAGATTCTCTTGGGAACCAACTGTTCCCAGGTTTCCTACACTATATTCTACTTTTACTAGGTAAACAGGTCATATACTGTAATTTTCACAGAATGATGCAATAAGAAGATTAACTAAAAGCTCAATAAGCCAAAACAATGTCACTTCGTTGGTCTGCGAATAAAAGTTAGTAGTCCTTCATATTACCGAATATGCCTAAGCATAAAGAGGGAAATGTGCAATTGAAGGATGACGGTTCCAACAGTGATTAATGATTAACATAAGTCGGACAATGACCACTATCAGTAAGAACTTGAATTTGTCAACAACTGCAGTGTAGGCATCGAGTGAGATTTCTTACATAGGCTGATGCTTTTCGTCCGCAGGAATTGCATCGTTCAACTTGAGGTCGTATCTGTCACACAAAAACCAGGTCAAATCGTCCAGAAAAGGGAGATGTGATCCTTGACATTCATGATCATATATGAGTCAATCACGAATTTTTGACAAATCAGGCAATGAGAGACCTCGTATCCACATGATAGAACAAAGTTTGGAATAGAACTGATCGTCAGATACTATCCATCCATAAACTTGTAGGGCGGAAGCCCAGAAATCGGGAAATGCATCACTGTTACCGCAAGAAAAAACAAATTCTGTAAACTTGCCATTTTGGGAAAGTCCAAACGGACACTCACTGGAATTCTCTTGCAAGCAAACTAAATGAAATAAACATGGTAGGCTGTCTCTAAGATATGGATTAAAGAGCACATAGGCAGGCGTGAAATGAAGCTCAACGAGACATATAAGATTAGACTAGTCTCAGATTGGGGAACTATTTGAAACTTAACAAAAGAATATTGCCTGAGAATCAGCCAGAAAATGAAGGAAGAAGACTACGTAGAGAATGAGAGGCGAAGAAAAGAGGGAAGAGATGCATACTTTTGCAAGAAGCCAGGGTCGACGACGGATGAGATGTCAAGGAGGGGATTACCCATTCCCAATAGAATGCCTTGGGATGCCATTGGTGGTTGATGGGAGAGACAGGCAGAAGCTGCAGGAGCGGCTGGGCGGAATTTGGAGCCATTTACTCCTTCACAATATTTTATTTGTCAGTCAATTTCGTATCCATCAGAAGATATCATAGGATCATACGCATCTGCCATTCTCTTTTTGAGAAGTCAGAATCAACAGTCCCACCAACTGGCCATTCTCGTTACTCGTTAGTGGGGTTGAAAATTGAAATCAGCATATGCCCTCCAAAGCGTCCGAAATGAGTAAATTCTGCGGCGCGCACACATATACTTTGAAGCACGCGTATGTTTTGTAAATTAACCAAAAACTAACAAAATGAAACATGCATTCAGTTTCAAATTTCAATACCAGTATCTTTTTCATGACTTAAATAACTCCTCTAAACAATGTTTAAAAATATCCATTCATGAAATCCTCATACTAACGGCAGAGATCGTGGGTGAGTGCTAAACTTGTGAAACTTAATACCTCTGGTATTAGGTATAAGAGCTGCTTTACTAGATCGAAGAGATTAAAAAAAATTACTTAATTATGACATATGTTATACCATCTTTTTAAAATATTTATATAAATTATTAGATTATATATCAATTTATAAGTCACGCAAATTAGCTTGAAGAAAAACAGTAAATATTACCTCTAATCCTTAATATAAAAATTTTATTGAAATGGTGGATTTGATCTCAAATATATGATCTCAGTCTATTTTGTTTCTTATTTTTTTAAAAATATCTCTATTAATTGGGAGAAGTTTTCATCAAATGTTATTTCTACGCAAATAATTGAAAATGATAGTGTAGGGACACTAATACTCATCTGTAACAAATAAAAAATAGAAGTTGCTTTTCAAAAGAATAATATGAGCATAAATGTATGCGCACGCGCGAGTGAATGTGAGAGGGAGGGAGAGAGTCATACCAAGCATCCGAAAGTCCAACCACAACAAAACCAACTAAAAATCCATGGTCCATCCACTGAAACACAACCAAAAAGTTACAGAAAAATCAAAACAAATAAGCAAAGAAAACTCTGCTTCAAGATTTGCGCCTCTAGACTGTAATGACCCAATTTCTGTGAAGAGAATCTCACCGTAAAAGTGACTAGAAGGGGGGGTTGTCTTACAAATAATACTAGTTAAAAACCATAATTTCTATGCATAATACTAGTGCTTGTTGATTGACATAAATTTGACTAAATGGAGAAAAAAAATAAAGGAGGATATGAATATGCGCCTAAGAAAATAAAGAAAGAGCGTTAAATAATTATTTACTATCTTAATCAGGATTGAAAATGAAGATAATATCCATCATCTAACAAGAAAAGCACGATGATATTCTAAAATCAATTAATAATAATTCCAAATGTTTGATGTAATTTTGAAAAGGGAAAATGAATTTTCAGCCGTTGTGTAATTTTAAAACGTGGGTCAGTCATCCGGATTATAAAAGAGAAGACAAAGAAGTCGTGGAACTTTTTTTTTTTTGGCCAACAAATGGTTGTGGAGTTGCAATCCAATTTTGGGGCTGCTTGTTCCCTTTTTCTTCAAATCCCAGGTTAGTTATAGTGAGGCGTCTTATGAGAAAGAAGGGACACAAGATTACAACACTTGTAACAAGAATGCATAACATTGGAGCACTAAACTCATGGTGAAAATATTAGTCAGCGTAGACGCAATCGAACTTCCACATTTAGGTGCTAGCTCTAAACTCGTGATCGTGGTCTCGCGGCTATGATAGCATCAAATTATAATAGGAGTACTTGAAGAGATACGGTTCTGGAGAGCTTTGGAAGTTTGGTGAACAATCCAATCCAATCCAAAGGTTCAAGACGGGGAGCTTTCAGGTCCCAAGAAACAAAAGAAAGAAAGAAAAAAGTTGGACAGGATAATGTAAACCTCTCCAATTGCAAAGATACTTAGAGAGATGCAGCTAGAGCCTAATGTGATGACTGCAACAAATTTCCTCAGCCATTGTCTTTTCTACTCAACGAGGGTTACTCCACTTCAAAATTTGTCATCGACAACACGTTCGCATTCCACATTATTATCCTCTAGTAGGCGTATAATCACAAGACAGTTTGAAATGACTGTAAAACAAAATCTTTAGTTTGATGACATAACATCATATGGTGCTTTTATTTGGCTACATTATTAACAAAGAATTAAGGATAACCGAGGTTTCCCATCCACGCGGTTACATTTTAAGAGTAGAGACTCCATCGCCCTCATTAATGCCATGCAGGCAATAGCCCCAGATATTTGAAGCCATGTTTGCCCATCCATTCCTCATCTTTTGAGGTAACATGTGCAGGTGAGCCATTCATTTAAGTTGATGTAATCCTACTCTTCTTAACAGGAAAAAAACTTGTAAATAAATTAGAACTTGGCTGGGGAAAAAACCACAAGGAATGAATTTTCTTTTTGGCTGACCCCAAAGCAAAAATTTAAAGATGATCACAAATTGCTTTTGTAAAGTCAGTTGTTGATGAACTGCCACCAAGGTCAGCCGTTCGGTACTTTCCTTCAGCAATTGTGTTGAGTATGGCATTTTGAATCCGCTCAGCCTTGTCATGGAGCTCAAGATGGCGCAGCATTGTAACAGCACTCAGCAGCAAAGCAGTTGGATTTGCCAAGTTCTACATAAATCCGAAGAAAATATGAATAAGCAACGCAACATCTTGAAATGAGCGTCAATGACACTATGACCCAGGCTGCATTTGAGAGGAAAATAATTTGGCAACTAAATAACAACAAAAAATCAGAAAATCCAAGTTTCTTCTTGTGAGATCATTAATTTCTGTCTAAGTTTTTATTATCTAGCCTCAGTCTGCCAGCCAATCTAGACAATTTACACAAGAACATCTATCTTCAAAGCGACCATGTCAATTTGATAAAAATGTTTAAATAAATTGAGCGCACAAGGTTAATTACTGCAACAAATTTTTTCATAGCAGGGTAACGATACTACCAGAAAATTGAAGTACACGGATGACAGATCGTAGACATTTCAAAAGATCTCATTTGAAAAGCACCACCACCAAATTTGACTTCCTAGAATCCTAGTTGGGAAAAACACGTCCACTAACCCAATTCTTTAGTACACGGGAAATTTTCATTATCAGCAACCAAGACAACAATGTTAAAAATAAAATCAATAACTTCACCCTGGTCTGGATGGCGGGACGATTATATAACTTAGGCTATCAATTCCTCCAATGCCATCACAAATCAAACACAAGTTTTGGGGGGGGGGGGGAATGCAAACTATAAAATAAAAAGGTGAAAAGATTGCTTGTTCGAAAAGAAAAAAATGTGAAAAGATTGAAGACTATCGAAGAATAGGGAGTAGTTGGAACAGCTCACCTTTCCAGCAATATCAGGTGCTGAACCATGCACAGCCTCAGCTAGTGCAATACCGCCCTCACCAATGTTGCAGCTGCCGACATTACAAAATTGCATCAAACGATACTCATAACATTCTACATTTTTTGACCAAAAACAAAAACGAAAATACCTTGGTGTTAAGCCCAATCCTCCAACCAAGCCAGCACAAAGGTCACTGATAATATCACCATAGAGGTTAGGCATCACTAAGACATCAAACGCAGATGGATTCTTCACAAGCTGTAAATGGGCAACAGCATGTGTTATTCCATTTTGACACAACAATTTCCAAATGCAATTGCATCACACATCTAATGTGCCTAAATCCATATAGGAAGACACCATACCATCATACAGCAATTGTCAATGACAACTTCCTCATAAGTTATCTCAGGATATTTCTCAGCAACCTCACGGCAACACTGAAAATAATTCAAAATCTAAGTCAATGGAAGGATTCATGGCTAAAAATTGAAGCCAATTGATTGTGCATGCAATTTTAAGTATCTGTGAACCTTGAGGAAAAGTCCATCAGTTTTTTGCATAATGTTGGCCTTATGTATTGCAGACACCCTCTCTCTACCATGTGTCTGGGCATAATGAAAAGCATACTCAGCCACTCTTAAACTTGCTTGGCGCGTAATAATTTTGAGGCTTTCTACTACACCTCTCACAACCTGTCAACAGTAGATGGGGGTTGATGAGAGTTAATATCAGTCATAAATTCAATGGTAGAATGTCACATCAATTGTTAAAAACTTACCTGATGTTCAAGTCCACTGTACTCCCCTTCTGTATTTTCACGGATAGTGATAAGGTCTACATTATCATAGCGAGTTTTGTAGCCGGGAAGACTATGACAAGGTCGGACATTGGCATACAAATTAAGTTCTTTCCTAAGAGTAAGGTTTAATGAACGATGACCTTTTCCAATAGGGGTGGCCATTGGTCCCTTCAAACCAACCTTATTTTGCCTAACTGATTCTAAGCTTTCCCATGTTAAAAAGCTCTGTGTTCTAGGGTCAATTGTATCCCCAACATAGTGCTCTTCCCATTCTATCGGCACTTCAGCTGCACTGAACACCTAATTGCAAACGAAGTTGTTGAAAGAACAGTACATTAAATTTACTGAATAAATCAAGTTTCATCAACATGCATAAGAAGAAATATACAGAGAAAGAGAGACTAGACAGACTAAACCACAACTTCTATTAGTCTATTTCAGCAACCAAGTAAATCAAATTTGCCATTCAGCTATAGCAACAGCCTGACTCAAATTACCAAAGTACAAAACAGATATCATAATCCATAAAACAAACCTTCGCAAGCACCACCTGGAAGTCTAAAGCTTTGATCATGGGCCACAGCAGCTATTCTTATTGCAAGTTTCACATCTAAGTAACACCCGATCCCGATCCAACAGTTTTACTATACATATATATTTATATTTAACAACAACATTCTAAGAAAGAATATTTTTAGATACCAGTAGTTGTCCAGTCGTACCCAAACAATAAGATTCCAGAGGGAAATGCACCTAAGATCAAATATTTTGAGCCGGCTTCTCCATCCCATGTTTCATCTTGGCATCAATGCCTTTGTCTTTCTCCGTTTTGATATTAAAAATCAGATATTCAAAGGATACTATAGCTTAAAGATGGTATATGCAGGCCACGCTAAAAACTTGAGAATTCTCATTCGGAACTTAACTTTGGTATATTTACAAGCATAATATGAAATGGTCCATCCATCTTATATCATCTTCAACTTGAACCAGATTATGAATATCCCGTTTGCAAGAAGTTTAGGTTGGAAAGGCAACAGTTTAACGGTATTTTCAAAGCTCAAACTAGTTACACTCACGTTGACCTTGAGATTCAGGGAGAACTCAGACAAATGATTTCCTGGAAAAGGTTTCCTATAGTTCCTAGCATTCAGAACACAAAATAGTTACCCAAAAGCCCCAAAAAAACAATCCACTATTTAATGCCGACACATTTTCCATGCCTGGTGTAATAGTCAACTGCAAAATGTTGCCTCGTTTAATTCTTATCTCAAAGGGAGAATACCTTCTAAGTTATTTTTTCCACAAAAATATGTTCCACCTCTCAAACCATTTTCTGTAAAAACAAAGGGCGAGCGTGCCAAATATTCGCAAAAACGATGCCCATTTTGAACAGAATAGCATTCAATGGTGCAGAGAATACTCTTCAAAAAATCGTCCAGACGCAAACCACACCAGTCAATCGGGAATGCATAATTAAAAAAAAAAATGCGTAGAAAAACAAATCTGAAAGTGCTACGTTAAAAAAAAAAAAAATTAAAAGACAAAATCCAGAAGCGTCAATGCGGAACAGACAGTTTAGCAGATAATCACAAGTCTCGACATTGAATTAATGAATTTAAGGTCAAATTAAACCCGGGGCTCCGCATATTTCGGACAGTAAGAAGCATGTGAATCAACAACGGAGCTCCCAATAATTAGTTCCGTACAGTAATTTGCGAAGAGCTATTATTCAAATCAAGGCTAGAATACGGAATTGAAAGTAAGAAAATAAGAAATAATGGCAGGGGAAGAAAAACCTGTTTGACGGAGTCGGCGATCTCGGGGCCAATACCGTCGCCAGGGAAAAGAGTGGCTCGGATCGGAGTAGAAGCGGAAGAGAAAGCCCTAAGATCCGAGAAAGAGAAAACCTGGCTGCTGCGCCTCCCAAGAAATCGTCTAAGAAGCTGAGAAGCCATAGTTGACGACGACCACCAATGGAGAAGCCAAACTATAAACTGATCCTTTCGGAAAGTCGAAGGTTCCAAGTGCCAGTGCAGGGACGCACAAGGCCAGGCCAGTTACAATTCAAAGGGTCACTCTGCCTCGGTGCTTTCCCTTTGTATGTTTAGGGACCGAGTGCGATGAATAGTCCTTCTTCTCAGCGCGTTATTTCTCATTTCTTTCCGCCAACCTTAGCGCGCTGTTTCAAAGCCCGACCGCAGGCCCAATCGAAAAAAAAAAAGATAACTACAATCAGACCTCAAAAAATATTTTAATTACTTTAAAATCTATTTACAAGTGAAAAGCAAGTAATAACAAATTTTAGAGTAAAAAAGAACAACAGTTTTAAGTTGATCACCTGCAATTAAGACTTTTTGATAAATAAACAGTACAAAATAGAAATTAGGAAATGATCAAGAGATTATTCACAAAATTGGAACCATCGTTGAACACCTTACCTGTCTTAAAAAGACGAGAAAGGGATTCAGTTTCCAATTTTTGGATGGTAACTACCAACTCCACATATGGATTGAGTTTTAATAATGTAAGGGATTCAAGAATCAAGAAGCCTCTTATGATAACTTTGGAATTTCGGCCTATTATTATTTTAATTTATTAAAAGATCCTGCGACATAATTTGATTATATATATTTATCTATATTATTTTTCTGACACATTAATCTCTTTAGAATCCAAAAAAAAAAAAAACAAATCACGTAGATATAGATATTTTTTTATCTTTTGTTTTGTTGTAAGATATTTTTTATTTTAACCTATGAGGATAAGTCTAAAAATTAATCCCCTCATTTTCATTTAAAAATCCTAAGGATCACAGGATAACTCCTAAGGATATCGGCCACGTGGACATATTATGCACTGACATTTGACAAATTCCAGAAAGGGATTTCACCGCCGTGAGGGAGCCATTTATTTACCGCTTAATTTTTTTAGACGACCATTTCTTGCTTAATTAATTCTTAGACAGTTGTCAACCAAATTTTGATGGGCGATTACTGATTTGAAAGAAAACGTTTGCCCGCCAAGTCTCTAGCACTATCCAAGTTCATCGAACAAAATTCGATATTGCAGCATTGACCAATACATAACCTGTTGCGGAAGCGTTGTGATTTGGCTTATAGATCACTTGGGAAAGGGGGAAAAAAAGACAAACCGTATTGCGTATCTTTACTCTGAACAAATGACTTTGGTGGCCAAAACAGAGAAATTTAGGAGACGCGTTCTTGAAAAGAAACATGCCGTTTCCATCAATCGGGGGCATATATTCCAGTAGCGCTCCAAGCGATGACAAACAAATTAAATCTCAATTTCAAAGAAAAGTTATAATATCCTCCTGATATTAAGCAAACTAGGACATACAAGCATCTTTCTGGGTTGATTTGCCTGAGGCCCCCATCACCAAACTAACAAACCAACTGTTTATAACTGCACATAACGAAGATATAAAAGGAAACCATCTCGACTAGGAAGCTGAAGAATTAACAGATTGGAAGAGGGGCGCCATTCCACTGGCCAACGCATTCCAGAAGAGGATCAATGATCTTGCCCTGACATAAAGCTGTGAACACCTTGTCGCATTCCTCACCTGGTGAAATCACCCTCTCGCCGGTTAGCAACTGAGTCCCCAGCTCCTCTCTCACAAACTTGTACAGAGGGTATGACCTGCATTCCTTGATCCTGTTTGGAATTTCAGAATTGCCGGTCTCGTATGCGACTCTTGCACCCTCAACTTCCTTCGGCAATACATTCTTCAACTCCTCCTCGAAAGTTCCAATCTTTTGGAAGATTGATGTGCTCGTGTTCTTCTCGTTTTCGGCATTGGCCAGAGCATGGTCCACCAGAACTTGCCTGAGTTTCTGCATCAATGGGTAAATAGCACTGCAGGGATCATCAGCGTAGGCAAACACGTGCTCCCTGTCTACAACTTTCAGTAAATCCTTCTCGCAGAATCTTGAAGGATGGAGTTCTCCGTTCACACCAGTGGTCAGAGTTCTCTTGGCAACTTGGCTAACTGTGTTCTTCACTGTGTTCTTCAAGTTCTCTTCCAAGTGCCTCAAGTCAATTGCTTGGCAGAGGGCGACTAAAAATGTGGAAGACATGAGCTTTAAGATCTCAATGGCTTCGTTTGTTTTCCTAGACGAGATCAAGCCCAAAGAGTTCACATCTTGGTTGTGTTGCTCGGCACTTTGGACGTGGCTTGTTACGGGATTGGCAAGATACTGAAGTTCAGAGCAGTAAGAAGCCATGGCGATTTCAGCCCCCTTGAAACCATAATCCAAGCTGGGGTTTCTACTGGCAGTCAGATTGGAAGGCAAGCCATTGTTGTAGAAGTCGTTGACGAGCTCAGAGAATTGAGCAAACATGAGCTTTCCGATGGAAGCGATAGCCAGACGCGTGTTGTCCATGGAGACTCCAATTGGGGTCCCCTGGAAGTTACCACCATGTAGAGCCTTGTTCCTTGAAACGTCGATCAAGGGGTTATCGTTCACAGAGTTGATCTCTCTCTCAATTGACTTGGTGGAGAATCTGATAACTTCAACGAGAGGGCCAAGCCACTGTGGTGAAGTTCGAAGGGCATAGCGATCTTGTTTAGGCTTCTGCAGAGGATCCATCTCGTGCAACTTCTTGGCTGCTTTAACATAGGAGCTTCCATCCAAAATGTGTTCCATGATAGCAGCGGCCTCAATCTGGCCAGGATGGTGCTTCAATTTATGGGTCAAATGGTCTGTAAATTCAGGCTTCCCTTGCATGACTTCAGCGAAAATAGCCGAAAGAACTTCAGCGAGCACGGCTAGAACGTTAGCCTCGAACAGAACCATAGAAGCCAAGCCAGAACCAACGGCGGTGCCATTTACAAGAGCGAGCCCTTCCTTGGGCTGCAACTCGAAGAACTCGGACTCGATGCCTGCCAATTGGAAAGCTTCCTTGGGATTAAGGGCTTCACCGCTGGGTCCAACGGCCTTGGAGTTAGGTCTGCCGGTGAGTAAACCGGCGATGTAAGAAAGAGGGACGAGATCGCCGGAGGCTGTGATGGTACCACGAAGTGGCAAGCATGGGGTGATGTTGTGGTTGAGGAACTTGGTGATGGCTTCTAGGATTTCAAATCGGATGCCAGAGTATCCTTGGAGAAGAGTGTTGATTCTGACTAGCATGGCTGCTCTTGTGGCGGAGTGTGGCAGAGTTTGGCAAGTCTCTGTACCATTGCCGAATATTCCGGCGTTCAAAAATCTGAAATATAAAGGACCCAATGATCAGAAATGGAATTCATATATTACCACGCTTCATATTCGGAGATTAACTGGCAGATCAACACTCGCGGTGAAATTATAATCTTCGCCTTGAAGAGTCAACGGCCAAGAATAAAAGCACAAAAAAGGAATATCTATGATCACCAATAATTTGGTTAAGAATTTGGATGCTACACCGGTGGCCAACCAACGTAGTCATGTCCGGAGACCGACCTGGCGTTCAAACCGGTGATGCATGTTCTAATGTGCTTGTCCTAATTCCAAGGCGCTTCCCAGCCACCCGCTAAAAGTTACCAGTGCCCCGCTTATCCAAAAAAAAAAAAAAAATTATACCTACCTACCCCCTTTTATTTTTAAAATCCTTTTTAATCAGGATATATATAACGGCAGTAGGTTGTCGACAATCATAATCTAAAATGATTTTAGAGCTGAAATTTTAACAACATAAAAGTTAAATTATTTGGACGAAAACGAAATACACGTCATATTACAAAATTCATATATTCTTTTTATTATTCACTATGTTTTCTCAATATTTATATATACTTTTTATTATTAGTTGAAGTTGGATTTATTTCCTTTGGATATTTGACATGATTTCAGAATTTAAAATCGTTTTCTCTTGGCAATCTTTTTAATTTTTTCACTAAAATCATTTTCTTAAAAAAAGTTGTCTTGCAACTTCTTTTTCTTTAAAATAAATATATCAATCTAAATTAGATTGTTAAATAAACATTTTTCAACTCTTCGTATGATATAAATCATTCATTAACGATTATTCCCTATTTTTCAAAACTAATTTGTTACCCGAAAACCCAACCTCCATACATGTATTGTGAGAATATATATATATATATATATATATATAATACTAGTATGAAGTTCTCTGCCTTCTTACGGATTAGGTAGCTTTTTGCCTTTTTTTATCTGTCTGTCATTAACCGATCACCCGGAATTTTAACGTATCATCATGAAAAGAAACACCAAAGGTAAAACTGGAGGCGGATCATGAGTTCACGATGAGGCATGAGTAGAAACTAGAGAGGAACCGTACCTGATGAGCTCTTTCTGCAAAGCAGCGCCTTGCTTTGTTCTTCTGTGAGAGGTGGCCCCGAATCCGGTGGTTACACCGTAACTATCGGTTCCCTTGTTCATGCTGTCCATGACCCAGTCGCTGCTGGCCTTGACGCCGGCCCTGGCAGACTCCGACAGCTCCACCTTCACTCCCTGGTCATGTGAGGCAATGGCAGCCACCTGAGAGATGGTGAGAGTCTCGCCGCCAAGCCTGACCACCGGCTTCCGGTACTCCTCCACCATGCGCTTCACCTCGTCCAAGTGGCTGCCCTTGAGGGACTCGGCGGCGACCCCCCAGTTCAGGGGATCAGCCTTGCCATTACTCAAGCAGAAGGAACCATTCTGGTGGTGACCGTTAGCCTGGGCGACGGACTCCATGAGAATAATGACGTAGAAGAAGTAGTGGGAGAAAAATGAGGAAAATTGCAAGGATGAGATTAGTTAGGCGAGGAGGAGAGGTAGGAGATGAGAGGAAAAGGGAGAGAGGAAATCTTGGGGAAGAAGGATGGGATTTCCTGAGAGGAAGAAGGGGAAGAGAGATGCGTTATATAAGAGAGGCTGATAAGGAGGTGAGGGCGTGTTCTGGGTAGGTGGGCATAAGGAGTGGCAGCAGGCCACAAGGAGGGGGTTGGTGGTTGAGAATCATTATGTGCCGTGAGATCCTCAACGAGCGATCTCACGGCCACCGTGTTGCAACGTGGAACTACTGTATCGCATTATAACAGCGTCAATGGTGGGTAGCTGAGTGCCATGTCAGTGCAAGTGGACGACCCGAGAGTAGGTGAGT